AAGCTACTATCTGTGGGTGATACCTGAAAGACTGTGGAGAACAGGAGAAATACTGTGGAACTGGAGAAAGGCCAATATTCTCCTGATTTTCAAAGAAAGGAAGAGGATTAAATCTGCAAATTACAGGCCAGTGAGTTGGGTTTTGATTTCTGGTAAGAGTCTAGAATTTCTTAATAAAGAGGTTGTTAGTTAACATCTAGAAAAGGAAGTGGTGATCACAAAGAACCACCATTGTTTGAGCAAGAACCGGCTATGCCAGCCTAGCTTTATTTCCCCTTTTCACAATTGTCAGATTAAAGAAAAGCTATAGCTGTAATTTACCTTTACTTTAGCAAAATATTTTTCAATTTTTTTTAATGCTGTTTTTGAGTAATGGAGAAATGTAGCTACATAATAATAGGGTTGAGTAGATTGGAAAATAGTTGAATGAACTCAAAGTACTTATTAATATGTTAGTATCCTCTTGGAAGGAAGGAGGTCTCTTGTGTAGGCTCCAGGGATCAGTTCTTGGTCCTTTGCTATTTTATCATTTTTATAAATGATTTGGAGAAGGCATAAGTGGTATCCTAATCAAATTTGATGATGACACAAAGCTGGGAGGAATTGCAAATGTGTACTGGATGACAACATAATGATTCAGAAAGGTCTTGTTCAGCTAGCACAGTGAGCTAAATCTAATAGGATGCAATTAATAGGAATAAAGTCATACTTGAGCTTAAAAAATTGACTAAACAAATATGAGATGGGGAGCTGTGGTTAGCAGAATATTTGAAAGAGATCTTGGCGTTTTAGTGGGCAGCAGGTTGTGTATGAGTCAGTAGTGTCACATGACAGCCAAAAAGTCAATTATTGACAATTGGAGTAGCATTGAGGATAGCTTCCAGGGTAAGGAGTTGATAGTTTCTCTGTAGTCTGCCTTGGTCAGAGCACATCTGTAGTACTTTGTTCTGTTTTGGGTACCACAATTTAAGAAGGACATCAGTAAACTGGGAAGTGTCTAGAAGACCATCAGAATGGTGAAGGGCCAAAAGTCTGTGCCATACGAGAATGAGTTGAAGAAACTGGGGATGTTTAGCCTTGAGAATACTAAAGGGAGGAGGGACATGATAAATATTTAAAGATTTCTTTTATAGAAGGGGGATAGAGACATGTACTGTGAGGCCCCAGAGCAGAACCAGGAGCAGTGGATGAAAGATGCAGAGAGACAGATTTAGGTTTGATGCCAAGAAAAACAACCAAAGAATAAGTTGTCCCAAAGCACTCTCTTCTGTAGTAGGGAGTTCTCTCTCATTGTGGTTCTTCTCGCAGGCAGTGGATAGATCACTTTGCTGGATATGTTGTAGTGTTGTTGTTTTTTTTTTTTTGAGGGGAGTGGTGATGGTGGTGCAGGTTGGAGTAGATGGCTGCTGAGTTCCATTCCAACTCAGAAATTCTGTGATTCTGTGATAACTTCCCGATTGGGATGTTGAAAATCTCCTATTAAAAAAAAAAGAAAAAAGAAAATCTATAAATAATTTTTGTGTTAACTAATGCTCAGAAAATTTGAATAACCTGTAATCCTTTGTATTTTAGAACCAATACTTATTCTGCTTCCCATTTTGTGTTTTGAATGTTTTATTTTAGAATCCTGGTTTTAAAATTCTGTTATCTGGATAGCTAAACCTGTCTGCATTCTTTTTTTATTCAATTAATAAGTAATTATTAATTGCTTGTTATGTGCTGTGTACAGTGCTAGACCCAGAGGATGAAATTAAAAAACATGAAAGAACCTCTCCTCTCAAAGACCTTATGTTCCAGTGGGAGGTGGTGGGCAGAGTAGATGTATACATATAGCAGAGTACATATAAAGAGGAGAAAACACAAAGGAATGCAGATTAGTTAAATGTGAGGTAGTTTGGGAATGAAGGTGCTTATAATTGGGGGATGAAGAAAGGCTTCACATATCAGATGGTGTTTTGAAGGAGAGGCGTAAAGGTGAGGAAAAAGTACATCCCACATATGTGAGAGGAGTAGTGCAAATGCAAGGAGGGGGCTAATGGAGTGTTCCACTGAGGGACAGAGAGAAGGCCAGTTCAGGGAGGCTGGGAAGACAGATCATGGTCAGGGCTGGGAAAGTCTTTCTAAGCTAAACAGGGTTTACATCTTATCCTAGGGAGGCTCTGGAGTTTATTGAGTAGAGGAGTGACATGGTCAGATCTTTGTTTATGGAAATCACTTTGGGAACAGTGGGTAGAATGGACTGGAATGGCGAGGGAACTGAGACAGGGAGAACGATTAGGAGGTCATTGTAAAAAAAAAATCTAGACCAGAACACAGCTGTCATGATCGAACTTACTGGATACATTACAAAATCATGTTGTTCAACCTCAGTTGGGCCTTCACTGCAGCAGTTCTTTTATTCTTTCTTAACTGATTCCCTGACTCAGTTCCTAGAAACTCTTTCTTCAAGTCTCCCATACCACCACATGCCTGCTCCTTCTCCAGCTGAGGACCATGCTTTTTCTTTTACTGGGAAAATTGAGGCTATTTGAAGTTAGCTTCCTCATCTCCAGTTCTCTTTATCTCAGAAAACAAAAACAATAACAAAAAAACCCTTGACATTATCTCCCACTCTCTTTTCCTTTTCCCAGGCTCAGACAAAAAGGTAGCCCTTTTTCTTGCCAAGGTCAGCATGTCTGCTACCATCTTCTTCAGAAGATTACCACCTCAATGATCTTTTATCTTTCTCTAATATTTAACTTATCCCTGTCTGTTGGTTCTGTCTTTACTGCCTTCAAACATGTCCAGGTCTGCTACAGCCTGTTAAACCTTCAATAACCTGTACCATCCTAAACTCTTAGCAGTTTGATTTCTGACCTAATTGTCTCATCAGTTACCACTGTATCCTTCCTGCCCAAACAGATGATCTTTTCGTAGTCCTTATCCTGCTTTACCAGTTTGCTGCATTTGACAGTGTCGCCCATTCTGTCTCCCTGCACCCCTTCCTTATTCTCTCCTGCTTCTCCTTGTAGCCCTCTCCTTGACTCCTGTCTTTGTTTCCTTATCCAGGTTCTGCCCCACTAGCTGTGGATGTTGCCCCAGGTTTTGCTCTGGGTGGTGTTCTCTTTCTGTCTCTGTTTCTCTTTGTCTCTGTCTGTGTCTCTGTCTGTCTCTGTCTCTCTCTTGGCTGTTCTGCTTCCACGGGTTTAACCATCTTTTCTGTGCAGGTGACTCCCAAATTTATGTGGCCAGCTTCTGTCTCTCCATTGAGCCTCACTCCCACCCATGTCACCAAGTGTCTATTGGACATTTCAGGCTGGATCTCCCAGAGACATCTCAAATTCAATACATAACAAAACTGAACGTAGTTATCTTTCCTTCAAGCCCTTCCTTCTTATAGACTTCCCTGTTTTTGCTTAAGGCATCACTATCCTTCCAGTCTGTTTTTTTAATTTTGGTATCATCACAGAATCCTTATTCTTCTTCCTTCCACACATCTAGACAGTTGTCAGATCTTGACATTTCTACCTCCACGATATCTCTTACATCTAGTACCTTCTCTCTACTCATATAATCACCACCTCAGTTTCATCAGTCAATCAGTAAGAATTTATTAAGCACTTATGTGCCTTGCATTGTGCTAGGGCTGGTGATACAAGTACAAAGAATGAAACAATGTGTACTCACCAGGGCCTTATGTTTTAATGAGGGGAACAAGAATTACGTGCATAAAATACAGCCTAAAGGTGAAGTAGGTCAATACCACTAGATACAAAATAGGTAACACAAGGAAGTTGGCACAGCAGGAAAAGCTTCCTGAAGTTAGCTGCTCAGTGGAGAAATCAGGGAAAGGCAAGGAGAGAGGGTGAAAGAGACCTGAGTGGAGGAGAGAAGGTTTGGAATAGGGAATCACTTCGGGAGAAATGAAAGGGCTGAGCTTTGCTTCTTCGAAGTTGGCTGATGTGAATGTGCTTGTCAATCCACTACCAGTAAAGTTGCCTTTGCTTGACAGTAGGGCTGAAGTGCCTTTTAAGCCAATCAACAAATTCTTATTAAATGTCAGTTTTGTTGGAAGCATTTTATAAGTTATAAAAAGAAATTGTGATAGAATTTCATTACAAAGTGAGAATTTTGGGAAAAATAGTAAAGCAAATGTTCACAATGATTTATAGCAACCATTGCATTGGTATAGAGCATCTGATATCAGTCAGTGGTTTTATTATTGAGGAAAAGGAAGGAGCCTAGTGGAGCCAAAAGTTCAGATTTTTATTATATTTTAATTTTTGTATGTTTTTTTTCCTTTTTTTTTTCCCAGGATGGTGCTTTTATCTGCCCCAAACTCCTACTGGTTTCTGTGTCAGTCAAATGGCATTTATTAAGGGCGGGCTGTTTGCTAGGCATTTTGCTAAACATGGAGTGTAAAGAAAGGCAAAAAGCCACACAGTCCTTGCTTTCGAGGAGCTCATGGTCTAATCAGGAAGACAACATGCAAACAGCTATGTATAGTTTATAGACATAAATTGGGGTGCTCTTAGAGGAGATTTTGGAGGACGTGGCTCCACTCTCCAATCAGGCCAGAGCTCATCTCATATATTATGTTCATTTTATTTGTTTATTTATTTAGGCGAGGCAGTGGGGTTAAGTGACTTGCCCAGGGTCACACAGCTAGTAAGTAGTATGTGTCTGAGACCAGATTTGAACTCAGGTCCTCCTGAATCCAGGGCTGGTGCTTTATCCACTGTACCACCTAGCTGCCCCTTACGTTTGTTTATAAAGTGCAAATGTGGTTCTAGAAGCTTCTACAAAATGGTTTTCTTTAAATTTCCTGAAATACTGCATAAAACTGCAATGCGTTGGTGGTTGGTGGTTTCCCTTGCCACTAGTTCAGTTTCATTTTGTTACCAGGTTCATCCATAAGTGGCAGAGCTGTGGCTGAATAGAAGCTGCCTTTACTGGTATTTTAGGCAGTGAAGCTTACTTGAAAACATAGATCTAACTTCACTTCTGTTTTAATTTTTCAGGTGGGTTTGCTTTTGTATATGAAGCTCAAGATCTTGGAAGTGGCAAAGATTATGCTTTAAAGGTAACAGTTATTTGGAAAATTAAACAATGGATTGAAAGCTGTTTTGGAATATTTACAAGCATTTCCCCAAATGAAAGAAGTCCCAAACTGGAAATGAGAAAATACCTGATATTTCTCTTTTCCCTTCTTCTTGATGTGTCCAGCACTTGAAGTTATTCTCCCTTTTCTGTGGCTGTCAGCATAGCCTTGGAGTGGACTCTGAAAGCTAATCTCTTTTAAAGCATCCTTGGGGCAGATGTGTCATGGCGTTGGGGAAGGATCTTTGGCCAGGTTACTCAGTGTTATTGCAACCAGCCTTTGTGTTCTTTTCCTTCTTTGGTTTTAATTTGACCCTAAAAGGAAATTTGTAATTCCTCACTAACAGACTCTTGTTCTTCTAAAAGGCCTCAACAGACACAGGGCAGGAGAGTGGAAAGAGTCTGTGCCTAGAAGCTGGGAAGCTCAAATTTTTATCCCTAACTAGTTTTGTGATTTAGGGCAAGTCATTTGCTCCCACTCTGAGCTGTACTCTCTAACTGTGAGAAGAAAGAGCTGGACTAGTTGATCTCTAAAGTACTCCTAGCTTTAGCCGTAGAGTTTCCTGATATGCTATATACTACCCAAGCATTTTCCATTTGGGGAGGAGCCTCCTGTTTGCTGGAGATGTGTATATTTTATGGGTAACTGGATGACGGAGCCAGCCCATTTTGTAATTTTTGTTTGGGCATCTGCAGTTTAAATGTTGTTGTTTAGTCATATCTGACTCTTCTTGATCCCATTTGGGGTGTTCTTGGCAGAGTTACTGGAGGGGTTTGCTGTTTCCTTCTCCAACTGATTTCGCAGGTGAGGAAACTGAGGCAAACAGGGTTAAGTGACTGCAGGGTTAAGTGATGTCAGGAAGACTCCTCTTTGTGAGTTCAAACCTGGCCTTAGACTACTGGCTGTGTTACCCTGGGCAAGTCATTCATCTAAATTTTATTCGTTCATTCATTCATTTGTGTATTTATTTTTTGGTGAGGCAGTTGGGGTTAAGTGACTTGCCCAGGGTTACACAGCTGGTAAGTGTCAAGTGTCTGAGGCCGGACTTGAACTCAGGTCCTCCTGAGTCCAAGACTGGAGCTCTATCCACTGTGCCACCTAGCTGTCCCATGGGCAAGTTATTTAACCCTGTTTACCTCAGTTTCCTCATCTGTAAAATGAGTTGGAGAAGGAAATGGCAAACTGCTCCAGTGTCTCTGCCAGGAAAACCCCAAATGGGGTCATGAAGAGTTGGACACTGACTTTAAAAAAAAAGACTGAACAACAACAAATTTAAATGTAGTCACTGAAAACACCTCTTTGTTGGTTTTGGTCCTTGTCCCCTTTGTAGCATCCTAGGCAGTACTTAAAGAGGTTCCTCTCTATCCAGCCATCCCCGCCCCGCCCCACCATCCCTTACTCTTTTCCTTTCTTTGTTTCCCATAATCAGCAGAAGTGTGTTTTCAAGTATCATCTGTGTCTAGTTAGAACAAAAAGTATATAATCTAAAAAGAGGTGAGTAATTCTTAAGGTAAATGGTGTTTATTCCTTAATAAGACATTTACATATTTGTACATATAAGTTAAACATGTAAACCTCAAAGAAGAAAGATCTGTCCTTTCTTTTTGTATTCTTCTATGATACAGAGGCTGCTGTCCAACGAAGAGGAAAAGAACAAAGCAATCATTCAAGAAGTTTGTTTTATGGTATCCTGTTTCTGAAGACTTTAAATGTGAAATCCGTTTATATTTTTAAGGGGCATAAAACTTGAGTTAAGTGAGGAATTACAGCCAGGCCTACTTTTACTTGGGCCGCTCACTTTAAATAGACATGCTACTTGACCTCTAGACTGTAGTTCCATAGAAAAAGAGGATTTCTCTTCCTTATTTGAAACCCAAATTCATGTTAAAATAGTTTGCAGCATTATAAATAATCTTTTTCTCAATTAAAAAAAGACAGGTATATATATTTTTTATTGTACTGATGTATATATGGTATTACTAGGCAGCTGTCATACTCTGGCTGTCCTCTTGGCACCTTTTTTGGATGTTATAATGGTTAATACTTGCCAGCTAAAACCAGGCTTGTAAGTATCTTGTCTTTCCTTCTTCTTCTTTAGCATTAGGTACTAATAATCCCTGAGTGCCCATGACCCGATGCTCTGTCAGAGATCAGAGCGTACCAAAGGCTTGGTTGCTTTCTCTTGGAGAAGCATTACTCTACAGCAGCATTATGTGTGAGCTGTATAAGATGGCTCTCTAGTTGGCTTCTGACAGAATACTGTCTTCGGGTAGAGAGTTAAGGTAGGGGCAGCTCCCCGAAGCAAACCATTTGTGCCCCTCTCATGTCTCTTCTCTCCTTCAGAATTTATTTGTTTTGTTGTGTACTGCTTGGCCTGATGTGCTTGCTTACCATTGTCTGGCTTGTTTGCCATCTTTTGTGGATTCCTTATTTGCCAAAAATAGTCCTTACTCTTTCCTGCAAAGCAGTGCTGAAAGCCCTTCTTTTCCATGAAGTCTTACCTGACTAGATAAAGTATTATTGCCTTTTTGGTTTTTTATCCCTAGTGCTGAGCACAGTGCCTTGCACACAACAGTAGGTGGAAAAGTGTAGTATACTGGAAAAAGCCTTCGAGTTGGAATCAGAGGAACTGAGTTCATATCCCATCTCTACCACTTGCTTATCTTTTCCTCTTCTGTAAAATGAGAGGGTTGGACGAGATCATTCCCCAGGATTCCCAGTGGCTCTAAATCTATGGTCCTGTGATTCTGTGTTGCCTAATAAATACTCATTTGAAAAATGGACATCTTGGACATGTCTTCACCTAGCCTCAGTTTCCTGCTTTAAAAAATGAGGGGGTTGGATTGACCCTTCCAGTCCTACATCTGACCCTGATTCTCCAAACAAATGTTTGTTAAGCACCTACTTTTTTAAAAAATTAATTTATTTTGATTTATCAACAATCACTTCCATAAGCTTTTGAGTTTTGAATTTTTCTCCCCCTCCCTCCCCATCTCCCTTCCCAAGACAGTGTGCAGTCTGATATAGGTTATACGTATACATTCCTATTAAATGTATTTTCACATTAGTGATACTGTAAGGAAGAATTAGAACCAATAGGAAGAACCACAAGAAAGAGAAAACAAAACAAAACAGAAGAAAAAAAATAGCAAATAGTATGCTTCAATCTGCATTTAGACTCCATAGTTCTTTCTTTGGATGTGGATAGCATTTTCTGTCATGAGACCTTTGGAGATGTCTTAGATCCTTGCATTGCTGAGAAGGGCTAAGTCTAAATGTTAGTCATCACACAACTTGGCTGTTACTGTGTACAACGTTCTCCTGGTTCTGCTCACTTCACTCAGCATCAGTCCATACAAGTCCTTCCAGATTTTTCTGAAGTCTGCCTGCTCATCATTTCTTATGGAACAATAGTATTCCGTTACATTTAGCCATTCCCCAATTGATGGGCATTCCCTCAATTTTCAATTCTTTTCCACCACAAAAAGAGCTGTTATAAATATTTTTGTACATGTGGGTCCTTTTCCCATTTTTATGATCTCATTGGGATACAGCCCTAGAAAAAGCATCTACTTTGTGCAGAGCACTCTTTACCCAGGGCTCTGAAAGAGACATAAAATTTAGATAAGACATAGACCCTGCTGTCAATGGAGCTTACAGCTGTTTAGAGGAATCAGGAAGAGTCATAGTTAATCAAAATATCTAATAAGCAATGTGATGTGAGGCCCAAAGGTGGGAGAGATCACTGCTTACTTGGAGAAAGGGAAGATTTTATGGATAAGGCATTTGATCTGAGCTATGCATAATTTTGCGTATTATGTCTTGGCTTTGGATTTAACTGTTGTGTGTGGACTGCATTATAACCTGCCTAACAACTGTGCCTGTCTTCTTCATAGTTAGCATCCTCACCTACTCTTTGGTGTCTGCTGGGGCTATTTTAGCCCTAATGATAGTTAACAAAATATTAATTTAATTGAAGGTGATGATCACAGATGATTGAGTACTCATTTTTTTCCTCTTTTTTCTTTTACCCTTCTATGTCTTGGGCTTCCTGCTTCCTTTTCCCCATTTTTCTCTTTCTGTTAAAATGATAGTCATAGCACTCATGGGCACATCTATATTGAAGTATGTTTTTGTCTAAAAAAACTTTTTTGGATTGTGGGTACAGATTTGTAGGCATGTCTATATATTTCCTCTTTAACAAATTGACTTCAGAAAAAACTTTCTGGACATCCTAACATTGTCCAGTTCTGCTCTGCTGCATCAATAGGAAAAGAAGAATCAGATACTGGACAAGCTGAGTTTCTTCTGCTCACTGAGCTCTGCAGAGGTAAGATTTTCCTCTTCTGTGTTTGTGATTCCTTTTTTTTTTTTGTAGTTGTAAAATACATGTGAGCATTATTAGTGCCAACCAGCTCGTCTTACAAAATGCTTAAGTATGAAAAGGCAAGTCTGGTTTGAACCTAGACTCCACTGTCTACCAAAAGAGATACTCTTCATCGGTATGCAGTTATTACAGAGAGTGTATGGAAACGTGACTCTTTCCAGAGTTAGTGTATTTAATTTACTTCTTGGTTAATGAGAGAATTTACCCTACCAACCCTCTCTTCTCACTGGGATTTTCTTTTCTTGGCTTCTCAGTGTTCATTGTTTACTTTTTGTGAAATGGTTTCCACAAATAATGCTTTAAACATTTAATTAAATGTTTCTTTTCTTTTCTTTTTTTTTTTTTTTGGTTAGGCAGTGGGGTTAAATGACTTGACCAGGGTCACACAGCTAGTAAGTGTTATGTGTCTGAGGCCGGATTTGAACTCAGGTCCTCCTGAATCCAGGGCCAGTGCTCTGTCCACTGCGCCACCTAGCTGCCCCCTAATTAAGCGTTTCTTGAGCACCTTTTTTGGGCCTCAGCAGTATATAGTTCATTAGGTGCTTTGGGGTTGCAGAGGATGAGATATGTGACCCATGCAGCCTATAGAATTGTGAGGTATTATGTTAAGGTATTGTGCCTGACCTTAGGAAGCTCGTGGGCTGCATTGTGGAGGTAAAACAAAAAGGTGGCAAGTCAGGGGCTGTGTGAACCATTAGCACTGTCCTGGAACCCTGAAGGTCAATATTTGATGATTTGTCCCTGAGGAATGTGATTGATCGGGGTGGAGTGGGCCAGAGTTGTGAATGTTTATGAAGTGATGATGTGTATGATAGTTTGGGCACATTCTCTTGCTGGAGGACTTAAATATGGACAAAAGTATATGTGTTTGGGTAGGGCTGGTGGTAGAGGGAAAGTGGGAGGCCCAGGAGGGACTAAAACTCTCTTTGACACTTTTTCTGCAGCTGTACAGTTGTTTCTGTCCTGACTCTTTGTGACCCCATTTGAAGTTTTCTTGGTAAAGATACTGAATGGTTTGCCATTTCCTTCTCTAGCTCATTTTTATTGTTGAGAAAACTGAGGCAAATAGTGTTAAATGACTTGCCTGTGGTTACATAGCTAGTAAGTGTGTGAGGATGGATTTGAATTCATGAAGAGTCGTCTTCCTGACTTCAGGCCCAGCACTCTATCCACTGTGCCACCTAGCTGCCCTTATAGCTCTTTCCACCTTGGTGCTAATAATCACAACTCATTTTTATAATGTCCTTTCTTATAACACTGTGAAGTTGGTTGTGAAATTGTTATTATATCTATTTTGTAGATGGGAAAAATGAGCCTTAGGAGGGGCTAAGTACTTTATTATATCGTTATTCAGTATTATAAATGGTATTAGAATGTAGTCCTGTGACTACTCTTCCCACTATACTATTCTGGCTCTGATATATGTATATACCTGTGCCTGATTTTCATAGTGAAATGTTTATGTGCTTTTCTGGAAATCGAATCTATCCATTTCTCCCCACTCAAATGGCGGACACTCTAGTTCAGGTCCTAATTATTTCTTGCCTGAGATATTTCGGTAGCTTCCTAATTCATCTCCATGCCTCAAGTCTTTCCCGTCTCCTTTTTCCCCTCTATGAGGCAGCTGGTGGGGCAGTGACTAGAGTGTGGGGTCAGAAGACGTGAGCTCAAATCCAGGCTCTGGCACTTACTAGCTGCTTGATCCTGGGCAAGCCATTTCACCTCAGTTTCCTTATCTGTAAAATGGGGGTAATAGTCTCTATCTCTCAGCACCAACCTCAGGGTTGTTATGAGCCTCAAATGAGATAATATTTGTAAAGTATTTAGTGTGGTATCTGGCATATAATAAGCCTTATATAAATGCCCTGTCCTTTCTTCCTACCACCCTCTTTCCCTTCCTCCCTCCTCCAATCTATCCTCCACATGACTAACTGCCTGAGTGATGTTCTAAAGTAAACTTTGACCATGTCACTCTTCTGCTCAGTAAATTCTAGTAACTCCTTTTTATCTCTAAGGTACAAACTCCTTTGTTTGGCATTTAAGACCCTTCACAGTCTTGCTTCATGCTATTTTCGCAGGCTTACTGCATATTTCTTCCCTTTGTGAGCTCTACCATTCAGCTGACCTGGCCATTTTGGTGTTCCTCACACCTGACATTCCATCTTCCATTTCCATTTCTTTGCATAAGTTGTTCTCTGTGTCTGGAATGAACTCTCTTCTTACCTTTGTGCCTCAGAATTCTGAATTTCCTTCGAATTTCAGTGGAAACAACCCCTTCTACATGAGGCATTTCCTGATGACCTGAGCTATAAGTGTCTCCCTTACCATCCTGTTGCCTTCTGTGATATTATGTATGTTGTGTCTACACACACACACACACACACACACACACACACACACACACACACACACGCATACATACATATATATGTATATGGGGGCAGAGACTTTCATATTTATCTTTATATTCTTGGCATATGATAGATGCTTAATGTTTGTGGATGGTTTGGTCCTACAGAAGGCAGAATGAAGGACTAACTAAAGACCTCTCGAGTTGTTTTCTTCACAGTCTCATCTGTTCCTACCACCCGACCTTTCTAACAACCAAATTCATAAAAACAGCCCTTTTAAAATCAGTCACATTTGAAAGTGTTCAGAGAGGGATGCACTTAAAAGTGAAGTTAGACATTTAGCTGACTATTAGACCCCTAGAGTGTGTGGGGGAGGGGGAAGGAAGGGAAAAGGAAAAGGAAGTGTGATATCAGCATTATTCTAGAACCCCCCCTTTTTTTTTAGAGAACTGTGATTTTTTTCCCATCAGCCTAGAATATAGCTATGCTTTCATGGAATTAAAGACACTAGTTGTCTAGCCTGCTGACTTCATGACTAGCACTTTTGCAAAGTGCTTACATTTATGTTATCTTGGTTGCTTCCACATAAGTGGTATAAGTAGTATTTTCTTCATTTTATAGATAGTAGCTTAAGATTCAGTGCAATTAGCGCAGCTAGGTGGTGCAGCAGATAGAGCGCTGGCCCTGAAGTAGAGGAGGACCTGAGTTTAAATGTGGCCTCAGACCAAACATTTGACACTTACTAGCTGTGTGATCCTGGGCAAGTCACTTAACCCCAATTGCCTAAAGATAATTAAAAAGATTCAGTGCAATTAAGTGACTTCATTGTAGCTTACAACCAGGAAGTGCTTGTACTGGAACTCAAATTCAGATCTTGGTATCTTTTCTCTTTCCACTAGACAATACAGTATTGCCTCAACTAGATTACTGAATTTCTGGTACCAACTGTATCTTCGCAGATTGCTACACTTAGTAGGGCTTACACATAGCAGGTGCTCAAGAAGTTGCTTGCTTTTTATTTACCTAGGACTGTTGCACTAGGAAAGCAAAACTGACTTTCTGCTTTTATAAGTACTCATGGGAGATCATTTTTAGCATTCTGAAAACTATAAGATACAGAAAACATTTTTAGCCAGTTTAATTGTGGTGATTTTTTAGTTCACTGATAGAATTCTCTTTTAATGAACTTATGCTTGACATGTTGTATCTTAACCTCGTTGAAACTGAAACCCAGGAAAGAGTAGAGATCAGCTGCTTCTGCTGCCACATTTGTAGATGAGGAAGCTGAAGCTGAGAGGTTGTGATTTGCCCATGGCTGTACACTTAGCTGTAGGGCATTGATCTAATGCATCTATTATATAGACAGTCCATATTATTATCTGAAACTAGGCCAGGTTGTGTGATTTGCCTAAGGTTGTAGGCTTAGCTATAGGGCATAGACCTAACGTAGCTTATGTAGATAGATTATATAGCTAGATAGAGATCAGTGTATTGCTAGAGGGTATAGATGAGCTATGTTTAAAAAAATATTCAGAGGCAAATTCTGCCCTTCTACATGTCCAGTGCTGTTTCACTTCCATGTCTTGCTTACGTTATTCTCTATGCTCTTTTCCTTTTTAAGTACTCTTTTTAAGAGTAAACTTCCCCTGACTCCTACAGGTATTATTGTTCCTTCTTTTTCCATATGCCTCACATCATACTTGGTTTGTGACTCACTAGTATACTTAAAGATGATTTTATATTAGTTTTATATGCATATATATGTGTATGTATATATTTGCAGTACTCTCATAGACTAGATTGTGAGCTCCATGAGGGCAGGGATCACATCTTATTAAATCTTTGTATTTCCCCTAGTGCTTAGCTTTGTTATTGCCTGTGTAGTAGTAGGCACTTAAATACATATTGAAGTTAGAAGTGACTAGATAGAACTTGTAGGGCTGTAAAATAAAAAGGGAGGCAGTAAGTTATATCTGACATCTTCATTTTCTAGGAAATGCTATGTGGGATTCCCATTTGCATAGTGATGTAAATTAAATTGACTGTCTTTTATAATAGGGCAGCTGGTGGAATTCTTAAAGAAAGTTGAATCCAAAGGCCCTCTCTCCTGTGACACGGTTTTGAAGATATTTTATCAGACATGCAGAGCAGTACAACATATGCATAAACAGAAGCCCCCTATAATCCATCGGGATCTCAAGGTACATACAGCATTCAAAAATCGGTGATGCTGAAGATTGTTATCAAGGGAGATTCTTCTTTCTCTGTGGTTTTTTACAAAAAGGTTAAATGTTTTTAGTGATGCTTTGTTCATCTTCAAGGCATTGAAAAATGAAGGATTGCACAGAAATAAATTTGCCAGATAACTGAAGCTTATCCTTTACAATTCTGAAATTAATTTAGTTTTTAGCCAATTTTAATATATTCCTAAAATATATTACGTGCTTCCTGTCTTCATTCTTCAGTGGCTCTTTTGAATATAATACAAACTTTTCTTGATTGTTCTGGGTCATAATTTATAAACTTCCATAATTATATTGTACAATAATAAAGCAGTAAATTCTTTTGGGGCTTATGAGAAACATGGGATTATTTGTGTCTGCATTAAATATTCCTGCCCTACATTTATAGTTCATAGGGCTAGCGAATGTACCTGTGATTTCATGGGTAGTGAGAATTCCTGGATGAGGAACCTGTGTCAGTGCAGCGTGGCCCCATCTCTTCCACTTCTAGTTGAAGAGAGCTGCCTGTTGCCCTGCTGAGAGACCTGCTTTGCCCAGGGTAAAAGGGGGAACTTGAACCCTCATCTTGCTGGCTCTGGAGCCACTTCTCAGTTCACCCTGCTATAGTCTGTAAGCTCCTTGGGAGGAGGGATCTTTTCAGTCCTTGTATTGATATTCCCAGTGCCCAGCACAATGACTGGAACATAGAAAGCACTTAACAAATGCTTGCTGATAGATCAGTAGTTTATCATTCATTCCTGTTCTTCAGTTTCCTGTCTGTTCTTTGAGCTGCTGTTCTTTGCTTTCTTTGAAATTCTTTCCCATCTGCTTTCTTCTTGGTTGGAGCAGGCAGTTTTCTGCTGAGGCTGGGAGATAGGCTGGATACCTGCCTACCGAGGGTCCTTTTGTTTCTTCAGGCTTCTCTTTTTCCTGCTGGGGTTTTAGATAATTTCCTGGTCTTCAGCTCTCTCCAGCTTCTCTGTTTGCCTTACTATGTACTGATATACTTTGTTTTTAGCTTTTTGCTATTTTAGAACCAAGGAGTCCATTCCACATTCAGCGTATTCCTTACGAGCACCATTGTCCTCTGTATCATCTCAAAACTCCAAGTCATTTAAACCGCTATGTGCCATCACTCCAGCTGTCTCTGCTAACACTTTATTCTTATTCACCTCTTTACCAGCAAGCACTCATTCTCCACTTGTCTATTTTCTTTTGGTCTCTTTAAATGAATGCTCAGGCCATCAGTCACTTTAGACAGTTCTAAACAGAAATGCTTTATTTAGAATGGCAAACTGGTGGGTCTCTGCTTAGTGGACCAGGAAGACTGTTTAGGCGATACTGTAACCTGTTTGGTGGCAAGGGAAACTGGGGACCATATTGCTGTGTACTCCATGAGAGGAACCTGGAAGCAGGCCTACATTTGCCTTTATAGAGGCCTGTACTCTGCGTCCTCTGAATACTTTTTTTTGAAAGAGATTTTGTCTTTAAATGGGCCTGGCGTGTACAAAATGTGACCAAGTTTCTCTCATGTTTTTGTACTTCTTAGTCTGATAGTATTTTTGTTGTGAAGAAGGTACAAAAGACTTTAAATTCAGGTATTGGAGGCTAATTGAAAAAAATTTTATTTGTACATTTTAACTAGAATCTGAAGTATGTTTACATTCTGTGTTTAATTTTTTTTGTGTACCTCTCTGGAGTTCATGATAGGTGTCACTGCTGACTAAAGGAACAGCAGTAAATGTACTATATTGTCATTTCCCAAATAATATTTGTTGACTGCCACCTTAGGCTTTTTGACCTCTTTAAAATGGAGTGAGAGTATTTTAGGAAGAGCCATATTGGAGAGATCTTAGATGCATTTTACTGAATTGTATCTCACATTCCTCTAAATCTTAATGTTTTGTGTGGTGGTCAGGTGTGGCTGTTTCCTATATCACCTCAGACCCTTTATTCCATACATCTGGGGCATTTCCTCCAGGACGCATAGGTGGAGTTGTATCTTTGTCCCAGTTTTCTCCTGTCTTTTCTTTCCTTACAGAGCATAAAGAAATAGTATCAGGTCTTCCCTTCTTTTCCTTCTCTTCTTACTCAGCATAGCTAAGCCTTCAGGTAGTTTAGGTTTGTTCACCTTTTGCTTTGTCCTAGAGGCCACCATTTGCGGGGAAAAGTTCTCCTTCCTTCCTAATGTCCCCTTCCTTCCTAATGTCCCCTTCCTTCCTAATGTCCCCCAAGGACTGTTTTTTACTCTTGCATTCTCAGTGCATCATCATGTTCTCCCGCACTGGAGAGGGATCATGATGAAATTTCTAAGAGTTCAGAACTGAGATAGTTTTTTTTTCTCTGACTTCAGGTATGCTTCTGGAAGAAAGGAGATTTATTTTGGAGGGAGAGCATATCTAAAAATTCGGGAAGAAGCACCTCTTATTTTAGGGAGAGGAAAATTTTTAGTGTCATTATAGAGTCGCTCTAGATTATCTGTTTTCAAAAACTAAGGTCCGTTTGACATTTTGACCAAGCTTTTCCTCTTGGTTGAAAGAAGTGAAATTCCAGAGATCCAGCGTATTGCCTTCTTTTCCCTCTTGACTCTTTTCTCTGCCATGGCAACATTTAGTTTCATGTCCCACCCGATAGCTGCACAGCTTGTAGTTCTCCTGTGTGTGACCAGGCCTCCCCCTTGTTCACATACACCACCTTGGGGTGGCAGAGCTGTTTCAGCTTCAGACCAGATTGTCTGTCAGTGGCTTTCCGGATTTTTCTATAAACGTTAGCTGTTACTATTCTTCTGTAGATGTGCTCTTGGTCAGCAACTAGGCCTAGAGTATGGCTCTCTGAAGGGAATGAGGCAAAGGTGGCTTCCCAGATGTCAGCAGTATAGCACAATTATTTTAAAAGTTGGTATGATTTAATTTAATTTACATTTTCTGAGTTATAATTTATCATGTTCCAATTTCATAAGTACTTAAGATATTTATAAAAATTTACAGGTTGAAAACATGCTGATTAGTAACCAAGGAACAATTAAACTGTGTGATTTTGGCAGTGCTACAACTGTGTCACATTATCCTGACTACAGCTGGACTGCTCAGAAGAGAGCAATGGTTGAAGAAGAGGTAAGAAATTATAATGGAATCTTAAATATTGGTCCATTGACAAATAGAGGAAGAAAGGTTGCATGTAAAAAAAAATTTGTGATAGTTTCTTATTGCCTTAATTGCCCATTCTACCCAAACAGTGATTTAAACAATTTCGTATGGAATTAACCCAAATATGACTGCAGAATTATAGGGCTGCCATTTTAACAAATCTAGCCTATGATTGTGAATGTCTAGAAAGGGAAACTCTGATAACAGAGAGCTAGCCAGTCTTCATTAAGAACAGATCATGCTAAACTAAACTTATTTACTGTTTTGACAGTGTTACTAAACTGGTAGATAAGGAGAAAGCTGAAGATATGGTTTAACTGGATTTTAGCAAACCATTTGATGCAGTCTTTCATACTATTAAAATTAAATGAATTTGGAACTAGTCGACTGAATAGTAGTCATTAATTGTTTGATGTCTGTGTGGGAGAAAGACCAGTAGACTGCCTCGGGGACCTGTGCTGGGTCTGTGCTGTTAAACAGCTTTATCAGTGATGTAGAGAAAGGCATAGGTGACTTAATTAATAGATTTGTAGATGATCCAAAGCTAAGAGGGAGAGTTCACATGTTGGATGACAGAGTCAAGATCCAAAAAGGTCTTGACAGGTTAGAACATTAAACTGAAGTGAATCAAATAAAATTTAATAGTGATAAATGGAAAGCTTTAAACTTGGGTTCAGAAAATTGGCTTAAGAAGGGGGAAGTATGGCTAGCAAGCAGTTTGAGAAAGATTTGGCGGTTTTCTTGTACTATAAGTCACAAAAGCTAATTTGTTCTCTGGGTTCAGTAAGAGAGGCAAAGGGCCCGGGAATAAGGACAGAAAGGCAGTGGAGTCCAGAGGGACTCATGATGAAATAGGCTGCCACCCATTTCCACAGAGAGGCAGTGGACTCAGTGCAGATTGAGACTTTTTTTTGGGAGATGCCTAATGTGGGGATCTGTTTTGCTTGACTAAACAGGTTTGTACCATTTTTTTTTTGCGTTTTTTTCCCCCAGTTACATATACAAATGTTTAAACATTCATTTTAAAAAATTTTGAGTTTCAAATTCTCACCCCTCCCATTGAGAAGGCAAGTAATTTGATATAGGTTATACATAGTTATGCAAAATATATTTCCATATTAGTCATGTTGTGAAAGAAAACACAGACCCCCCCAAAAAAACCCAATCCTAAGAAAATTTTTTTTTAAGGCAACTGGGGTTAAGTGACTTGCCCAGGGTCACACAGCTAGTAAGTGTCAGGTGTTTGGTCTGAGGCCAGATTTGAACTCAGGTACTCCTGATTTCAGGGCCGGTGCTCTATCCACTGCGCCACCTAGCTGCCTCTGAAAATTTTTAAAAGTAGAAAAAGCATGCTTTGATCTGCACTCAGACTTTATCAGTTCTTTCGCAGGAATTAGATAGCATTTTTCATCATGGGTCCTTTGAAATTGTGTGGGATCCTTGTATTGTTGAGACGATCTAATACATAATTCTCAATACGTTCTTTCTGTTATCTCCAATTTACCTTGTATATATCTTGTTTGTATGTACTGTTTGCATGTTATCTCTTGCAGGTGGTAGTGAGGGAGAAGTCTGTTTCCTTTTTTTGGGGGGGGGATGCTATTAATATTCCCAGTAATTGGATTAGCAGTGTATGTGGCTGTTTTTCCTGTTCTTTGAGATCTAAAACTGTTCTAATACTTGAGAGATCTGAGATAAGTACCCTAACATGTAGGGTGTACATATAATGAGAGCAAATTTTACCTCCTAAAACAACCATTATTATTGAAGGCTTTATTTTGTTCTATTCAGTCAAATGGTTTTTCAGAACTACTGAATAACAGAGCAAACACAGTTGGATCTTATATTTTCTGTCAGTGATATGATATGGTCTGGATGGTCCCAAACCACAAACTACAAAATCTGACAATTCTTGAATGTTTAAATGCACTTTACATGCATTGCTCATTTAATCCCCACAGCATTCTTAGGAGGGTAGGTAGTACATGCTTTATTACCATAGTGTTTTTAGGTAAGGAAGCAGGCTTTTAGAACTTAAGTGACCCAAAAAGCGAAATATACCTGAAAGTATTTGAAGACAGCTAGGTGTTCAGTGGATAGAGTGCTAGGCCTGGAGTCAGGAAGACCTGAGTTCACATGTGTCCTCAGACACTTACTATCTGTGTGACCTTGGGCAAGTCACTTAACCCTTTTTACCTCAGTTTCCTCATCTGTAAAGTGGTCTGGAGAAGGAAGTGGCAAATCCCTCCAGTATCTTTGCCAAGAAAACTCCAAATGAGGAGGTCATGAGAGTCAGACATGACTGAAATGACTGAACAACAAAAATTTGAAGACATGTTATTCTCTTACATATTTTAAAGTAGAACACCATTGCTATAAAACTTTTCTTTGTAGAGCGTGTACTGCAACCTGAATCCTCTTCCCATTCTGAGGAACATTAAAGTTAATAAGGTTTTATTATACTTATTAGTAGTAATTTAATAAATGTTAATTTTAATTTATTTGAGGTAGGTGCCTTTAATGAATTGCCAAAAATACATATTTTGGCTTGCTTCTAGGTTTCATTCATTATCTTTTCCCTTACACACCCGTAGTTTATACTTAAAGCCACGTTAATAAAGTAAAGCCCAAATTTGGTCAGTGGGAAGTTGTGCTCTGCTCCAGCTTTGAGAGTTTGGTAGTTGCACGTTTTCAACTGCCCCCTGTTCCAATAAAGACACTGAGGTAGAGTAGAAGATTGCTGGTTTGGGAGGCGGGAGCCTGGGCTCCAGGAAGAGGCAGGAGCCTGGACTCCAGTTTGGACTCGGATACCTGTCAGCTTTGTGACTCTGGGCAAAGTATTGCACCTCTGCAAGCCTCAGATTCTTCATTTGTAAAGTGATGGCATTCTTACCATCTTCTTGTTAGGAGTAACGGAAGCAGCCCCAGTGTACTTACTGGCAGCAGTCTAGGCCTGAGATTCATAGATGCACGTTCAAACAGAAGAGTACTTGACTGTTTATGTAATTTGCCTTGGTGTTTATTTTTATTATAAACTTAGTAGAAATAAAATGAATGATTGTAAAGATTGATGACCCTATAGTGAAAAATAATAGTACAAGCCTGAACATGAACAAAGAAAGGTCTGGACTAATTGGAAAATGAGAAACTCCCTAGGCTAAGGACTCTTTCATTTTGTTAGGGTCATTTTTTAGAAATTAAGATGTTATTTTTTGTGTAATTTTGCCTGTAGAGAATGAAATGTTTGAATTTGTCCATAGATCACAAGGAATACAACACCAATGTACAGGACACCAGAAATAATAGACTTATACTCGAACTTTCCAATTGGTGAAAAGCAGGATATTTGGGTAAGAACTGCTGTTCCTTCATTTGAATGGGTGCCTAGAAGGCAGCACTAGAATAATTTTGATGTTTGTGTTCCCATGACATTTGAGTTGTTATAAAGCAGCTGCATGTTTCCTTATGTCCGTGTGAGTACACAAGTGAGGATGAGATTTGGGGTTGTATCCCCGAGTCCTGCGGTTCTTCTTTCATCTTTAGGATCTGCTGTCTCTGATTGGTAGGAGATCATTAACTGGTTATGGCCAGGCCACATTTTGGCAGCATCACCAGACAGATCCTTAAGAATCATAGGCCATCATAAGTTTTGAACATTGGAATGTTCCACAAATAATAATTTGGATTCCAGGAGATTGTAGGGCCATCAGCAGAAATGGAATTTGGCCTTGTTTCTAATTTCTGTGTAACATAATATATTAATACATATATAAATGCACGTATATACACATGTACGCATTCTCTCTTTAAATGCTGAATTTTAATGAAAAAAAATCATTTGAAAGTACAGATTTCATAGCATTCTTCCAGTCCACTGGGTCAAGACAAGGAGTTGTAATGATGCTTCTTTTCATCATTTTTGTACAGGTGTGGTTGGATTTCAGTTCTATTTCTTAAAAATTGTCAGTATCCCTTGTGTTAGAGCTAATTGTTTGGCTGCAATTAGCATCTGTGACAAGGGCCTCTACCAGCTTGGAGACTCACTAAGCTTTTCAGCAAAAATGTTCTTTCTACAGCTGCTTCTTTTGGAATACAGTCTTACTTAGGTCAAGCCTTGATCAGTTTAGCTCTTTGCTCAGTTTTATATATAAGAAAGCTTGTGGAAGAAAGAGATGTGCTCCAGTGTTCTGATGACAGTTTCTGTTACCGTATACGCATGACTTTGTCTTTTTTATGATTTTAACTTTGAGAACCATGATCATGGTAAAGTAAATTATCCAGTGCCATAACCATGTACCTTAAAGATAGAAACATAGGAAAGTCATTCTTACATTTCAAGAGTAACTGTCATCAGAATATGGTCCAGCATCTCTCTGTTCCCTAAGGTTCCATCTATATTATGAACAAAAGGTAGTCTTCAAGCAGAAAATGTCCAGATATTGTGTCAAGCTCAGTTACTTTCAACTTTGGAAGTTTAGAACTCTTGACTAGAGAGGAGGTTTGTATTTTATCATCAGAAGAAAGCCCATGTAATTTGCCTGCCGTTTTTAAATTCCAAGAGACACTAAGATATAGTGGAAATAGCTCTGGGCCTGGAGTCACAGAGCTCCAGGTCTGAATTTTAGCTTTGTATGACATTAGATCTTTGGGCATTGGCAAGTTGTTGAACTTGTGAGTTTCCATTTCCTCCTTAGTAAGGTGGAAACAATCCCTACTCTCCTGGGCTCTTGTCAGAGGAGTACAGAAACTTGACAGGCTTAGATTTTTGAGTAGTTAAATTAGCAACTTTCCTAACTGCCTTTGTGCTTTGGTAGGCACATTAGGTTTATGTTTATAATTAGTTACATTTGACCCTAACTCAAAAGAAAAGTATTTTATTGAATAGTGATTACCACTTAGAAAGGTTACCTGAAAGGAGTGGGTGAAGAGAGGTATTATGTGCTAGAGTAGTCAGAAAAAATTCACACTTGTTTTCCAGACTGATATTTGAATAGGTCTAGTTTACTAATTGTATTTTAGCTTCTGTGCACTAGTGATCTTCTGTTTCCACTAATTTTTCAATAGGCCTTGGGCTGTATCCTATACCTGTTGTGCTTCAGGCAACATCCTTTTGAAGATGGAGCAAAACTTCGGATAGTTAATGGAAAATACTCAATTCCACCAAATGACACAAGATATACAGTTTTTCATGACCTCATTCGTAAGTTGAACATTGAAATTTACAATAGACAGTTTTTAAACAGTTGAGAGGAACTCTACAGAAAAGGCAAAAGTCGGGTTGGTTAAGGCTTCATGGGTATCGCTTGGAAGCCACAAGTTTTCTGAAGCCACAGTCAAGGAGTTGGGAGCCTTTGTTACTCCACTGCTCCATGGGCTTTTTGGGTGCTTTTTGACACAAAAGGGGTTGTAGGATGAAGGAAGTAGTAGAGGAAATAGCCACAGATCAAGCAGTATGGTTATAGGAGAGCATGGAATAGCTAGTTTGAATCTTCCTCAACTTCAGTCTTCCAACTTCAGTTGGAAGATCCATAGAATTATTATGGATGACTAATAGTCCTGACAATTAATATGGCAGCTTATTTCAGCCCTCTCCTGGGCATGTCAGATTGCTTCCTAATGATTTCATCGTGTGAACCCAACCCTTAAAAGTTCTAAGACCAGAACCATTCCTTAAAGGATGAGAAAGATTTCAATAGATGGAGATTGGGGAGGGGAGTGGGCAGAGCAAGGCATAGGTGGATGGTGTAAATGCTCAACCCCATGACATGGCAGAATGACCTTATAAATATTTGAGTAGTCTGGTGGGGCTGGAGTATAGACTGTAAGTAGTGTCATAGAATCTTAGCCCTGGAAGCAATCACAAAAAATTTCCTTCTACAGTATTCTTGACTTGTATCCTCTACTTAAAAACATTCAGTGATGAGAAACTCTCTGGCTCCAGAAGTAGTTTATTCTACTGATGAACAGTTGTAACTGTTAATAATTTTTTTCTTGATTAAGCTGAAATCTGCATGTCTTAACTCCAACTCTTTTTCTTTTTTTTAAGATTAATTTATTTTGATTTATCAACAAACACTTCCATATGCTTTTGAGTTTAAAATTTTTCTCCCCCTTCCTCCCCACCACCCTCCCCAAGATGGTGCACAATCTGATATAGGCTATACATATACATTTCTGTTAAACATACTTTCACATTAGTGATGTTGTAAGTAAGAATTAGAACCAATAGGAGGAACCACCAGAAAGAGGAAACAAAACTCATCAGAATAAAAGAAAATAGCAAATAGTATGCTTCGATCTGCATTTAAACTCCATAGTTCTTTCTTTGGATGTGGATAGCATTTTCCATCACGAGGTCTTTGGAGAAGTCTTAGATCCCTGTATTGCTGGGAAGGGTTAAGTTTATCAATATTAATCATCGTACAACATGGCTGTTATTGCATACAGTGTTCTCTTGGTTCTGCTCATTTCACTTAGCGTCAGACCATACAAGTCTGTAGTATTCCATTACATTCATATACTGTAATTGGTATTCCCCAATTGATGGGCATCCCCTCAATTTCCAGTTGTTTGCCACCACAAAAAGAGCTGCTATAAATATTTTTGAACATGTGGGTCCTTTTCCCATTTTCCAGCCCTTTTTCTCTTTCACTTACTGGGTCTTGATAACCCTGTGGGACCAAGCAGAACAAGTCTTATTTGTGTTCCCTATGATAGTACTTTAAGTACTTAAGGACGAAGATACTCTTCCTCCTAAAGTTTTCTCTTTTCCAGGATAAACATTTCCATTTCCTGGATTCCCTTTCCCATTCTCACCTACTTTCTTTTTGTCAATACTCTTTCTAAATAGAGACATCCAGAACTGATGAGATGGAGTTTAAACCAAAACTCATTAAAAGTGTGCAGTACTTTAACATCTAGTTGAAGAATTCCATTTCCATACTATGTGGGGCCTTTAAAATACTGAAAGACAGAGAAATGTCAAAATTGAAATGCATATGCATATTTATTTCACATTTGAAGGGGAAGGCTTCTTTTAATTGTATAGTTAAAATTCATGCAAAATGCCACCAGTGCTATATTTAATTCCCATTTAGTTTTGTGGATATTTAGCATTGAACATTTGAAATAGTTTTCCTAAAGTATGTTTACCTACAATCACAACCTTCTAAATCATATAATTCTATGAGATTGGAAAAAAACACTTGAGAGCATAAGAGTCAGTAAAAGGGAATAGAGTTAAATAAACTTGGAAAGGTAGGATGGGGCCAAGTTGTGGATGAATTTGAATGCTGGGCCAGGGAGTGTGCTTTATTTTATTTGGGAGGCAAGAGGAAGTCAGTGAAGGCTTTTCAGTTAGGGAAGTTACTTATTTGGACCTGTGCACAATGAAGTTTAGTTAGCGTTGGTATGAGGGAATGGGTTAGAAAGGGGAGAAGAGACTAGAGGCGAGTTAGTACAATAGCCTAGTCAAGAAGCAAAGAAGCTCTGAATTAGCTTTGTGAGGGCAAGGGAAGGTCCATTCACTTATGCAGATCATCTGCCATATCTGAAAAATACTCATGCCACATCTTCCCCTCACTGGAATTTTAATTTTCCCCTTCAAGATGGCAGACATTTTCATGAAGTCTTTCCTTTTCTCTCAACTCAATGACCCTTTCCTCTTTAGATTTTTTTTAAGGCAGTGGGGTTAAGTAACTTGCCCAGAGTGACACAGCTAGTTAAGTGTGTAAGTGTTTGGTCTGAGGCCGGATTTGAACTCAGGTCCTCCTGACTTCAGGGCCGGTGCTCTATCCACTAGGCCACCTAGCTGCCCCTCCTCTTTCTTAAGATTTCTTAAGATGCTTTGTCCGAACTTCTTATCACAATCTGTTTTTTATCATACTTATTCACTACATTTCTTATCTCCTCAGAGGATTAATTAGTTGTAGGCCTTGATCATGTGGTCATTTTTCTTTGTTACCCCAGTACTTAACACTTATTAGGTATTTAATAATTGGTGGATTGGTAGACTAGAGAACTAGTTTGAGGTGTTTGGGAAAAGCTGTTGTTCATTGATTGGGTGTGGTGGGAGGGGAAGGGTATTAGGAAGTGAGTAGAGTCATGAATAACTCCAAGGTTCCTTGGGAGAATGGTAGAGCCATCCACAGATATCAGAAAGTTAGAGGGGTATCATCCATAAAAAAACGAGCTGGAATTCCATTAAGGAGTTAACTTAGCCTTAAGGAACAATTCAACTGATCAGGCTAGTTCAGATTCCATTGTATCTGAAGCTTCCAGGCTGGTCATTCTAGGCATTTCTTAGATCACATGATATTCTGTTGATAGTCTGAAGTCATTATCATAACCCTGGTAATGATTCTACCTTGAATGAGTTACTATAATTTCTTAGAGCAGAACAAGGTGAGGAGTCATTTTTACAGTGCACATATGCTCCAGGTCTTCATGTTTACTTTGAAACGTGATGGTAACTTTTTTCTTCTTTGTGGTAATGGTGGAGAGTGAGAGGTTGAACTCTTTTTTTTTTCCTGTAAATTTGAGGGAGCACTTTCTTTCTCTGCACTTGTTTCTTCTCCCCTCTGTCCTGTATTTGTGCTCATCAACCCAATCATGACCAAGCAAAAGTTATCTTGAAGGTTCATGGGTGAGAGGAGAATTGACTTACTTATCTGCATATAGATTTTTTGGAAACACTTGGCACTTTGATCCAAAGGAGCTTCAGTCGCCAGCCTATAACTGGATCATTCTCTGAACTTTTGACCTCAAGGATCAGAATAGTAGGGATTTTTTGGGCTGCCCCGAACTGCTAGGTGTCCTGGCTTCTGCTTCTGTGGTCATGTACAGGGTAGAAGGGAAGTGGGGTGAGCAAGCATGGCAGTTCCTACTTGCACTATTTGCCACTGCCTTGCTGTTACCTGGTCCTGCTCTTTCTGCCAACTTTTTGCCTTTTAAAACCTGTAGAGAACTGGAGAAGAAGGGTTAAAAGTTATTTTTTTTCTGTTCTGTGACTCCACATGGTTGAAGAGGATTAGCTGGGGGCATTATTACCTAGGAAGGTTGTGGTATCTTCAGTCACTTACTGTTTAGATTCCTACTTCTAGAATGGTTTAGGGGTGCTTTTGTCTGAAGGCAAGAGGGTGGACTTGGACCTCTCTGATTATCTGGTCTGGTTGAGGAAATTTGCTGGTTTGGAATTTATTTTCACTGTTGAATTAGTGAAAGGGGTCTGATGGGACCCCTTGCTAGTTGTTAGTGTGAATTTTTTTATTGTGGATTATGTTAAGTTTCATGTAGCAGCACAGTCTCTCTTAGAGCTTTTCTGTAAACATTAGATTGAGAGGACACAAGTATTAGGGGAGATTTGTAGGGAGGGGTAGGAGTGAGAACAGCATGATTGCTTGGTCTGTCTTCATTACCTTCTCTCCTCCCTTCCATCCCTGACAAAACCAAACCAAACCTACGACACACACCACTGGTCCTCCACAAGTATATGCACATGCATGTTTTCTGATATGAACCCTTATTTAGGGGATCTGACTTTGAAGGTCATGCATTGTTTTTAATTCAGTGTTTAATCCTTTTAAAAAATTCAATGAGGCAGCTAGGTGGATAGTAAGCTAGACTTGGAGTCAGGAAGAAAAATCTGAGATCAAATTGGGCTTCCTCCACTTTGTAGTGGTGTGACTCTTACTTAATTTCTCTCTGTCAGTTTCCTCATCTGCAAAATGGGGACAATAGCAGCATCTGTCTCCCAGGGTTGTTGTGAGGGTAAAATGAGATAACATATCTAAGGCTTTGTAAACCATAAAGGTTTATGTAAATGCTACTATTATTATTATCTGAAATGCTTTGAATTTTAACAGATTTTGTTGTCTTGATAACTTCTACTTTGCCATTGCTCTGTCTATGTTACCTAAATTGCTTTTAAATGAACATAAATTCTGTTCTTTATGGGAACATCTTCTGACTACACATTCAGGTTCAGGTTTTTTCTCTTGCTTTTTTTGGGTTGATAACAATTGCTAGCTTCATTCTGCCTTTTCTGATAACATTTTCAGGACTGATGTAACTAAAACATACTTCTATTTTAAGGCTCCACGTTGAAGGTGAACCCAGAAGAAAGGTTGTCGATCACAGAACTTGTGAATCAGCTACAGGAGATAGCAGCTGCTAGAAATGTGAATCCAAAGTCACCTATCACAGAGGTAAGGGAAAGAGGTTTTATACTGTTTTATTGAGTGGTCTTTCTTAGGTTGGCAATGGAAATTCCAAGTAGTGCTTGAACTTGTATATGCAACTTTCCGAAAGAGAAGACTACTTTCATATCAATTTACCTACCCCATCTGTCCTACTTCTGCAGTGTTAGCCTTCCATGTTCTTGACTGTTGCCTTCTATCCCTAGAATTAGTAGAGTAGAAATGGAGAAATAGTTAAAAAAAAAAAAAAGCAACACCCTGTGATGCAGGGTTAGGACAGTTTCATGGCTTGGGAAATGATGAGGCTGCTGGGGTAGAGGGGAGAACATCTTATAACCCAAGCTTATTGATCACCTGAGGTGCCTTTTAGTGATGGAGTTAGGCATGTTACCTGCTCTTTTGCCTCTTTTCCCATGTGACTTACAAAAAGTTCCATATAGAACTGTAGAAGTGAACCTGGCCCTTGTCCCTTTGTAAGAGTTTGGTTTAGTCGTGCTGAGGTTAAGGGCAAGCCAGTTCTTCACCTGCTAACTTTGGTGATGTAGTCAGTGACGGTAGAGGCAAGCCTTTGTGGTGTCCTCCAATCTAAGGAGTGATCCTCAGGGAGATTGGGTTAGTCTTTGAGCTGCCCTGGTTTTAGGATTCCTCTAAGGCTGAGCTTTGAAGAGCCAAGCCTAAAGTGATTGAACCATTGGCAGTTTGCCAGTTCCCTCACTTTTTTGTGTCATTCGGAGTAGTGGGAGTAGGCTATGTTGTGATTGTTCTTTTGTTCTTCCCTAGGCTCTTGGGGGCTGTTCCATTTGACCACCCTCTTATCCCTCCAAAGAGACTTGTTCTTCCTGTGTGGATAAAACATGAATCTTATTTCAGTAGATAGAGTGCCAGCCTAGAGATAGGAAGACCTGAGTTCAGATCTGGTCTCAGACACTTATTAACTTTTTAACTCTAGGCAAGTCATTTAACCTCTTTCTGCCTCAGTTTCCTCAACTGTAAAAGGGGGTAATAATAGCATCTATCTCACAGGGTTATTGTGAGAATCAAATGAGATAATATTTGTAGAAGCACTATATGTCCCTAGCATATAGTAAGTACTATGTAAGTCCCTATTTCCTTCTCTAGTCCATTATCTCCATTCCTCCTACCAGTCTCTGTTTTTTAACACATTGGAGACATATTTCTGCTCTGGATATCTCTAGGAAAGGTCATTACTGCGGTTTATCAGAAGGAAAGATCTGTGACAACCCCAGTCCCTGAAAGAATAATCCTAGCAGATGTTGCTGGGCCCCTGTCAGACTGTGGGTTTGGCAGCTTATGGAAATTAATGCTTTTGTTCCTGAGTTTTTGCTTTTTTGTGAAGAGTTTCCCTTGGAGCTCCTGTGATTGGTAGGTTTGCTGATGAAGTATGTGAACTGCCTTTATGAAAACATTACAAGCAACAAGCCTGTGAGTGGAATATATTCCTCAGGTACTCTGTCTGCTGGACCCTGGTGTCAACAGCATGTCCATCTGTTGTAGAGAACCTACATTTGATCAGGCAGATACTGATTAACAACATCTTGAATTTTCATAGTATTTCATACTTTACAGAGCCCCTTCTCATGAGAATTCCACGGCACACCATCCCTTTAATTCAGGATTCATTAGTCACGGGCTTACAGCTCAAAGGGATGGCAGAGGCCATTTAGTTAAACCTCCTTGTTGTACAGGGAGGGAAACAGACACAGAGGGCTTTAGAGGCTTAGCTATGGTCACATAGCAATGCCAGAGCCAAGGTCTGAACACCCAGCTTCTGATTCCAAAGCCACTGCTCTTTCTCTTGTGTGTAGGTAAAGAAACTGGAGCCATGAAATGTTGTTCTTTACTGTCAAGATCACCCAGATCCAGTCTTAGAACTCATGTGTTCTCACTCTCAGTCTAGGATGCTTGGCTCTGTTCTCACCCCTCGGTGTGTCTGTTGTTTATAGGTCTTCATGTTGGTTCTGATTCTCATTCCATCTCCTCATGCTGCCCAAGCATTTGAATTCAGAGGGTCTCTGATGTTTGAAAATGAGGCATATGAGTTGGTCTCTGCCCTTGGTTCCCACCCTCTAACTGCCTGCATTATTACCTCACACTTTTCTTCAGAAAGTCTTAGTTTATTGTGTTAAACCTTGAGATTCAGATTGTCTTTAGTGATTTTTCATTCATCCCCTTTCCTTGCTTGTCCACCTCTGCATTCCAGATTTAATAAAATAAGTTTTGACTAATGAGCCCCTAAAATGTGGACTTGGAAGGGACTAGAGAGATCCTTTAGTCTAGGAGTTCTTACTTTTTTTTTTTTTGTAGTTAGGCAGTTGGGGTTAAGTGACTTGCCCAAGGTCAACAGCTAGTTAAATGTCAAGTGTTTGGTCTGAGGCCAGATTTGAACTCGGGTCCTCCTGAATTCAGGGCCAGTGCTCTATCCACTGCTCCACCTAGCTGCCCCTCTTACCTTTTTTGTGGCACGCTGTGGCCCCCCTCTGGCATGCAGAGGAAGGCTTTGATTTCCTACTCCAAATGCTGTTAAATGCATAAAATAAGATACCAATTATAGTAAAAGTTATGGAAATATTTGAAACAGTGGAGAGGCTTCAGGTTAAGATCCCCTGATATAGTTGGATTCCCTCATTTTTCAAATGAGAAGACCAAGCCCCTAACGGGGAAGTGACAAGACCAGATGGCTGCTGACTAGCATAGACTCTTGAGTCTGGTTCCCTGTCTCCAAACCCAGCACTTTCCTCTTACTGTAGGGTCACCTTTGTGAGTGGCGGTGTTGGAACGTCTCTGTACAGGACTCATGACATTTCTGTACCGCTTTAGAGTTGACAGACTCCTTTCTTTACTATAGCCCAGCAAGACAGGGGCTGCCATGTAGTCTACCCGTTTTACAGAGGAGGGACCTGGTAGGAACCAGGTTCTGACTCCCAGGTCACTAGTCCTTCCACTGTGACATCTTGTCTTTTTTTTCTTTTTCTGTTTTGGTGAGGCATTTGGTGTTAAGTGACTTGCCCAGGGTCACACAGCTAGTAAGTGTCATATGTCTGAGGCCGGATCTGAACTCAGGCCCTCCTGATGCCGAGGCCGCGGCTCTATCCACCATGCCACTTCGCTGCCCTGACATCTAGTCTTTATGTGGTCTGATGCACTGGCTATGCTGACCGCTTTGTTGAAGTTTCTGTTGTGCAGTGTTCATCACAGAGTGTGACATCATGAAGGTTCAGGACTCCAGACCACCCTTAACCTTGTTTTGGTGAGCTGAGGCGGGCTGCGAACATCACTGACTCTCCTTGGCTAGGGTTTTACCGCCTCTGCATCAAATAGAGATTCTTTAATCATTGGTGGCAGTCGGTGCCATGGCTTTTCCCTAAAGAAGATCTTGAATTGTGTGGTTTCCCGGGATTGTAGTTGTTTCGGCTGTCTGGATTCTGACTTTAAAAAGCTTTGGCTGTAAGCCTCGCGCAGGATAGTTTGTAGTCTCCTTGTGTTTGCCGCCAGAGCACTGAAAGGTTGATGGTATCGAGACATCTCAGGAACTGTTGTTCAAGTAATTTTTTAGTCATTAAGAAACAAAACCAAAGAAATGCAGATTCAAAAAAACCCGGAGAATTATCAGAAAGAAAGCTTAACGTTAACAAACCATTTTGTGATTTGTTTTGGGATGAACTAAAAGGTTCTTTTTGCATTTCTTATTAACTGATAAACTTCATGAGTAAGAACAATGAGCAGATTCGTTAGTTGCTTGCCTCTTTTCTCAAGGATAATTATTTAAATCTTCTGTCTTATTATTCAGAGGTATGTTATGGCATCCAAGTCTGGTTTCTTGGGATGCAAGGTAAGACTTGTGCAATTCAGACTTCATGAAATACAAGAGCAGTCATCAAGGCGTCATCTTTTACAAATTTGATAAAGAAATGTAGCTAGAAATATAATTTATGAACGTGATAAATGTTCTTTGCTTTGGGCATGAGTTATTGGAAATGGGGACATTTACAGTTATATATCCATAACTACAAAGACAAAAATCAAATGTCTTTGTATCTTGGTATGATATTTGTTTGCTTTAAATTAGTAGCTTACTTTGTTTTGAGGAGAGTACAGTATAGTACTCCCACTAAAATAAATGCTACTTTTATCTGTGTGATTCCTCTGATATAAACTTGGTAGAGTGAACTTGTGGAAGGAAATGTTTGACAGGTTTTGGTGATGGCCCCCCCCCCCCAAAAAAATTGGGGTAAGATTTAAATAAAGTTCTTGGATTGTCACTTTAACTTATTTCCCCTGAAAATTGTAATCTCTGAATTTATAATATATTATTTTTGTATATTTATTATTGTGTATTCATTATATTCTACCTGTTTTCAAGAAGATTGGAGGCAACTTGCAAAGTCAATACCAGTATAATTCTGCCTCTTTGCAATTTTTATCCATTGTTTCTAGTTCTGGCCTCTGGGGTGAAGCAGAACAAGTGGAATCCGTCTTCCATGTGACAACCCTTCAGACACTTTAACAAAGCTAACACATTCCCTTAAAGACTTCTCTCATTTGGGTTTGATCTCCCCAAGTTCCTTCATATGATCCTCATATGGCCGCACATGGTCTTCATGCCCTTCGCCATTCTTGTTGCTGTTGAGCTTATCGGTGCCCTTCCAAAAATCCAGAGCAGAATGCAGTACTACAGCTGTGGTTCGAGGGGGGTGAGGACAGTGGCACTGACTTCCCTGGTAATGGATGCTAAGCTTCTCTTGATTTATCTTGAGATCACATGAGCTTGTTGTAGCTCGCCTGGTACCGCTGACTCACACTGAGCTTGTTGTCTAACAGAATCCCCAGCTCTTTATTAAGTAAACTTCTCTCCCACCACATCACTTCTGTTTTTATGTCAAGTTTATTTTTGAACCCTTATGTAAGATTTTACATTTATCCGTATTAATTTTCATTTGATTTGGCAACTAGATCAGTGGTGTCCCAGTAGTGTTGGACCTGGAATTAGGAAGACCTGAGTTCAAATGTGGTCTCAGACACTTAGCAGCTGTGTGACTGAGCAAGTCACTTAACCTCTGTTGTTTCAGTTTCTTCATTGTAAAATGGAGATAGTAATAGCAGTTACTTCCCAGGGTTGTTGTGAAGATAAAATGAGGATATTTATAAAGTGCTTTGCAAACTTTAAGGGCAGGAGGGGGGAACATGCATTCATATAGCACTTTCTATGTGCCAGCCACTTGTAGTAAGCACTTTTACCAATATTATCTCATTTTGTTTTCACAGACAACCTTGTGAAATGGGTACTATTATTATCCCCATTTTACAGTTGAAGAAACTGAGCAGAGGAAAAGTGACTTACCTAGGGTCACACAGCTGTTTAAATTCAGATCTTCCTGACTGTAGACCCAGTACTGTAGCCACTGCACCACTAGCTGTCTCTGAAGTATTGTATAAATGCTAGCTATTACTATCTGATTGGATTTGGATCATTTTAGATCCTAACCTGGTCATTTACTACTATGCTTGCCATCTATGCTTTATCCACATCATTTTACCCCCCCCCAAATATATATATATATATATATATAAATATATATGTATATATGTATATGTATATATAGGGTGCTCCACTGGAGACCTCCTCTCAAGGTGACATTGAATCGTTAATATCACCTTTTTAGATCCAGTCATTAGATGTTGTCGCAGTATTGTCCAGTCACATTGTCTTGTCTACAGCTCTTGATGAGAGGCATTGTCAAATCCTTTGCAAAATCTTAAATGTGTTCTTTGTTCAGTTTAACCTGAGCCTCAAGTTATTCTCCCTGGTTCATTCCAGACCCAAGTGTCTGGCTCACTGTTTTGCTAAGCAGCCTTATTTACTGCAGCTTAAATTAGTTTCAGTTTGGACTGGTTTAGAAATGGCACAGTCTCAAGTTTGATTTATATGTAAGTATACAGTAAAAGTATTTATTATTAAAATAATGAAATAGGATTAGGATTAGGAAGTAGGATAGAATTAGAGTTAGTAAATCCCAATAGGTAACAAAAATATACTTAAGTTTCAATTGGTGTCAAATCTTGTCACAATCAATCGTCACCATCAGGGGAACCATGACATCTAGATCACTTGGGCTGAGGAGTCCCAGTTTTCAGCTTCCCAATGGGAAAATCCCAGGTTACACGTCTGCACCTTGAGGGAGACTCCAAAGATAAAGTCAGGGCTACCTGCTTTCAGTAGTTCCTTCTAACAGAGAAGGCAATGTGCCAAAAAAATACATAATCTGTGGGAAAGGACCTCTCTCAAAAAGCCTGAGAGTATTCCTGTTTATGAATATCTGGTTCCTGGAGGGGTGGCCAGCTCTATCTGGGAGCAGATACCACAAACAGTCCTTCAACATCTACCTAGGAATAAGATTAACATGAAAAAAGAGTCAGGGTCAAAATGCAGGCATACCGAATGAGGTCAGAATGTCTTTTTTGAATTCATTCATCACGGTCATGCTCATCATTGTTTATTCCCTCCTTTTTTTAACCTAAGGAACCTTTTTTTGTTTGTTTGTAAGGCATTTGGAGTTAAATGACTGTCCAAGGTCACACAGCTAGTAAGTGTCAGGTGTCTGGTCTGAGACTGAATTTGAACTCGGGTCCTCTTGACTACAGGGCTGGTGCTCTATCCATTGCACCACCTAGCTGCCCTCTAGGGAACCTTTTGCAGCTAATGGTGGTTATTGCTCCTTAACAGTTTGTCTCCAGAAAACAAGAATAGAGCCTTCAAATAGGACTGGACTCTAATATAGTTTATCGTATCATAGATTGGAACGTGCTGCTTAAGATTAGATAACACCTAGCAGTGGCATGTACTTATGTATTTATCTCTGATTGCATGTGTGTATGTGTGTGTGTGCTTGCATCATATTCCTTAATGCAAATACCGTCCTTTTCTGGGGATTCCAGTTCACCTCTTATCTCCTGGACATCTTAAGTATATTAGCATAAATATGCTAATTTTCCTCATATTGATAGCTCAGTCTGATCTCATCTCTGATTTTGCATCATCCAACTCATGTCCAAAGCTTCCATTTTTGGGGTGATTATACAGTCCGGTTCTGGCAAATTTACAGCTCTCATTCCCTAGCTAAGCATCCATTATGTTCCAACACATCTTTTTTTTTTTTGGTTTGGAATTCTTGCTAAGTTCCTGCTCTACTTATTGTAAACTAATCATAGAATATCAGTGACTGTCTGCTCTGTCTGAGAAGATACCTACTCACAACAGCATATTAGATAAGTAGTCATTTAACCTGAAGACCTCTACTGATAGAGAACTTACTACCTCATGAGGTTGCCCATTTCACTTTTGGACAACTTCAGCCAAATATGAATCCAGATGAGGTGTGGAACTCTTGCTTCTTTCAAATTTTTGGTCACTGAATTATTAGAAAAACAGATCCTGAAACAAAATGTCTTTGCTTGGGTGCTATGTTATAAGACTTGTTTTCTTTCTTGTTTTCAGGAAAATGTACCATCTGTGTGGTGATAAACTGGATGGGGTGAGGTTTATAGTGATAGTATGGCAGTAATTACTTGCAACTTGTCCTTTGACTTTAAATATTTTTTCCATTACACGTAAACAATTTTTTAGCATTAGGGTTTTTAAAAATTTTTAGTTCCTAATTTCCTTCTTTCCTCCTTCCTCTTCCCCTTTCCTGAGGAGGCAGGTAGTTTGATATAGGTTTTACATGTGCAGTCATGTAAAACATATTTCCGTATAGTCATATTGTAAAAGAGAACAGAGACAAAAAAAAACCTAAGAAAAATAAAGAAAGTTTTAAAAAAGTTGCTTTGATTTGCATCTATACTCCATTAGTTCTTTCTCTGGAGGTGGTTCATCCTAAGTCTTGGGAATTGTCTTGAATCATTGTATTGCTGAGAATAGCTAAGTCATTCACAGTTGATCATTGTATAGTTTTGCTGTTACTGTGTACAATGTTCTCCTGGGTGTGCTTACTTCACTTTGTATCGGTTCATATTAGTCTTTCCAGATTTTTCTGAATGCATCCTGTTCATCATTTTTTATAGCACAATATAGTATTTCATTGTAACCATATACCACACTTTGTTCAGCCATTCCCCAATTGATGGGCATCCTATCAATTTCCAGTTTTTGCCACCACAAAAAGAGCTCCTATTAATATTTTTGTACATATAGGTCTTTTCCCTTTTTTAAAAAAAATCTCTTTGGGATACTGACTTAGTAGTGGTATTGCTGGGTCAAAGCGTTATGCACAGTTTACTCTCCAGAATGGTTGGATCAGTTCACAACTACCAACAACAGTACATTAGTGTCTCAATTTTCCTGTATCCCCTCCAACATTTGTCATTTTCCTTTTCTGTGTTAGTCAGTCTGATAGACGTGAGGAAGTAGCTTTTGCATTTCTCTAATCAACAGTGATTTATTGCATTTTTTCATAGAACTATAGATAGCTTTGATTTCTTCTGCAAACTGCCTGTTAATATCTTTTGGGAATATAACTTGCTGTTCTTTGAAAAAACTATAGCTAATTGGAAAGCTGGGTAATGATACAAACTGATGGTGACAATTTTCATTATAAAGGAAATGATTTTGGACTACTTATTCATCATTTCAGTCCACAAAAACTCTTCAGGTTTGGAAACTTGGGAAAACCATGCTTTTCTTGAAGAAAGGCTTTTTTTTTAAGGTAGCAGCATTATCATTTCTTGTTACTGCCATTATTTTAGCACTTTTAAGGTTAAATAAGGGTTTCATTTATATGATAACACAATATATATATATGTTTTCTTTTATGGTGAATTAAGTATGCAGAGTTTCAGCTTTTCAGACTTGATAGGCAGATAATTCATTTGTTATACCTAACTTAAAACCTTAAGGTTAAGGCTGGAATGGACATAGCAGGTATTAGATTGTGAAGTAAACCTAGAAAGTGTGGTACTGCATCTGACCCATATTTTTTATTGTAAATAATCATTACTGATTATTATTATCCCATTATTTATTGATTGATTAATATCCCATTAATTTGGGAGTCAGTAGTCAGTAAACATTTATTAAATGCCTACTATGGCCAGGCACTGCACTGGGATACAGTTAAGAAAAAAAAAGACAGCCCCTCCTCTCCAAGGAGTTTACAGCTTGATGGGAAAGACCAAACCCAAAGGGAAGGTGAAAAGGGGGCCTTGGGAAGAGTTTATTGCTTTACCTTCTAGTCCTCCAATCAGAGGGGAGAGTCAGCTGAGGGTGCTGAGGGTCGTTGAGGATCACAGCTGAATCAGTTTCCAAGATGATGAGATCTCAGGTGATAAGCTTATCTTGTGGGAGCCATGATATTGTGGTATTGAAACCAAGCAGAAGAGCAGCTCGGAAATGATGTTTTATGGGAGCTTTATGTAGTTGGGTCCTACAGTGGGGAAAATTCTAATGAGTCTGGCAGGGCAGGTATGTGGCCAGTGATGGCTAGGCCCTAGCGATGGAAGGCAACAACCTCCAAAGGAAAACTGAACCTGAGCTCCCTGTCGGCTTAGCACCACCCTGTTGGAATGCCACACAGGTAGTTCCTAGGAGCTGGAGACTGTGCTGGCCAGAACTACTAGCCCATTCTTGTGGGGACCCTGATTTGCCATGGGATTTATATTTTTGATTACAAAATGCACATGAGTGGACAAATAGGATTCACTTTATAGAGATTAACTTTTTTAGTCAACTTTGCTAAAAGCATTTATTCCTATCTTGGTGGTACCAACTTTATGGTACAGAAAAATTATTATAAGCTACTTATGTTGGCAGATTTTTGTTAATGCATCAAAACTCATGAACCCCCCCCCCCCATTAAAAGTGTGTGATGATAATAAATATGACAGTATTGACTCTTTACAGCTTCTGGAACACAATGGTGGTTATGGAAATAACATGCAACCTAGAGGCTCTCTCAGTTCAGTGCCACAGAGTGCTAAGGCCGTGGGGCAGCTCAGCAATGTGTACAGTGGAGGTATGTGTTCATATTAAAACTCCTGAATCTGCCTTCTTTCCATCGGTAGTATGTTCTAATACTGACTTTGTAATCTTTGTGAGCAGGAAATTCTCTATGAAGCCAAACTGGATAACATTTTGATTTATACTCATTTGAGTAATATTCAGTCATTTTAATTTTGATGTTGGTTTCCTTGTTGTTTAACATCAGAATTTCTGTACTTAAGTATGATTTTGGTATAGAAGATCCTCTCCATTTTAAATGGGAATCTTTGGGACAGGGTATGGTAAAATACATCTTTGCTTAAACGTATCTTTTCTTTACAATATAAATGAATAATAGCTAACATTCTCATAGTGTCTGCTGTGTGCCAGGCCCTGGGCTAAATGTTTTATAAATATTATGTCCCTTGTTCCTCACAACAATCCTGGTAGGTAGGTGTTGTTATTATCCCCATTGTACAGATGAGGAAACTGAATTAGATCTAGGTTAAATGACTTGCCCAGGTTCACACAACTATCAGGTGTCTAAAGCCAGGTTGGAACTCTTGTCTTCCTGACCCCAGGTCCAGCATTTTGCCACTTGCTTTCATATTGTTAATTACCTGAAAATGGGATTGTTGTAGCTTCCTATCTCCTTTTGTGCCTTTCACATAGTAGATACTTTATAAATGTCTGGTGAATGAGTAACTGAATTAAGAGTATGGTGTTCCCACAATTGATGGATATCCTCATGTTTGATGAATGAGTGACTGAATTAAGAGCATAGTGTCCTCATGACGTATTCTGCAGTAGTCCAAGGTGCTATTATTTTCTTGCTCTAGAATTTTTATTGCAGACCATGTGTGGTCTTAGTCACATTAATTGCACCCAACTGAGCTCCCTGCAATAGGCCTGACATCTTGTAATCCTTAATGCTAGGATCAGAGCCCTCCTTAACCTACATTTTGGGATGATCCTGGGTTGAGACCCTTTAAAGCTCATATTCACCCGGACTTTGTTAGTTCTTGTCAGATTCTCTATTCTTAGAGTCTACCTCTCTCTCTCTCTCTCTCTCTCTCTCTCTCTCTCTCTCTCTCTCTCTCTCCCCCCCCCATTCATTATTTTATTTAAGGTGCATAATTTACCTCTTCTATAGCCTTGATTAATACTCCCCATCTCACTGACAAGAACAGGTTCAGGCAAGACTTGTCATTTTTACCTTCATGACATCTTTGGAAAACGTCCCTGTTTCTCCTCTGATGTCCACCACCCTGGTTCAGGCCGTCCTCACCTTATGCTTGGATTATTTCAATAGCCTGCTGGATGGTCTGTCTGCTTCTAGTCTCTCCCCATCTAATCCATCCTCAGCTGTCAACATGATCTTCCTGAAGTACAGGTCTAACCAGGTCACACCCATAGCAGTAAACTCCAGTGACTATCACATACTCCAGGATCAAGTGTACATCCTCTGTGTAATTCACCCCCCTCCCCTGCCCCCTGCCAATATGCTCTGACATCCAAAGACGGTGGACTTCTTGCTGTTTCCTGGACAAGACACTCCGTCTCCTGACTCCAGGCATTTTCACTTTTTGTATGCCATGCCTTGAATGCTTTCTGTTTTCATCTGTGCTTCCTGGTTTCCTTGGCTTTCTTCAAGTCCTAGATAAAATCTCTTCTTTAATATGAAGCTTTTCCTGATTGCCCTTTAATTCTAGTGTTTTGCCCCTGTTTGTTATTTCCGGTTTATCCTGTGTAAACAGCATGTCTATGCATAGTTTTTGGCAAGTTATTTCCCCATTAGACTCTGAGCCCCTTGAGAACAGGGATTGTCTTTTGTCTTTATTTTTATCCCCATTGATTTATATAATGACTGGTGTATAACATAATAAATGTTAACTGACCTAGATACTTTATCTTATATTACCCAGCATTTGATGCAAGATAATGGGGCAGTTTAACAGTTTGTACTGTTGATGTGAACCATTACCATGAATATTTGTTGCTAGCTGGTTAGGCTGCTGATAACCTGTTGTTGGGAGCTGGGCGAGAAAGGAAAAAAGCAAACATTGCTGTCCAAGTTTAGGCATTTATAGTTAACTAATTGCCCTTGCTCCCCACTACAGTGATCTATCTATTCTCCTCATCTTTTCTCTGAGAAGAATGTCATTTTTTGTTTTGGTTACTGTAGTATTTGATCCATACATGTGTCATATATGGTAATTTCCACATAAATATTTCTCTGTGTGAACATTGACTTACAGTGGTAAATCTATTTAGGAAGATTATTTATTGTTATCATTTATATTTGTTTGTAAATGCTGCGAAAGACACTTTACATGAAATATAAAATGCTTTGAATACAAAAAATAAATAGAAAGTTCAGTGACTGAAAGAGCAGTATGTTCTAATTTGGTATTTTACGGCCAGCTACAGAATTTTGATGAAGGAGTGAAATAAGTTCTAATCTTCACCTTTGTCATAAATAGTCACATGGATTGCAGATAGGAAGCCTGGCCTATAAAGAAACTTTACTGCAGGGCTCTTCCTCAGTGTCATTATATGCTCTCTTGGCTAAGCTATATCTGACCTGTACCTGATCTTGAAGATAAAAGTATAGGTATGAAAAGACAGTAATGCCGCTGATTTTTTTTAAACAAACATACGGGCACTAGTATACTTCCAAATGTTTTGCCCTTTATAACAGAATTAAAAAATAAAACAACCCTTTGAAACATTTAACAAGCAGTCATCTAGTCTTGAGAATATATTCATGGGACATTTGCTTCTTTTATGGCACCCTATTTTACTTTTGGACAGGCATAATTGGTATTTAGATTTTCTTTACTGCAAGCCTGTATTTGCTCTTTGCCATTTCCATTCATTTTTCTTGGTTTTATTTTGTGGGGCCCCAGAAGAAATCTGATCCCTATTTCACATAACAGCCCTTCACTTAATTTAAAGATAACTACCATGTCCCCTTAGACTGTCTCTTCTTCAGATATCATTAGTTAATTCAGCCCTTTGTTATATCCCATGGACTGTAGCCCTTTCAGCATCCTGATTGCTGTCATGGTTAAGTTTCAATTTCAGTATCCTTCTCAAAATGTGGTATCTGGAGTTGAACTTTTTGGCCTGCTATTGACTCACATTGCATTTGCTGTACACTGAAGCTCCAAAATATTTTTCATACAGATTAGCTAGTTAACAGCCGTCCTGTCTTTGTGTAGTTGATTTTCTTTAATACTGCTTTATGGTTATACCTTTTCCTATTTTGTGTTAATAAATATTCTGTTTATGGTTTTGAATTTTTACAGTTTTTAGACTTTGACTCTACAGTCTAACTTGTTAATTCCTCTCAGCTTTTTGTCATCTCCAAATTTGATAAGCATCCCATCTGTGATAAAAATCTCAAAAAGTACAAGGTCAAGGAAAAATCCTCTTGAGTATTCTCTTGGTGTTGATGTGATTTCATTAATCATATCAGTTTTGGTCTAGTGCTTTAGCCAATTTTGAATCTCCCTAACTACTAAATTTCTACATGACAAACCTTTTGGTATTAAGTCTACATGAACAGTGCTGTTGATGATAAAGAAATAAGCCAACATTCCGTTATAGAATCTGAGTTGATGGAGGCCTTAGAGATTATTTGGTGCAGCTTTCCAACTAATATATAATTCCATGAGAATATAATGAGAGATTTTATTATATACCTTGCTGAAGTCAGCAGCACTCTATCTGTGGAATTCCCTGACTCAAGTCAAGCCTTCTTCACTCTTTAAATCCATTACTGGTTCCATTATGCCAGATTGCCTTTTCTTCGAGTAAGGTTTTGATTTTTGGAAACCAGATATGTGATCAAGCTAATGTTAGCCAGAGATCTTTGGTGAAGAAGCCAATTATTGAAATATAATTTACTTTTGTATGCTAAAGAATCCCTGAAATACTATTAAATTTCTGCGTAATAAACCTTTTGTTATTAGTTCTGCATAAACTGTCATTGATGTCAAATAAATAAGTGAACAGTAAGTTGCAGAATCTGATTGATCATGAGGTTGCTTGGTGCAACTTTCCAACTAATGTATAATTTAGCATGCATCAGTTTTTTAAAAAATATATTTTAAATAATTATAAAACACTTGTTTTTATCCTCTCTCATTTCTTCCCAGTAGGAAAAGAAAAAAAGAAACAAACCCCCTATAATCAGTCCACAGGTTTGCAGAAAACAAGTTATGTGAACTTAAGCAAGTCACTTAATCTGTTGAGCCTAATTTCTGTCATTTGTACAAATAAGGAAATTGGAGTAGATGGCCTCCAAGATCTTTTCCTGCTCTAGAACTTTAATTTAATTTATACACGAACTGAAAAAGTGCTAAGCCACAAAAAAGATATAGGTGTCTAAATAAAACTAGAGATTCTACAGGTTATATTTGCAGACCATAATGCATTAAAACTACTAATAAATTGTGATGCCATATCTAAAAGGCATAGTTCCCCATAGAAATTTTAAACTTACTGAATGAAAATGGAAATTATAAAAACAATAGCATCACATTAAAGATAATGAAAAAAATATATTCATCAAACTCTATGGTATGCATAAAAAACAGTACTTGTGGTCAAATGCATATCTCTATTGCCTGTATCAATAAGAAAGATAAATTTCACAAATAGAACTTGTATCTAAAAACCTTAGAAAGAAATACAGGCATAAACCAACAGAAACAAAAGAGAAATAATTAAGATCAGATTTCTGTATTACAATTGAAATGACAAATCTAAGAACTGTTCTTAATTTAAAAAAATTAACTTTTTATTCTGACCTTAACAAAAAAACAAAGATGAACATTTTTTTATATAAAGTGGTACAGAAAAAAGATTGTACCTAAACCATGAATTTTTGTTATCTACTGCTTGCCTTTCCTTTTAAGAATATAATAAATTCAGGTTGTTACTTCCAAAACTGTTCTCCTTGTAAGAGCAAAATTGATGCTACCTTATAAAGCTAGAAAATCTATAAGAGTAAATCCAAATCATCAAAATTGGAAATGAGAAAGCAAATCATAAGGACAAAAGAAAAAAAGATCTGTTTATTGTACATGGCTTTGTGCTGATATAGTCATAATTTAAAGGTAATGAATGATTATCAGAATTTGAAGTATCTAAAGCATAAGAAATAGTACCTGAAAGTGGACAGCCTGCATAGATTAATCTCAGATGAAGAAACAAGGCTATGAAAAAGATACCAGTCTCTGAAATATTCCGCGAATAAAAGCAGTGAAATTTTAAAAGGAAAGTAATTCCTGCATTATGCCAACTGTGTCAAAGCATAAAGCAAGATCATAGGCTCAGTAACTCTTTCTAGGCATTCATTGTAACAGAAAAAGGAGTTAGAGACAATGAGCATTCATACCAAAATACTAAACTAAAATGCTCATATACGTTAGAAAAAATCTGTTTGATTGCTTTGACCAGGGTTTATAATTGGGTATAAGTGAGATTTAATATTAGGAAAACACTTGCTATGTTAAATGTTTCCCATACCTTTTGTAATAGCAGTGACATATATCAGATTTTTGAATAGAGACTTACACAAAGACATTTTAGAATTATTTTGTGAGAAATCAAAGAACTAAAGAAATGTATGTGGTTAAAGCAAGCAAATATTTTAAATGGCAGTACTTGCCAACTTGATTTGCAGATTTAATGTAGAACCACTAATAAGTAAGTTATTTCTTAGAATAATATAAAATTACAAAAAATTAATATGGAAAAATAAAATTATGAAGAGTTAAGAAAAAGAATGTGAGCAGAAAAGGATTAACTCACACTCTCACATCCAAAATGTTATGTAAAGCAATAATTATTTTAAAATAACAACTGTTATAGGATAGATAATAATGGAATGGCATAGAGAATCCAGCAATAGATCCTATTAAATACAGAAGATGAGTGTTTGATCAGTCCACACTCAAAGAACAGTGGGAAGTAGAATCACTATTTAGTAAAAACTGTTGGGAAAACTTGATGTCTGTGTGGCAAAAAATAGGTTTAGTTCCACATTTCACACCATCTTCATGACTACAATAAGTTCTGACTGGAACAGAAATCTGTTTTTTTTTTAAATCATTAAAAAGTAGAAGAAAAAGGAAAAATTTTTGTCTCTGCTAAGGAGAAAAAGGATATTTTTGTCAGCAAAAAACTATTTGAAGAAATTGGTGACAAAATTGCTGATCTTAATTATGTAAAACAATTTATAAAAGGCATTGTCTCTAAAAAGAAAAGTTGTGGGAAAATGTTTGAAGTAACTATATCAAATGAGGTTCTAACATTCAGAATCTGTGAGGCGTTCCTACATTTTTATGAGACTAATGATCTACAAGTATATGAACTCATGATTTATAGTTAACCATGAAAAGATGTTCAAGCTTCTTAATAATTATAGAACTGCAAATCAAGATACCTTCAGATAATTCCCTTCCATCCACTAGAATGGTAAAATCTAGTACAGAGTTTATGGGTAAATGGACACTATAATAGGACTCTAAGCTGGGTTGGCTGTTTTGGAGAGCAGTGTTGCAATGTAGAATAAAAGTCCCAAAACTAAGTCACAGGACCAAAGAATTAGAGTGATCATCTAATCCTTATTTTATACATGAAGAAACTGAAGCCCATAGAGGCAAATGACTTGTCTAAAGTCATAGAAATAGTAAGTTGCAGACTTAACTTATTTAGACTCAGGTCCTTATCTCTAGTACAATGTTTGCTTGTGCACCACTTCTAAATCATACCTTTTAAGCCCAGTACAGTTGATGTAAGGCTTGATTTAATGAAAACTCTCCTCACTATTAAAGCTAAACCAATTGAAATGGGCCACTGAGGAGAGGTAGTGGGTTCCCTCTCACCTGAGGTCTTACTTGTCAGGTATGCTGTAGAGGGGTTATTTTTCTTTTTTCTTTTTTTAGGTAGTTGGGGTTAAGTGACTTGCCCAGGGTCACACAGCTAGTAAAGGGGTTATTTTTCTATGCATCATTTGAACTGATGACACCCATGAGTTCTCGTCTAGTTTTTGAGATTCTGTGATGTTTATATGTGAGGATTCTGAGGCAATTAAATGATGTTAAAAAAGCAGATTCTTACATAAAATCACCTTGAACCATGTTTAAGCAGTTGTGCTAGCATCAGTGGAAGGAAGACTCACAATTAGAGCTGCCTAACGTTAGCAGTCTATACCAGTACATTAACTGAATGGGTTGATACCTTCCTGATAAAATTTCAGTTTTTAGGAAGGTTTGTTGCTCATTTAATTTCCTTGCTAACTGAGAAGTCATTAGAAACCGTTAGCTATTAACACTCTTTTTTCCGCTTTCTAGCCTTGTCAAGTGAGGCTTGACAAATCGAATTTGAATCTTGTTGCCAACATTTAAATGAAGGCATTCATTTAAAAATTTTTCTGGAAACAAAAAATGGGGAAATAGGTAGCAGTGGTTCTGTAAGACACTAGTTCCCGCCTTAAGAGAGTGGACCAAAATGAGGGCCCTTAATAAGGCAAGGTCTAAAGTTGTCTCAAAAGAGCAGAGCAAGGGTTCAGATAGAAATGAGCACATCTGGTGGAGTACTTCTTGGGTCATGTAATGTGAGGCAGATGTTCTGGTGGCTCTTGGTCCCCTCCCTTTCATGGCTAGGGAGAGGTGTGAGTGGTCCTGTTGCTTGCTACCCTTCTTTTCAAAATATCATGACAGATTGGAATGTATGTATGTATGTGTGTATGTATGTAGGTATGTATGTAAGAAGGATGAGACCTGCTTGTCATTTGGGATAGGATTTTGCCTCGAATAATTATATGCTATGTTATCTTCTTTACTTTTAGGCATGACAGTTGCAGAGTGTGATCAGTCCTATAGCGGTTTCTTTGACATACTTAGAGGAGGAACAGAACGATTTTTTACTAACATCAAAGATACTTCTTCCAAAGTTATCCAGTCCGTTGCTAAGTAAGTATGCTAGTAAAACCAATGAAATTAAGATAACTAAGCTAAATAAAATATAAGTTGATAATTAATGAAAGTAACACTGAAATACTGACTTTATGGCCTCATACCTGTTTGTAGCATTTTTTGAATTTTAGTCTGATGTTCTAGGGTAAGGATTGTCTTTTGTGTCATGGACCCCTTTAGCAGCCTGGTGAAATCTATGGTTGGACCCTTTCTTAGGATTACTTAGAATCAAACTTAAAGAAATAATATTAATTGAAGGAAATACTAAAATTCGAGTTAGTGGTTAGTGAAAATAAAGATGTAATTTTTTCCCCCAACCAAGTTCTATTACTTTAGCACAACCCCTGGTTTCCATAAATAACTTTAGAGTATATACTAGGACCTTGTCATTTCTTCATCCCAATCTCTGACACAGGATCAGCATTGTAAGCTAGTCCTTTTAATCTGTGGCAGTTATAGGGCAAATGTTTGCATATGTGTTGGGGGAAGGAGGACTTGTGATAGCAGAGTGGAGGAGAGTATACTGGGAAATGAAATATGTGGAAGATCAAAAATCTGGAGATTTTATAAATTCTTCACTTTACCTAAGAATTTTATACCTTATCCTGCCTTTTTTCTTGTTCCCTCACTTTTATTATCTTTTGTTTTTCCTTTCTCCTCTTGAATTTATGCACGAGGGAGTAGTCAAATGCTCAGTGACTAGAGCAACTATGCATTGAGGTTCCTCAAAGGCAGCCTAATATAGTGGAGGAAGGTGAGGCCTAGGATTACGCAAACCTGCTTCTGTTTTCTGCCTCCAAAACTCGGGGGCTCTATGATCTTGAACAAATGACGTCAGCTCTTTCAGCCTCAATTTCTTCATTTATCAAATGAGGTTAATAATTCTCACATTGTGACCTTACCAGAATTGTTGTTAAAAAAGCATCTTGTAAATCTTACAGTGCCTCAGAAATGGGAATTGTTATTGACTCTCCCAGCACCTAGACAGTAATACTAAGTCAGGTTTAATGATATCTTTTTACTTTTGAGCAAGAGCTTTTCCTGCAATGGTCCTGTGGTACAGATCATATCAGCATGATTATTCACATATTACAGATGTTGAAAGTTAGGCTTACAGTGGACCAGGGACTGGCTGGGTGTCCCCAGCTTCTAAGTGTTAGAGCAGGGATTCAAACCTAAATCTCTTCACTTCAAGCTTAGCGCTCTTTCTGCTCCATCATTCTAGGAACAGAATCAAGGAAGGATACTGCCCAACCTGATCTGTGAGTCTGCACACTTTAGTGGACCAAGAACGTGGGGGAGCCTTTAACAGGACTCTTCCCAATGTAGCTCCAGCTTGGTTGACCTTCTTTCTAGTCTCTGGGTTGGTTGTGTGCTCGAGTTTCTCTGTGTGTGTGTGTGTGTGTGTGTGTGTGTGTGTGTGTGTGTGTGTGTGGCAGTTGGGGTTAAGTGACTTGCTTAGTGTCAAGTGTCTGAGGTCAGATTTGAGGTTGTTAGAAGTTTTGTTATGCTGTTGTTCGTGAAGAAGAGCTTTGTTTGCAGTTTATAGAAAAAAGCTTCAGAAGTATCACCCCTTAGGGTTCAGACTGTGTTGCCTTCTTCTAGTGAAATGTGACTGTTTTGTGTGACTAGAATGGGAGAAAAGGAGAGCTACCTTGGCACATGAAAACAATTGTTATTGACATGAAAATATTTGAGCAAAATTTATTTTATTGCCGGGAAATTTACTAGTCACTACAAAAAAAAGTAGGAAAGCGTAATTGGCCATAAGCACTTTTTGCTTTCCATTTAATTTTTATATATTAGTACTGCTTAGTATTAGTTTTTTCCAAATACTACCTTAAAATAATTACTGAGAACATAAATCTGTGAGTCATTTTGGTATTATTCATTACAATTGTGTGATGTCTTTTATTTATGAAAATGTGCCTACATTGGGGGCACATACAATTATATGCAGTTATAATTTCAGAGATTATTTTTCAAAAGTGGCAGAACATAATGATTGAAAGAAAGGAATAGAACCTAGTGGTTTTTATGTCACATTTCAGAAATACAACTCAGGAATAGATTTTATATTTTTGGTTTGATCAGAATTCTGGATGAAAACTTTTTTTTGCAGCTCTGTCTTGCTTCTTTGTTCTTATTTGTTCACTTGAAAATATTCCTGCTAGGTTGTAGACAGATACAGGTGCCCTGCCCTTTGACTTCAGAAAGAGTGAAGACTCAGGAACCAGAGATTCATGGGTTGCGAGAAGCCAGTTCCTTCTCACTGACAGCTGTCCAAGGGTTATCAGTGTGAATATATTTGCCTAGCCAGGTTTTACCTCCAGAATGTGATGTACTAGAACAATGTTCTTGCTTTGCTAACAGCTCTCCAATGAGCAGTCATATTTGTGCCCTCCTCACTTTTCTCACATATACAAATGTGTAGGCACACTGTTACAAAATAATACAATGATAAATCAGTCTTTATTTATGAAATTTATTTTACTTATTTATGAAAAGACCTTGTGCTAGGCAAATTAATATTGGGAACAGGATTATAGAGAGAAACGCAGAATCTTGAGAGAACAAACTGGATCTAAACACATGGTAATACAGATAATCAATGTGATCATTACAAATTATCCTTATACATTCGATAAAGTGGGTATTAGAAAGAAATAAAATTGTATTTCTTTTAACATATTCCATAACATTATTTATTTGAATTAGCCTTTCTCCAAGTTAGCTTAAATTAGTCATTTTTTACTATGCTTTGTAAAATTATTGGTTAATATTTCTGGAGTCAAGTGTGTAGTTTAGTTCCCATGACTTATCTTCTCTGCAAATAATTGATTATCTGAAAAGGAATGGAGTTTTGGCCCTTATATTTCTAAAGGATTTAAAAAGAAGCTATTTCGAAGCATTAATTGTTCCATTAGTCTATAAAGTTGGAATAGGGGTGGTGGTGTTGACTTCATGACTACTATGAGGCAGTGTGGTACCTGGAGTTCCCCTTATTGGTACTCATGTCTTGGAGGTGACACTGCCATCTGTGGCCCAGAGAATTGAAGGATAATGGAAGTGACTCATTTTCACTTGTTGTTCCTAAAGACTGTACCCTGTTGGAGGTCAGTGATTTCTGGTCTGACCCTTCACCTGAAGGCATCATTTATAGACACACGGCAGCTTCCTTTGACCAACTTCCTGTAGTTATTCCTTTCCAGAATGGGTTCTGGTAGCTTTGAGGAGTAATTGAAATGACAGCAGTTATTTGTTACTCCTTTGCAGTTTGTATCAGAGTTTATATGAAGGATGTGTGCTAGGGTGGGGAAGAAATTGGATTGGTTATATGGTCTTGGGGTGTGGTATGTATCATCCTGTACAGTGGTTGGGAAAAAAAAATCAGGCTGTAGTTTTGTAGTTGTTTTATCCCATGTTGTCGCTATCATCCTTCAAAATTTTTTTGCCTCATTATCATTACTTTTTCTTTTGTGCATTTTTTATCGTTTTGTGCCTCTCCTGTTTACAGCCCCAGGTAAAATATGCATGCTGTTGTTACTGATGTGTGTGCTTTATGCAAATCAGTGTTCTTTGTAAATTTTTTCTTTTTATCTTCCTAAGCTTAGCCTTGGGTGATAGATACATAATTCTTTTAAAAATTTTAAATGACTTATTATTTAATTGCAGAAAGCTGCCAGCATGCTGTCTTTTTGTAATCAGTCTCTTTGGAAGTGTCATTAATGCTTGCCCAGCATGTTTCTGGGTATTGGATGACAGTTTTCTCTAAAAGACTTTGCTAATTTTTTTTTACCTACCTCTTATTTAACATCCTTGCATCCAATCAGCTTCGTGAAAGAAACCAAGAATTTGCAGGATTGCCCTCATGTGAAGGAAAATGACAAAATAATTTGCCTTATTAGCTTAAAACTTATTGGCTAAAATCTCTATTTTGATTGAAGAAAAGTTAGTTGTGGAAAGGGGTTAATTACGTATAGGTATAGCTTTCCATTTTAAATTGCATCCATGTCAACTTCCATCCTGTGTAGATGTAATTGACTGGAAGCTCTTTTGCTGGCACCTGTGCCTAGAGCGGGTAGTACTGGTGATGGTTTGTGCCAAGCCATTCCCATTCTGTCCCTTTTGTGACCATCAACATGTATTTGTGGTATAGCCAGTTGTTGGTGGAGAACTTGATTTTTCTCTGAAGCTAATTGTCTTGTGAGGATTAAGCCACTGATGTCTTGGCTTCATTTAACAGTGGTCTAACCAATTGAACTAAATGTATTTAGCTCATGATTATCTTAGGTACAAACACACACACATACACACACACACACACACACACACACACACACTCTCTCACACACTCTCTCTCTCTCTCTCTCTCTTACACTTTTGTTATATCATTCTTTACCACAAATTCCTAGTGCCCTACCTGTGATAGTGAAAAACTTTACTAGGTATGATCCTATGTCATAAGATACATGAATGAATTTGTTCTTATTGTTGCCATTTGAGTCAAATCCTTATTAAGAGTGTGTGGAAGTACCTGGAAATACCATGGAATGGGGACAGAATTATCCTACTTGTGATAGGGTATTTTTTTCAGACACAGGGTCAGGATTCAACCTTGTTAAGAATACTTTTTGTTTTTACTGTGGGTTATGTACTTCCCTTCTTGTTTTACCTCATGATCAGTTTGTTCCCTCTTCTTCCTCCCACCATCCTTCTGTCTGTTTCTTCTGTTTCTCCCCAGGTCTGTGTTTACTTCTCTTGTATACACAATAGTTTCTGACCTTAGGTGTACAGTCAGTAATTCATGTGGGTGAATGCCAGACTATTAGAGCATGAGACAAAGCCAGCCAGAATGGCTGTATCTTGTTTCTTCTTCCCTAGGCAGGGGGAATCCCAGCATGGTGGGTTTTGTGTATTGGGAATAGACAGGAAATGATAACAGTAGCTTTCATTTACATAGCTCTTAGGGACTGCAAAGTGCTTTACATATGTTATCTCATTTGATCTTCACAGCAACCTTATGAGAAAGGTGCTGTTTTAATGCCCATTTTAGAGATGAGGAAACCGAGACTGAGAGAGGCTAAGTGACCTGCCCAGGGTCACATATTAAATGTCTTAGCAAGATTTGAACTCAAATCTTCTGACTTCAAGTCCAGCATTCTTTCTGTTGCACCTGTCTGAGAAGGCTTGTAAATGTTAGAATGTGTTCTTCATATGTTTTTCTGCATATATACTTAGCCTATAACTAAGTCAGCTTTATTCAGTTATTCGTGTATCTGCTTTGCTGGGTGTTTATCTCAAATAGTTAACCTCATTTGGAGGATCATAAACCTTGCTCTCACCCATCTGCCTCAGCTCTTCAGCATTCTAGAGTTTGGGAGACAATTGGTCAGTTTTTTAGCTTCTCATTAACTTACTTGAGAGGCAGCTGTAACCATAGAGATGAGGTTGATTTAGATTCAGACAAACCTTACCGTCTTCAAAGGAAGGAATTAGGTGGCATGTTTGGAATGTCCCATGACTCAAAGTTCCCTGTGGTTGTGGGCTTACTCTGTGTGTGTGTGTGTGTGTGTGTGTGTGTGTGTGTGTGTGTGTGTGTGTGTGTGTGTGTGTGTGTGTTGGTCTTTGCTAGATATCACAGTTTTGAGACTGCCACTGGCCAACTGCAGAAGCCCATTCAAACTTCTGTACTCTGGGATCAGAAGTGTGTATTGGACACTCAAAACCTAACCACATATCCTTTTTTGGCAATGTTCTTAGACAAGCTGATCAGGGGAAGCAATGCTATAGAAATATTTTACCCAGATTTTATCAAAGCATTTGACAAAGTCTCCAGTGCTATTCTTGTGGACAAAGTGGAGAGATATGAGGTAGATGGTGGTACAGTTGGTGAATTCAGAACTGATTTAGTGGCTGGACCCACAAAATAGTTGTTAGAAGTTCTGTGTCAGCCTTCAAGAAGATCTTAAGTGAAATGTTCCAGGTATTTCTTCTTGGCCTGTTCTGTTAAGTGTTTTTGTCAGTGACTTGTGTAAAGCTGTCCATAGTCTTGCTTATCACATTTGTAGATGAGACAGTGCCGGATGGGATAATTAACACACAGTATAACAGAGTCAGGATCCAAAAAAATCATGATTGTTTGGAACATGTTGCCAAATTGAATAAGATGAAATTTAATAGTGATAAATGGAGGACTTAACCCTGGGTTCCAAAAATCCACTTCACAAATACGAGGTGAGGGGATAAATGACTTGTTAGCAGCTTGTTTGAAAAAGATCTGGGGGTTTTAGTGTACTTCAGCTGCATGGAGTCACCAGTGTGATGTGTCAGCTAATTCTGTTGTGGGCTTCATTGAAAGAGAAATAAATGTCCAAGACTAGAGAGAAGTTAGTGCTTTTATATTCTGATCTGGTTGACACATTTGGGCTGTTGTGTTCAGTTCTTCATTTGAGGATGGACGTTAATAATCTGGCAGGCTTCTAGAGGGGGGTGCCAGGATGCAGAAGGCCCCAAGATCATGCCATATATGGATTCAGCTAAAGGAAGTGAGGCTGTTTAGCCTGGTGAAGAGAAAACCTGGAGGAAGGGGCCTGATAGGTACATGTATGTATTTAAAGGCTATCACATGGAAGGGGGGTTATATTTGTTTTGCCTGACCCCTGAGGACAGAAGTTAGGAATAATATGTAGAATTTCCAAAATGCCAAATTTAGGCTTGATGTCAGAAAGCTTCCGAATAATTCAAGCTATCCCAGAGTGAGATGGACTGCCTTGGGAGTAAAGGATTTTCCCTCTTTGAAGGGCTTCAGGCAAAACTTGTCAAGTATCTTGTAGCAGGGGTTCTTGTTTAGGTATGTCATGGAAAACATGGTCTCTGAGGTTCCTCTGAAGGCTGAGATTTGGTGATATGCCAATTAAAAAAATGAAATAAGGATTGTTCGTAATTTTAGGCTAATTTCAGCTCATTTGGTGACACAACCTCCCCACCCCCCCTTCTTTTAATTGAGATTCTTTCCTTTCAAGTTTTAGGTTGGAATTAGTGCTTTGGTTTGCACAGACAGTAGCTAGCTATTGGCTTCTGACTGAATAGGATATATCCAGGTCCTGATTGGTCCTGTCTAAATCAGGCCCAGCAAAGTTGGAAAAGTGGTAGTGATGTGAGTGCTCATAGCCCAAGACTTAAGTGAATTAGTCCAACTCTCACTCTAGCCCTGTCCTTGCTTTGAACTATCTCCAAGCCATCTGCTGTTGTCTCCCCTTTATTTTTCGATGTTCTGCCCTCTTTTTCTCCAGTACTATTCAATTCTTTTGCTATCAGCCGCCTTCTCCTTTCCAGCATTTGGGTAGACCTTTATCTATCAATCTGTCATTGTAGTCTTGCCTCCTGGTCTTCTTCTTGGTTACCCATTCTCTGGCAAACAACCTCCATTGTACCACTCTAGCATATCCAAACCCTTTTCTTTCTTTCATGTGGCTAAACCTTCTCTATTTACCTGGGAGAAAATTATACATTTTCCTGGCTCTTTCTTATGTTAACATGGGTTTTCTCTCCTATCACTCATGGTTCCACAGTATTTCTTTATGTCTGTTGGTGAGATTAATATAGTTACTCCTATGCTGGCTCTTGATGTTTAAAAAAGTTAGGATACCAATTTATACAAATCATGATTGACTCTTAGGACCCTCAACATGAGAAAACTCCAGTTTAAGCAATATCTTAATGTAAGTATAAAATTTCGTGAAGTAACTAGTTAATCTTTTCTGTTTCAATTTCAGTTATGCTAAAGGAGATTTGGATATTTCATACATCACATCCAGAATTGCTGGTATGTTTGCCAAAGATTCATACTTTTATCTAATAGCACTGTCACCACTCTCATCCTTTACCCTTTCCAACTATTGGTTAACAAATATTTTTTGAAACATCCACAAAAGCCCTTTATGTCTTCTAATGCCCTGCACACAGTACGTACTCAGTTAATGTTTATAGAATTCAAATAAGTCTTATTTATTGGACTTGATAGGGAAAGAAGTTTGGAGTCCCTGGCTTACAAGGCTAGACTTTTGGAGTCATCTGCTCTTGTCCTATACCTTAACACAGCTAGCTGACAAGAAACAGGACATCTGGTCAACTGAGAAATGCTCCTTGTTCTTTTTGGGGATTTGTGGCAGTGGCATGGGATGTGGTGAATCTTTAGAAGTTGGCCTCTTGCTTCTATCAGTCTTTGGTGTCAGCTGAGTTTATGTGATATCGAGGCTAGGTGGAGTCATACTAGAACTCTGTCACCAGTAGGGATCTTTCCACAACTTTGAGGCTGTGAGGTAAGGAATAAATAATTGATATTGATTGCTTATTATACTAATTGGGCTCAGGGAAACCATTATTGATAAGTTTAAAATTTGTGTAACCCAGTAAAAGTTTTAGAAAAGTTTCTGCTAAGGCTCTCAAATTCTCCTGTTTTTTCTGCGACTCTCCCACTATCACTAATACCTTTCCTGTTCCTGGGAACTTCTTATACATCCTTTGTAGCACCTTGTAGTGGTGATGCTTTTCTCAGTGGGTGAGCATAAGAAACAGTTTCACTTCATCTCAATCCACCATTCTTATAAAGTCTCTCAGAATGAGAGTATTTGAAGTTAAAAAGCTTTTCTCTCCATCTCACTCACTTCCTCTACCTTTTCTGTTGTAATCGACTTTAAGAGCAGGAAGGATTCTTAGAGATTATCCATCCAAATCCCTTTTCTTACAGAGAAGGAACCCAAGACCTAGATGAGATGAGTAGTGACTTGCTCAAAACCACCCAGCTAATAGAGGGAGATGTTAAGGGAAGGGAACATTCAGAAAGCGCTGAGGGGAGTGGTAGAACTGGAACTTAGCTTTGCCTCTCCTGTTTTCTCTCTTCCAGGTCTAAGCCTGATGATATCTTTGGTGGGTTCCCTAATCCCTAACTGTGCTTCTGACAACACATGATAGCAGAGGAAGGCCAGGGCTAAATATAATAGGAACACAGACATTAAGTGCCGTCTGTAGTCCTGCACATGCATGCACATGTGGCCTAGAATGGAGGCAGAGAAGAGAGAGCGCAGACTGAAGGGGAGCATGCTGGAATATGCTGTCAGACATTTGACAGCATGAAGCCCAGTCCTACCAAGGTTGAGTCCCTTTCTTTCATGGGGGAATCCCTTGACATTAGTATAGATGCTCTTGAGACAGTGTATAATCTCCTAGAAAATATGAATTTTTAAAATCCATAGTCCAAAAACCTTATTTTTTTCCCAGTAGCTTCAACTTTCTTATTCATCTTTTCCCTGTCATGTATCATATTCGTAGGTGATGACCATGTGAACACATAGTAGAATGATCTGTTTAGTGTTTCTTCCTCTTTTCTGAGCGCCTCTAATGTCATTGCTAATAAGCTCAGACATCCCACATGCTGGAGAGTTGAAGGAAGACAGAGAGGCAGCAGGCCTGAATGTCTGTGAGCCGCACAGTTGAGGACTGACCCTGGCCTCCCTTATTGGCCACACAGAAATCTTCCTTTGAGCTCTTGTTTCTCAGGCTGAGGAAGAGCAGGTGATGGATGGGCTGCCTTCTTCTGTTTGCATCCTTCTCTTTGTCATGCATACCACTTGCTTTGCTACAAGACACGCTTGTTCTGTGAGGTTTTGTCATTCTCTGGCTGACCCTGTGCTCTACCACCAGGCCTTGAAGACATGTTTCATCAGAGTGTCTGATCAGTGTGTGAATGCTTGATATAGTAATCGTCTCGTTTCAGTGATGTCCTTTCCAGCAGAAGGTGTAGAATCAGCTCTGAAAAATAACATAGAAGATGTGCGGTTGTTTTTAGACTGTAAGCATCCTGGACATTATGCTGTTTACAATCTCTCTCCAAGAACATACAGGCCTTCCAGATTTCATAATCGGGTAAGTGTCAGATTTTTTTTTTTATTGTCATTTCAGCCCTGCTGCAGGTTAGAGTGTACAGTGTGGTCATTGGTAAATAAATATTGTTTTGTCTTGGAAGCAGCTCATTTGATTTTCTGTGTGCTTTTCTCATTACAACCAATAAAAGTTAGCTTTCATCTTAAATTGAACTTTGAAATTCAGTAGAAGACTGACATGGCAACAAGAAAAATAGTGTGCTAGAGAGGGGCGGTATTCAGAGTGAGTGGCCTGGGAAGGCAGGAATAAAGAAAGTGTGTCCCCAGGATGTGCTTTGCGTACTCACTCTTAGAAGTGGAGAGAGTTGTTGGGACTCTTTAGCATGTACGGAGGAGGCTTCACCCTGGCACAGGATGTCTATAAGGGAATCCTCTTCCTCTTGTTCCTTTTAATTTCTTCTGTTGTCTTCCTACGTGTCTCCCCACCCTGCTCCCTTTCCTTCTTTCAATTCAAGTCATTTTGCCAAGTATTTCTTGAGTAGACGTACCATTCTTACTTCCCTTTTTTTACTCTGTACCACTTCGTGTATCTTTTTACTTTGTATTCTTCATATTCATCATTCTTTTTTTTTTTTTAAAGATTTTCAGTATATAGATTTATTGCCCATAGCAATAAAAATCACAGACAAGAGAATACACTTTGGTTTACATACTTACAGTAAAAAGGGCTGATTTATATAGAATTTTTTCTTTTCTTTTTGTTTTTTTTTAGGCTATTGGGGTTAAGTGACTTGCTCAGGGTCACACAGCTAGTACATGTCAAGTGTTTGGTCTGAGGCCGGATTTGAACTCAGGTACTCCTGACTTCAGGGCTGGTGCTCTATCCTCTGCGCCACCTAGCTGCCCCCAATTTTTTTCTAACTTAACTCGTTTGGATTCTTCTACTCTAGATAGTTTATAAGTCACTGAATAGTCACCATTCTTTATGGGACACCAAATATGCTGTTACATTTCTATACCATGGTTTAGTTAGCTATTCCTCAATTGTTGGGCACATATTTTTTGCCCCCCTCTTTTCTCCTCAAACCTTTACCTCTTTTACTCTCTCTCTCTGCTGTGGAAACTGAGGCTATCCAATGTGAGCTGTTCCCTCTTCTTCCCCTCTCTTCATCTAAAAACCCTGGGACATCATGTCCCACTCTCTGCTCCTTTTCCCCAATCTCTGACAGTGAAATGGCCCTTCTTGCCAAGGCCAGCCCTTCTACTTGTCATCTTTATCCTTGGTGGTCTTGTTTAAGATCTCCACCTCCATGTGTCCCATTTGATGCTATCTTCCTGAACTTCAGTCTCACATCACCGAATGTCCTGGAGATACATCTCAGGCTCAACATGCACAAAACTGAACTCATTGTCTTTCCCCAAAACCCACTCCCTTTCTAAACGTTCCGTTTCTGTCTCAACAACCACCATCCTTTGGGTCTGCCAGGTGGGTAACCTTGGTCTTAGCAGGGCTCCTCACTCTCGCTCATCCCAGTAGCCAGTTAGTTGCCAAATTTGCCACTTGTGGTGAGACAAAGTGTCCCTTTTCTTCTCTCTGCTCATCGAGCTACTGCCTTGATTCAGGTTCTCATCATTTCTCGCCTAGATCATTGTAATTCCTAATTGGTTTCTGGCTCCTGGCTCTGTCTCCTCACCCCATTCTACCCTCCACATTGATACCAAAGTGATTTTCCTTAAAGTAGATCTGACCATGTCACCCTCCTGATCAGTCAAGTCTAGCAACTTCTTATGGCCTCTAGAATCTAGTTCTCTGTTCAGTTTTATAGCCTTTCACAATCTTGCTTTCAGTAGTGTCCAACTCTCTGTGACCCATTTGGGATTTTTTTTGGCAAAGATGCTGGAGTGGTTTGCCATTTTCTTTCTTAGCTCATTTTACAGATAAGGAAAGTGAGGCAAATGGAGTTAAGTAACTTGCCCAGGGTCACACAGCTAGGAAGTGTCTGAGACCAAATTAGAATTCAGGAAGATGAGCCACATAGCTGCTTACAAGATAAACAAAGGTTAAGTAACTTGCCCAGGTTCACACAGCTAGGAAGTGTCTGAGACCAAATTAGAATTCCGGAAGATGAGCCACGTAGCTGCTTACAAGATAAACAAAGGTTAAGTGACTTGCCTAACATCATATAGCTACTAAGTGTCTGAGACCAGATTTGAACTCAAGTCTTCCTGACTCTAGGCCCAGTGCTCTATCCACTCAGCCACCTAGCTGCCTCCTCCTAGTACGTGATAGGTGGTTAATAATTAATTGATTTCTTTTATTTTATTTTTTTAATTATTTCTTATATTATTGCTCTGAATATTTTTGTACCAGCGGGCCTTTTCCTCTTCGTAGGGCAGGGGTTCTTAACTTGAGGTCTGTGAACTTGTTTTTTAAATACTTTGATACCTGTGTTTCAGTATTAATGATTTCCTTTGTAATGCTAAGCTTTTTATGCATTTAAAAACATAATTCTGAGAAAGCAACTATAGGCTTCATAGGCACCAAAGGGGTCCATGGCACACTAAAAACACGAAGACTTCCTGCCTTTTAGGGCATAAGGTTATAAACCTCAATTGGGATTGTTGGGTCAGAGGATGTGAATATTTCTCTTCTCAAAATTGTTTCCCTAAACAGTTGAACAAATTCGGACCTTTACTAACAATGAAATTAACTTGCCTGATTTTCCATTTCCCTGTCAGCATTAAATTTTGTCATCTTAATAAAAATTTTTTATGGTATACAGATTTTTTTCTGTGTACATTGCTTTTATATTTGCAAAAATTGATAATAGGGAAAATTAAAAATGACAGAAAATGGCTTTGATGATATGAAAAGCTTCTCATTACTGTTAACTGAGTCTTCTCCAACACTTCCCTTTAGGTTTCAGAATGTGGTTGGCCAGCAAGACGTGCCCCAAACCTTCAAAACCTTTATAACATCTGCAAGAATATGCATTTATGGCTAAAACAAGATCACAAAAATGTTTGCATTGTGCACTGCATTGTAAGTTGGAGTCTGACTGTACCTTTAAATTTTTCACTAAGTCCATTTCTGATTGCACAGAAATAGTCTGATCCAGAACATTGTCAATGGGAGGATGATCAAGTGACCTTTTCTTTGAGGGATTTTAGGAAAGGTAGTAGAGAACCATTTCCTTAGGATCAAGAAGACTCTGTTTCAACCTGGTTTTAGGCTTGAGTGTAGCGTAGAAGCTGGCTGCTATTGGTAGCCATTTATCATGAGGTGATTATTTAGTCACTGCTTCCTATCCTTGGTAAGACCTTGAAAATGATTGGGAGTAGTTGCTTCCAGAGTAGTTGCTCCAAAGTATTATTTGTGTAGTAGTATTTGTGTTGTATTTTTCCCTGAAGAAGGTCAGAAAACTTCTGACTTTAAAATGTAGCTCTACAACTTGGGAAATAGGATGGGCAGTAGGATAGGGAAACTGTGGCCTTAAACCCTGGTAGAAGTAGTCCTCAGCAAAAACCTGGGATAGACACAAGGCACACCATCTCTTTTTTAACCTTTGGTATAATTGTGATGGTTTTGTGTGCAGATGTATACATTTATACACCTAAAATATATGGCATACACTTACATAAAGAATATATACGTGTGTATTGGTGCCAGAATTTTTATGCCAACTTCATCTATATTTGTTTACATTTTTATTAGTTTATCTGATTTATTATTTTGCAATAGAAAGACCAAATAATTATCTCTAGAAGGCCCTTGTTCCATTGTGCATGTGTATCTAAGGAACCGAAGGGCAAGTCCTAAAGAATTGCTGTATCTCTTCTCCCATGAGCGTATTAGTACGAAGCAGACCAGTTAATTTTCACCTTGGAAGACAGAGGAAAGTGATCCTGAAGTATCATATGTGGCACAAGACAAAACAGAGGGAGAACACGAAAAGGTAGTAGGAAGTCCTAGGAGTGAGGAAGTCAGGTTTCACAAATGTGATGACTAAAGAAAAGAGGCTAAAGTAGGTTGTCATTCTCCACTCACCCACTCCTTTCTCCTCCATTCCCAGCCTCCTGCAAAACAGAGAGGGAGGGAGGGAGGGAGAGAGAGAGAGAGAGATACAGAGAGGGGGAGGGAGGGAGGGAGAGAGAGAGAGAGAGAGAGAGAGAGAGAGAGAGAGAGAGAGAGAGAGAGAGAGAGAGAGCGAGCGAGCACACAAGCTAGCACAAGTCTTAGTTTTAAATAGTGAAGGAGGACCATGAGAGCTCTCCTTGTTACCTGGATTTATACATTCAGTAAGAAGTCTGTGTAGGGGTACAGGCTCATTATTTATGTACTTAGCGAGTTAAATGTGGATGAACTGCAGGTTCTAGCCCCCTGCTACCCTGCTTTAAAGATTGTCCTGGTTTACCCTTATGACAGTAGAACCCTGCTATCAAGATTCTGACAGATTCTTGATACTTAAGGAGTCTAGATGCAACACGTTTTCTGTAAATGGTGTATTTACAATTGATGGCTTTGTGGTCAACAAAGGAGTGTCTTGTTGGTCTTCATGGTGTGTAAGAAAACTGTTCTTTTAAAGCACCTGATTGTGTAGTATATTGAAGCCAGAATCAACAGATTTTAGGCTACTTTTTAATATTTGTGTTAAGACAAATACAAATTTTTTAAATGTTTAAATCTTACAAAAGAAGCCAAAGATAAAGTGATAATCTCATCAATTTTATATTTTTAGGAATAAACATTGAGGGAGCTGTCTTTCAGATATTTGTAGACCAGTAGTAGGCAAAGCCAGGAAATTGGTAGAACACTATAACGAGTGGGTAAATTTGAGTAGCGTTTGGAATTGGTTGAGGAAATGGCTGTTTTTCTTTATTGACATGGTGTGTAGATCAGTAAAGGGGCATAGAAAAATGGCTTTGGAGTTATTCTAGATCATTTTTATCTTCTGTTATATGAGGATGAATTATTTGTATCACATCTCCCATCATGACTGGATAATTGAGTTAACAATATAAATACAATATTTTTAATAATTTATTTTAGGATGGAAGAGCAGCATCAGCTGTTGTCGTTTGCTCCTTTTTATGTTTCTGTCGTCTTTTCACCACTGCTGAGGCTGCAGTTTATATGTTTAGTATGAAACGCTGTCCACCTGGCATCTGGCCGTCTCATAAAAGGTACGGTTCAACTTTTCTTCATTGTTGGGTTGCTTCAGTGCTTGGGGTAAAAAAAATGCTCATTAGATCCTAGGACTTAGTCATAACATGTTTTCAAGATGAATGTAAAATGTTTGTCTGATGCACCTAATTATAATCAGTCCAGTGGTGATTTGGCATTAATGTGCTTTTATTCTAAATGTGTATTTAAAATCTAGAAAATAATAATTTGAGAATTAAGTTCCAAAAGTCTATGACTAGTTTTGTTTCAGAGTATCATTCTTTCGTGCATGTGAAGTCATTAGACTAATCAGATAAAAAGAAGCTCAGCTGGCCACATACATACAGACTTATGATATAGACTATTATATGTTCAACTTCTAGTTTGTATAAGTAGTCCCATCAAGTAGGAGTTTGTAGTGGTGGTGACCAAGACATCAAAAGTTTTGTGAGAAGCTAGTTATTAATTCACTCACCACCCCTTATCATTCCTGGGGACTCTTATACTTGCAGTTACATAGCCATTTTCACCAGTCTTGATCGGATCTCTTTGATTGGAAGTGGTTATGAGTGCCTTTAATTCTCAGTCACTGGTGAAAATGTTAAATAGAAAAGTCTCCCATTTTTTGGGCTAGGCAGTGGGTTAAGTGACTTGCCCAGGGTCACATAGTTAGTTAAGTGTCAAGTGTCTGAGGTCGAATTTGAACTCAGGTCCTCCTGACTCCAGGTCTGGTGCTCTATCCACTGCACCACCTAGCTGCCTCAGAAAAGTCTCTTGCCCTTTGTGGGACATGATACTCGTTTATCCCTCCCTGTGTGAATGATGTTCTAGCCTGTTGGGTGCTCACCCACGAATTGATCATTCTATCCCATTCTGAAATTTGAGGTTCTGGGAAGTTTAGTTGGTCATAAATTTCATGCCTTGGTTGTGTGAGTCACTGTAACACTTCCATCTCTGTAGCCCCGATCACTTTTCTGAGCTCTAGGCCTACATCTCCGCCTGCCTAGAGAGCATCTCTCCTGTTATATTCTACTGGTACCTTAGGCTTAACATGTCTAAAGGAGAGCTCATCCTCTTTCCCCTAAACCTGCTCTTCTTCCTGACTTCAGTGTTTCTGTCTGTGGTAATATTTTTTACTGTCTTCCATATTTATAATACTGGATACTTTCTTTTAGTCATGCTTCTTCACTTATTGTCTCGTGTTACCATTATGAAAGTCCTTTGCTTCCATCTCTGCAACTTCTCTTCCGTATATCATGGGATCATAGACTTAAAGCCGAAATGAGGTCATCTAGTCCAGTGGTGTCAGACCAATAGAAACAGATTTCTGCAAGCACATATTGACCTTGAAAACCACAAATTGACATTATCTCTGTTTTATTGTATTTTAATTTATTCTGTTAAATATTTCCCAATTACTTTTTAATCTGATTTGGTTACACTTGTAGGCCCCAAAGGGCCTGCCCATGTGTTTGACACCCCTGATCTAGTCCAGTCTCTTCATTCTCCAGATGAGGAAACTGTAGCTCAGAATGTTGAAGTGATTTGCCAAAGTTCCCACTGACAGCAGATCCAGAGTTCAAACCCACATCCTCTGACTCCAAAGCCAAGTCTCTCCTATGCAGCCTGGTCCATCGCTGTATTCAGACAGCTCTTGCCAAAGACACCAATGACTTCCTCATAAAATCCAGGGCCCTTTCTTGTCTTCCTCCTCCAGGTTTCTTCTGCTATGCTGAACACTACTGACCATCTTCCTCCTTCATAGGTTGTCTCTTGGTGCTGGCCTTCATCACCACCTGCTGAAGTTATTGTAATAGTGCCTTAACGGCCCATCTGCTCCTATAGTCTTCTTCTTGTAGTGTGTTTGGTACTGATTAAGATTGATCTTTCTTATGCTTAGTTCTAGTCATGTTATTCTCATACTCTAAATTGTATTTATTGATTCCCTGAGTACAATTCATACTTCTTAACCTGGCATTTAGAGCCCTCCTTAATCTGGTGCCAACTTTGATATTTCATTCCTCTCTATGTTCTGGCCAGAATTAAGTACAAATTGTGCCTGTAAAAAAACCGACCAAACAACATTTTCTTGCCCTCCTGCATTTGTTTACCACCATCCCTCTTTATCCCACTTACCCTTTAAAGTAGATCTGAAATGCTGCCTTCTACATGAAACCTTTCTGGACCTCTGCTATTATTCCTGTTCTTTCTGTTTGGACTATACATGGCATGTTTTCTGCACCTTTCTAATCCTAACAAGGCTGTAAGCTCCATGAGGCAGGGATGATCTCTTATCTAGAATTTGCATTCCCCCTAGTGCCTAGCATATGGCTGTGAATATAGATACTTGATACATATGCTTATGTCTTGTCTAGTCTTTTTCGTTAGATTGAGCTAGACTTTAAATGTTGAGAATATGGATGAGAAAGTGTGCTTAGAAGTATTGAATCGGCTGCTGTGAATTATTTATAGCACCCTTCTAAGTTGGCTATATGAATAATTAGAAATGGATAATTATCAGAACCTTTTTCCCAGTGCAATTTGAATTCAGCTCAGCAAATAAATGCTAAGCACTTATGGTGTTCTGGGTATATGAAAATGAAACAGTGCACAGTTCGAGCCCTCCAGGAACTTAGAGCTTTGGGGGACTAGGGGTGTAGAATGGAGAGGTTAGAAGAAATACCCAGATCATTGAAATAGGGTTCTGGTATGATTTAGAGAGGTCCAAATAAATGTTTAGAGAGACTCAGGGAGAGAAAGACATCACTTATAAGTGGAGGCATTAGGGAAAACTTTATGCTGGTTGTGATATTTGAACTGAGCCTTGAAGGAATAAGACTGTTTAAGGGTGTATGTGTGGTGGGGCATGGGAATAGGGGCAGTTGGGTTAGTACCTTCCCTATAACAACCCTGTGAAATAGGTAAGACTAGTATATTTCTGTTTTACAGGAACTGAGGTCCAGATAAATTCTAAAAAAATGTTTGCTAGGGCTTGGAAAAACATGACTCCTTTCCTCCTCTCCCTCCCATTCCACCTGCAAAAATATATGTATGTATTTGGGCAGGAGGTATGGAAAGAGAGAGCAAGAAGGGGCAGGGATACTTTGTGAAGATGGAACTAAGGCATGAGCTGGAGGTAGAATCTTGTACTAACATTCTTGAATTTTAGTATAGCATTAAAGCCAAAAAGACTTTTGAAAATCCAGTTTTTTTTAAAAAAAGTACTATACTTATTAAGTGTAATTTTAAGGGATGATTATTAATTTGTATCCATCCTGCCGTTATGATTTATAGTGAGCCCTGGAATTTCTGACATGAATAGTCATGATAGCAGCTGGATCAGAGAGCATAATACACTACTGCTGTCCTCACTTCCACACCCTCTTCCTTACCACAATCACACCAATTTTTCATTTTGCCTGTCTTTGTTTAGGGGCATATTAGCTTAGTATTTAAAATGTGCTGTAATATATCCATGTCTGAGCCTTAATGACTGGCTAAGAATCATATAATTGAAATATGCCATGTAGTCCAATGAATGCCCAAATCCTGAATCCCGTCTACTAGATCCCAGACAAGTAGTTGCCTAATCTCTGGAGGAGAGTTTAATAAGAGATCAGCTGCTGTCAGGCTGATTACTAAAGTATGGTATGGACTTTGGAGGAGATTTCTGGGTATAAACGTTCCATAGCCTCCTGCTTCAGAAGCTCCTCAGTTTGTTCAGCTTTTGAAGTCAAGAAGTTTTTCCTTTAACCTATCTGGATTTCCCATTGCCGTTTCAGCAATGTTATATGGCTACATTCTTTTATTCATTTTTCTTAGAGCTGAAGAAAAAAATTAGCTTCTTACCAGCAGCTTTTTAAAAAATGTTGTTAGTATCAAGACATCTCTTGGTTGACTAAAAAGTCCCTTATCTTTAGAAACCCCATATTCCTGGAAACTTTATGATCTAGTGGAAAGAACCTGGGTTCAAACTCCTACCTTACTACTTGTGTGACCTTGAGAAAATCATTTACCTCAGTTTCCTTGTCTATAAAATCCAGAAGATGGACTAGATGGCCTCTTGGGCATCTTCTAACTTTAGATTTATTATTCTATTGCTTTGTAATTATTTTGTGACTTTCTACAATCTTTCTATGCCATTTTAGTTTTATTTATTTTATATTTAATCACTTTTGCAGTAAATGAACTTGTTCATCCAAGTGTTAACTAAAAAGATTGCCAGCTATAATTTCTCCTTCTCCTTGTGATTGTACAGACCTGTTTATTAAAATAATTGCAGTAAGTTCAACTTCTTTGAAAGATCCATGAGCTCTTCGATATGGACAGTCCCCTGTTGGTGCAGATCACAACTCATGCATACTGGAGATAGAAAGAAAGGCAAAAAACCAAACGAGTCTGTGCCTTTTGGGAGCTAATGGGGGAGACAACAAACTAACAAATATGTACAAATGAGTTATGCACAAGAAATAGGAAATAATTCAACAGAAGGAAGGTGCTGGAATTAAGAGGGATTGGGAAATGGTGGGATTGTAGCTGGGATTTGAAGGCATCCAAGGAAGCCAAGATATGAGGAAGGAGAATATTCTAGGCCTGGGGACAGCCACAGAAAATGCCTGCAGCTGAGAGATAAAGTCTTGTTCATGGAACAACCCAGAGGCTGGTATCTTTGGATCAAATAGTATTGAGGAAGGGAATTAAGGTGTAAGAAGACTGGAAAAGTTGGGGAAGAGTGTATGGCTACGTTAAGAAGGGCTTTGGACACCAAGCAGGATTTTATATTTGATCCTGGAGGTGAGTAAGAACCTCTGGAATTTATTGAGTAGGGGATGACATTGTCAGACCTGTGCTTTAGGAAAATCACTTTGGTGGCTGAATGGAGGCCACATTGGAGTGGGCAGAGCCATGAAGCAGGCAAATCCACTGCACTATTATAGTAGTCTGGTTGTAAGGTGAGAAGAACCTGGACCAAGGTGGTGATAGTGTCAGAGGAGAGAAAGGAAGGTATTTGAGAGATATTGTAAAGGTGAAATTGATAGGCCTTGGCAACAGATTGAATATCAGGGAAGAAGGAGAGAGCTGGCCTCAGAGCTCCAAAGACCTGGGGTTAAGCTCTACCTCTGGCACATACTGGGTAGGTGACCCTGGGCAAGTGACTTAAAGTCTCAGTGCTCAGGAAACTTTTTAAGACTACGAGTTGGAGAGAAGTTACTGATCTATGTTAGTAGAGGAAGTTTTTCACCAGGAGCTCCTCACTCCAGCTGAATCAGGGATGCCGTCACTATCCCTGTATATCTTGGAACCAGTGGAACCATTGCCCCAGTTTTCAGTTCTAGCTTTCTCTCTTCCTAATCAGCTCTGGGCCTCCCTGTTGTCCATCTATACTGTATGTCCAGAATATGAACGCACACACTTCATATTCTTCAAAAAATAGGGAGTATAAAACTATATACCTACATACAGCTTTTTTTTTAGGATTCGAACCTATATCTTTCTGGCTCCAAGTTAGTGGATACAGAATATCATTGGAGATAGAATGAGAAGCCCTATCAAAGCAGGAATACTAATGTCTTAACTTCCCCTTAACCTTGGATAGTATTTCAGGTGATTTAATTAGCCTGATAAACCTTATTCTTCACAAAATATTTCTAATTTGTGTATAGCCAAGGGAGCTCTCTCTTCTGAACTGCTGTGGCACTCATTATATTTTTTTCTTTTGTATTATTACGTGCTGGCCTTTTGTTATTAGATAATTCTTCATATGTATTTGTGTTATTTTCCCAACGAGACTGTGAGCTCCTACAAGGTAGGAACCATATTAACTACATCCTCCATAGCATCAAGGCTGTAATAACTCCTTAGTGAATGTTGGTTGATTGATGACCATAGCTTGTCAGTAAGTTTCACTTCTCTTAGCTGTTAGAGGTTAAGGATTGGAGAACACCTCTAGATTGCAAAGAGCCAGTGTGAAAGCATCCTCTCTTAATCTTTATCTCTCTTTCTCTTCCCCTAGTCTGTCTGTCTGTCCACCTGTCTGTGTGCCTGTGTCTCCTCCAGCTCACCTCCCATTTCATAGGACAGTGATTGCCCATGTAGGACTAACATTGTCTCTCTGGTAGTGGAGTTGATTTTGTTAACTTACGGGCCCTGTCTCTGAATCAAGAATGATGATACATTTGGGTTTTTTTCTCCCATGTTTGAAATGATAACTTTGGAACTTTATTCTTGAAGTAACTGCTTTAATGAATATGCATATAGTTTGAGCTGAATGGACTGTGTTGTAGTGAGCAGTCACCTTGCTGTGTAAACCTTGTATCCCTGGTCCACCAAGTTGGCTCTCTGTTTGTTGTTCTTTGGTTTTACAGGTATATAGAGTACATGTGTGACATGATGGCAGAAGAGCCCATTATCCCTCATAGTAAACCAATTCTTATTAGAGCAGTCTCCATGACTCCAGTGCCCCCTGTTTAGCAAGCAGAGAAATGGCTGCAGACCCTTTTGTGAAGTCTACGTGGGGGATGAACGAGTGACCACTACATCTCAGGAGTATGACAAAATGAAGTAAGTTCAGGATAGTATGGCTCTCATACTGCCTTTGTTAACGTTTGTGTTTTGGTAATTCTGGGTGGAGGACCTGTCAGTTTGTTATTAGAATTGCCTCTGTGTCTGATACACTCATTGAGCATTTGTAAGATGTAAAAGTGTAGTGTATCTGAATAAAACCCCTTGGGGTTTGATTACAGAGGGTGTAGGTATGCAGGGTGAAATGAAATCAAAAATTAGTCAGGGGCTAGGAAATTCAGAGTTTGCAGATAATTGCTATTTTTATAGTCATTCATCCATATTGACTACTTAAACTTTGTGGAAAGCAACTTCTTTGTAGAAAAAAGAAAATATTTCTGGGGAATGTTCTTCCCCAAAGATCAAAATCTATCAGTTAAGAAAATTTGTGATTTTATGAATTTTTCATTTTAGAAAAATCTTATTATCTTTAGGAAATGCATTTCTCATGTCTTTGAGTATGATTTTTTTGGTTAGACTATAAATTTGGCTTCAAAATGGGGATCCTAAGTATGGCAAGTATTTATTTTTATGCACAATAAACTAATGTAAACAATTCATTTGTGTTTCTGTTATTTAGGGATTTTAAAATTGAGGATGGAAAAGCAGTAATTCCATTGGGTATAACAGTCCAAGGTGATGTACTCATAGTGATTTATCATGCGAGATCAACGCTAGGAGGAAGATTGCAAGCTAAGGTAATAACTTCAGAGACCTTCTCTTTTCTACTTGTCATGTGTTGATCACTCACTTTTTCTGTCACATTTATTAGCAGTGGCTAGCTCTTCTGAGAGTTTAATTGTATCACACGAGTTCTGAATACCTGTGCCATCAGACATTGCTATCAGTTGTCGTTCAGGCTTGTTCAACTCTTTTGGAGTTTTCTTGGCAAAGATATTGGAGTGGTTTGCTGCTTCTTTTCCAGCTCATTTTACAGGAGGAAACTGAAGCAAATAGGATTGAGATTTGCCCAGGACAACTACTAAGTGTCTGAGGCCAGAATTCAAACTCAGGAAGATGAGGCTTTCTGACTCCAGGCCCAGCACATTGTGCCAGACATTTTTTTGAAGAATAAAAAGAAACAGATAAGCATATGTATAGTTGGGGAGACCGAAGATACCTAAATGAAGTAGCTTGAGAACACTGAGAATTCAGTTCAATTCAGAAATTCTTTAGTGCCTACTGTATGCTGGGCATTGTGTAAGACACTGAGGAGACCAAGATGAAAATGAAACATTGTACCCTAGTGAAGCTTACCACATGTATGCACCTTAGTAAATACAAAGCAATTTAGAAAGAGAGTGCAGTAAGAATTGGGGGTGAAGGGGTGGGATTGGTTTGGGAAAAGCTTCACTTAAGCACAGGTACCAGAAGTAAGCCCTGAGGGAACCTAAGAATTCTAATAGGGTACAGTGGGGAGGGAGTGCAGCCAAGGCCTTTGGGAAGCAGGTAGGAGGCCACTTTGGCTTAAACATAGAGTGTATGAAGAGGCTAGAAATATGAAATTAATCTGTAAAGGTAGGTTTGCAACCTGGCTGTGAAGAACTGGGAAGGGCAGGGTGCAGAGTTTGTATTTTATCCTACATGCATTAGGGAGCCATTGAAAGTTTTGAATAGGGAAGTGACATGATTATTTCTATCTCTTAGAATATTAATTTGGCAGGTGTTTATAAAATAAATGATTTGGAGAGGGGAGTGATTTCAGGTAGGAAGACAAATTAAGTTTTTTTAATAGTCCAGGCAGGAGGTGATGTGGCCTAAATTAAGGTAATGGTCATATAGAAATAACAATAGTAATAATGTGTATATAGTGCTTTAAGGTTTGCAGAATGCTTTACAAATATTTTTTCGTTTTTTCCTCATAACTCTGAGAGGCAGATTCTTTTATTGCCCCAGTTTTTACAGATGAGGAAACTGAGGCAGCCAGCTTAAGTGACTTGCCCAGTGTCACCTAGCTAGTAAGTGTCTGAAGTTGAATTTGAACTCCGGTCTTCCTGACTCCAGGCCCAGCTCTCTATGCACTTGTTAGCATACCCTAGAGGATTTCTATAGCAGCCATTTGTACAAAATACCACATTATTTCATTTGTTTAACCTGTGTTTCTGAGCATATATAATGTGTAAGGCCCTGTCCTAAGCAGTAGGCCTATACCACGGAATAACTAAATACTGGGCCGTCCCAACGTAGGGGTGTAGGGTAGCTCATGAACACTCCCTGAGAGGCATAGTGAAATCATGCTGACTCCTTGAAGCTCTGCATATTCCTTCCCTCTCCAATACTATGCCCTCATGTCCTGTGTCTGGTCACATTTACTGAGCCTTACCCCTGCCCTGTGTCTTCCACTTTTCTTCATGTGTTGCTGTGGGAACCTGGGAAAGATTACTAAACTTTCCAGTTAGGGTACCCTGTAAATGTTAGCCAGTCTTAGCTGGGTCCTTCTGACAATAAGGCAGACATTCTTTATTTCTCTAGTTGAGTGCTTACCCACTCCCCATGGCAGCTGTGCTATGCATCTTGGCCGTTCCTTAAGTCACCCACGCAACTACTCTCTCCATCCACTCAGCCTGAGGATCTGGCCTCATACTTCACAAAAAAAAAAAATCAATGAGACTGTTTGCTCCCTTCTTCCTTCTTGTTCATATCACATCATTTATTATTTTTTATATTTTTATTATTTTTAATTAATTTTTAGTTTTCAGCATTCACTTTTTGTGAGATTTTGAGTTCTAAATTTTTTTCCCCTTCCCAAGATGGCATATAGTCTGTATATCACCTATTTAGATATCTTCTCCCACTATCTCCTCCTTCTCCTCTATGAACTTTAAAAAAAAAATTTATAACTGTTTTAATATAATTGGCTTGATTTGTAACCCTGTGAAGTTTATTTTATGCATTTAAAAGCATTGTTCTGAGAGGGTGTCCATAGGCTTTGCTAGACTGCTAGGGGAAGGTGACACGAAAAAGAATCCCTGTTCTGTACTCTCTTACTTAGGCATTGTAGCTGCCCTGAGTTTAATTATCATTACCGTGCTAATGGTTCCTAGATTGATCTTTCTAGCCCTAATCTTTTTCCTGTGTCCTGTGTTTAGACTCACATCACCAACTGCTTTATGGACATTTCCGACTCAATGTCTTGTAGGCATCTTACGTTCGCTATGTCCCCAGGAGAACTCATTATCTTTGTCTCTCTCTTCTCCTCTTCTGAACTTCTCCTTAACTGTCAAGGGTACCGCCATTCTCTCAGTCAACCTGGCATCATTTTCGACTGCTCACTCAAACTTATCTAACATAGTTTGTTGCCAAAAATGTGTCATTTTAATCTTTACAGTCTCATATATGCCCCCTTCTATCCATTCACTCAGCCCCCACCCAGATTTAGGCTCTCATCACCTCTTGCATGGTTTGTTACTCTAGCTGGTTTCTCAGCCTCAAGTTTCTCCTCTGTCTGCCGTGCTTTATCCCTCATTGTCACCTTTAATCTCTCTGATTTTCCTCAAGACTTAAATTAGATCCCACTCTCCTCAGGAGTCCTTTCTCTTTTTCCTGGTTGCTAATATTGCTTTCCCCTCTCAGAGTGACTGCCTTCAGTCTATTCTCTATATCACTTGTATCTACCTGGTTTTTTATATGTTGTTTCCTAGTTAGAATGTGAGTTCACAAGGGCAGGCACTATGTTCTTAGTCAAATAAGCATTTGTTAAGTATGTACTATGTACTAGCATTGTAGATGAAAAGAGAGGTAAAGGACAGTCCTTGCTGTCCAAGAGTTCACAATCTAATGGGGAGAAAGCAGGCAAACAAATATATACAGTGAAGCTATAGGCCAGATAAATAGGAGGTCTTTATGAGAAAAGAGCTTTGTAATCCTTAAAGCACTATAGAATTGTGAGTTACTGATACAGTAAATGCGAGTGTCTTGTCTTAGCACCATTTAGTAACCTGAAGTTGGAATTGGTCCATTAGTGTTTGGCCTTTCGTTTAATACCAGCCAAGTCTGAGATTTTTAAAGTGAAAAGCCCCCAGGTACCTGAATGTTTGGGTCATTTCTGCAGCTCCAAGTATGCTGGGCTAAAATTTCTCTTATTTTCTGGCAGACTGTCATGGAATTAGGCTTTTGTTAGATTATGTTTGATTTTTAAGACTGTACGTTCCTTCCCCCTCTCTAAAAGTACTTGTAGCTTTTTGGAGATCCCATTGATGGAGGTGGTTATCCCAGCCTTGCAGGCTGCCTCAGTTAATCTTGCTGTTCCTTGTGGCATAGTCTTTTTGTTTAAATTAAAAATTTTAAATGAACAAAAACCCTCTCAACAAATATACATAATCAAGGACACTGATAATTGGAAAGATATAAAATAATGTTACGAATGGTCATCTTTAGAAGATGCTGAACTAGAACTACTAATGTAGAGATTGGCCTAGTGCCTAGAGACCTGTAGGTAGGAAGATTCAAATCCAGCTCCTGACAGTTACTATCTCTGATCAAATTAATTAGCTCAATCTCTCTGAGCCTTAGATGCCTCATCTCCAAAGTGAGAGTAACACTTGTAGTCCCTGCCACACAGGGTGGTTTTGAGGCTCAAATGAAATTTCTCTACCACCTTTTGTTTGTTTGTTTGTTTGTTTGTTTTTTGTTTTTTTGCTAGGCAATGGGGTTAAGTGACTTTCCCAGGGTCACACAGCTAGTAAGTGTTATGTGTCTGAGGCTGGATTTGAACTCAGGTCCTCCTGAATCCGGGCCGGTGCTCTATCCACTACGCCACCTAGCTGCCCCCTCTCTACCACCTTTTGCAAACTTTAATATGCTGGGCCAGTGTCAGTGTTTTTGAATTCCTCTGTTTCTGGTCATGAGTATATGCCAACACATAATCATTTGGAGTTAGCAAGTACTACTTCACTTAGTATTTGCTGGTTTCTGTAGGGATTTCTTCCAGTGCTAGTGAGGTAAAACCACCAGAGTTGTGTAGAATCCAAGATCAGGAATAAACTCACTATTCTCTTTTACTAAAGTTGCGGTATGAAAGTCACCTTTAATTTCTGTTTGGAGTAGTTAGAGGAGTTGAAAATGGTAATGGGAAAGGTAGATCCTAAAGCAATATAGTGGGTAGCCCCACTAAGGTGGGATGGGAAACAGTGGCCAGTGACTCAATTAAAAGAGTCCTGAGAACTCTCAGAGCCCTCAGAGAATGGGTGGTGAACTGATGCTTTGGTCAAATTATTGGACACTGATTGACCAGTTCACATATTTGGAATGCTAATTCTACTCATGCTTTCTGCCAGGTTTGCCTGGTAGCAAATGGCATATTTGCATTTCTTATGAGTATGCTGTGGGAATTGTCAAGCTTGGTCCTGCTTTGTGCTTATGAGGTCCTTTGCCTTTTAAACATACATGATCAAAGAGTATAAGTAAATTTTAATTGCATGTTAGAAAAAATGTGACAGTTATTTTTCAAAATTAAATAGCATAAATGGAAGTATTTTAACTTGCACATCATCCACTATTTGGAATATTTTCAAAACTGCAGTGTCATAGCAGAGAAGCAAAATGGATGGAAGCTTGTTGGACTGAAAATATGGTATTTTTCATTAGGTTCATAAACAATCTTTGTTTGTCATTCCCAGATGGCTTCAATGAAGATGTTTCAGATTCAGTTCCACACAGGCTTTGTGCCCCGAAATGCAACAACTGTGAAGTTTGCCAAGTAGGTTAATGTTGGACATTGTGGATTTGGGGAAGATCTTGTTCTGGGTGAGGTTAAGCAGGCTGTCTAGATTAGGACAGAGTAAATGTTTGAAAATATTGCGTGAATGAAATTAAAAGTTCCAAGGACCTTTTCTTTGCGATGTAAAATAACAGTAACATACAATTAAAAGGAAAACTAAGAACCACACATTATTGAGTTTGGTCAAATATGTTTTATAGTTGTGTGCTTAAGAGTCACAAGAGGATTGAATCTGCTTTGTAATCCAAACAGAATAGTCATCATCAGTGACAACTGAGAACTCCTTGTGCCAGTTACCAGTCTCCTCATTCTTTACTCCTTCTGCCAGCCAATGATATAGCATAACTAGAATAGACTGTTTAATGTTTTTGGTGAATTTTTTACATCAAATTTCTCAACCTTTATATTTCCTATTTTTATCACTTTTTTTTTCACATTGACCCTTTTCACCTTTTTTAGTCTGATGTTTCCTTAGTCTTTTTATCTCTTAAAATATCCTCTTTTCCTTTTAAAGTTATCTTTATTGCTTTGGCAGTCAGTATTAATCCTGTCCTTTTTTTCACTTTGTTGTTTTACGTTTTTAAATGAATAACCTGCTCTGCATATATTGCTTGTAATGTCAAACCCCATGTTGTTGCCATCTTTGGTGACCTTTAAGTTGTGAGATTGATGCCCTAGATGACCTCTGAGTTGCAAGATCTTCCTTTGCTCTTGTGTGCAGAAATCAGAGGAGAGAACTGCTATGACTGTAATGATAATAAAGAAAGAGGCTGAGGTTTAGAGAGGCTTAGCAAAATAGAGGCTGATAACAGAGTATGTTCACATAGTGCTTTAAGGCTTGCAGAGCAGCTTACATGTATTCTTTTGTTTGTACAATTGGGAAGCAGGAGCAAGCAGCAGTAATGCGTGACAAAAATGAAGAATTTGGGGAAAACAAGCTGCCTTCAAAAAAGCTGCCAAACAAAATTGGATTTTAGCATAAGTACTGGGCACGTTGTAGACAAGAGTTACTGAGGGATCAATTGATTGGTTAAGAGATTTTGAAATACTCCATGCCAATAAAATTACAGTTATAATCCAAATAAAATTTCACTCTTTTAATTCAATAGCATATATTTAAATGTTGGACCTACAGGTGAAATTTTTAGCTAGTAAATCCTGATCTATTTTTCATTTCATAAAGTTTTCAGGTACTTACTCCATGCAAGGATTTGTGCTAGATATTTAGGACCTAAGTTTTAAAATATGATATTCCTTCTCCTTCAAGCTACTGGGATCTGTAGTGGCATTCAGAAATGAAGCCAAAAGATATGGATTCAAGTTCTCAGTCTCTCAGTTCCTAGCTCTGTGACCTTGGACAAGTCACAACTTCTCTGGGTCTCATTTTCCTCTTTAATAAAATGGAGATAATACCTGTGGCATCTACTTCAGCATACTTATGAGGCTTAAATGAAGTTCTGTATATAAAACATTTTCTCCCTCAAGCACTGTGTATGATCGCCCATTGAACTTACATTCTATTTTTAGTTGCTGAATAGCTCTCCTTTGTGTCCTAAATTCAGAAGATGCTTGGGTGGCATTTACAGTGATGTAAAGTACTCTTTACCACCATTTTGTGGTATTTATATAGAGAATGTACTTACCTTACTAAATAAAAACTTAGTTACACCGATTCTGCTGTAACTAGTATGCCTAAGGCTTCTACTCTCATTCTGTATTATTGCAGTGGAGGAAGGATGTCTGTAACAAACACTCATATAAGGACTTTTGTGCAGATATGATACGTCTTCCTCTTCCAGAAGGCACTTACCCCCTCAAGGCAGTGCCCATAGACCAGCCTAGGTGTTTTTGAGTCCAGCACACTGGACATTTGCCACACCTTGAAACAGTATTCTCAGGGGGTTAAGAGCTGCCGCTTTCAAGATACAGCATCTTGGCTGGTGCTTGTTACAGCTCTGATCTCGACTTGGTAATCATCATGTAAAATGAAGAATTTGGGCTAGGTGATTTTGAAGGTTCCTTTGCTTTGCCATTCTAAGCTTGATTCTCTGCTTTGATTCCTGTTTCAACCAGTGGCAGGGTGTAAGGAAGAGGGATTGCTATATGTTAATGTCCTAGGTACTGTGGGAACCCATTGATGAGTGCACCTTGCTCATAAGACTTTCATTGTTCTCTCATCATCTCTGTGGGCTGAGGACAGGCTCCTGCTCACCTTTGCAGCTCAGAGGCTGAGGGCTGATCCTGAAAGGAATCTCTATGGGGGCTGTAGAAGGAGGAGAGGGAAGGGAAAAGCTATCTCCACCCCTTGGATGAATGATGGTGAGGATCTTATGCCAGTTTCTTCTGGAATAGCTGCATCTGAGTGAGCGTCCTGGGAACTTTACCCATCGGGACCTCAACATTCAGAGGTTCTTTATTTTCATTTGAGTCTCCCTCCCCTTTCAAATTTATTTATGTCTGTCTGTCTATCTATCTATCTATCTATCTATCTATCTATCTATCTATCTATCTTCTTCCTTTCTGCACTCTTTTGTTCTCTTTTTTCTTCTTTTTCAGGCTCTTCTTTCCTGATTCACAAATGAACTTTAAGCATTTCATAATATGGTCCTTGAATCTTATTCAGAAAACGTGTGAGCTCTCCACTTATGAATGCCCTTTCTATGAGGAGAAACCAGTGGCCTTGATTTCTTCATGTGTAGAATGAAGGGTGAAGGTTAGAGGCTCCCTCATGACCTTTCTAGCTTTGACATTTTACATGCATTCTCACTTTGAAATTGCTGTTGATCCTATCACTTACTCTGCCCAAGTTTATTGACATTGTTACAATCTCTGGATCTTTAACATAATTTCTTATATTTTTGTGGTTTTAACACACTTGCACATAAATTATATTGCCCAGGAGGAGCTAGAAGGAAACATCTTTGAAATGAGCATACTTAAGTAGCTCTGTTGTTCCAGTGAAGGTGTGAAGTAGGCAGCAGATTGAGGGAAGGCAGGTCTTCTTATATTGGTGCTTTGCTGTAGTGGGTGAGAATTATAATTTTCACTCCTCAAAATGTCAGAAGTTGAACTGAGAGGGAAGGGAAGAGTAGAAGGAGCAGATGGGCAGGTTTCCAGCTTCTTCTGAGTCAAATGTTCATTATTGATCTTTATTGTTTTACTTGAGCTTCTGAATTCCCACAAAAACATTCCAAAGTCAAGTGATTTGGGAGTTATTTCAGTTTTGCATTACTCTTACTCAGGTTCCTGGAAATTGGCTCAGATAATTGACAGTTAGTTGGCTGACTGTAAAACTAAAAGTAAAGGAAATTTCAGAGTTGAGCATTTGATGCCTAATCCCCAGGTGGCTGGTGAAATGTTCAGGCTTGCAAATATGTTAAGATTATTCTTCCAGAGCACTTGACTTGAGTCTGAAGGTCTGTATTTGAATTCTGGCTTTGCTGTGTTCGTCATTGTGGGACCACGGGCAGGTTGCTTTACCCTTTGGGACCTCAATTTCCTCATCTATAAAATGCATATTATAATAATAGGTGCAGGACATATGTCATGAGGGTGTTGTAAGGATCAAATAAGAACATACAAAAAGTCTTTTGCAAACCTAGAGCACCATATAAATGTCAGCCATTATTTTTGTTTTAATGCTTTTCACCCCAGAGTAGTAGGGTCCTGAAACAGATGCAAACATGGGTCTGGATATGCCTGCCATAGAGATATTGTCGGTGAGTCCTTCCATGTTGGGAGTGACTTAAAATTTCCTTAGGAAATGTCTGAGTTAGATAGAGAAAGCAGCTGAAGGAAGGAAAAAAGAGGAGAGCCTTACTGCTCAATAGAGAAAATAACTGAAACAATTAAGTAGAATTATAACCAGAATAGGAAACCTGTCTAGACTGCCACAGAGACTGAGCAGCTGACACCCTATTCTGAGGGGTGAGGCTGTGCCATGAAAACCTGGTAGCTTTTCACGGGGTGACCTTTATGTCTTGACCTTGTTTCCAGATTCACAGGGATTCTTTCTTCAGCCGTCTCTGAGACTATAGGTGTTGGAGAATATGACTTTGAGGCTTCTAGGAGGGAGAGTTCCTGAGTATCATGGTAGTCATGTTCATTCAGGAATAAAGTGCCAGGAGCCTGAGCTTTGTGCAGTCTTCTCATTGATGATTGGAAACCAAAGAGCCCTTGTAGGAGAGGATTCTGGGAAGATGATAGAGTAGATCAGAAAATTCCAAAGCTCTCCAGACTTCCCCCACAAACAAGAGAAAATAGTGCCTCAGAGCAAATGTAGACTGGCAAAGATAAATAAGATTTGGGGCACAACAGTAGTTCTCTTGGGACAACCAGAGAAAATTAGAAGAAAACCTGTGAAGTGTAAACCCCTCCAGGCCAGTTCAGCTGAAACAACAAGCAGGGAGCCCTGGGGCTGGTTGGATTGGAAGCTAGTCTCAGAACCAGCCATAGAAAATTTCACCTTCTGGACAGTGTGGTAGTCCAGCTTCCAAGCAGGGGAAGATTGAGAGAACCTCTGCTGCTGAGGGGTGGCAGGCCCAGCTTTGCCCTGGGAATGCAGCCCTAGGCAAGAAGGAAGCAGCATACATCCTGCTGCTGGCTGGGGACACTTTTTGGAGGGTGGAATTCTTGGTTTTGGTTCCAGGCTAGAGGCACCATTCCCTCTGCCCCAGGACTAGAGATGATTACAAGAGTTGCTGTAAATTAAAAAAAAAAAATGAGCAGGCAGAGGAGAAAGAACCCAGCCATAGAAAGTTACTATGGGAATAGAGAAGACCAGGATTCATCTTCAGAGGAGGATACTGAAGCAAAAAAAGCTTCTCCTACCCCAGAGTAACGTCAAATGGTCATCTTCCCAAAAAGAAATCAGAGAAGAACTTTAAAAAAAAAGACTTTAAAAATCGAAAGAGATTGAGGAAAAGTTTTAAAAAAATTTACAATCCAAGAAAAACAAAAAGACTATGAAAAGAAAGTTAACCACTTGGAAAAGGAGATCCAGAATCTTAAGGAAGAAAATGACTCCTTGAAAATTAGAATTGGGCAAAGGGAAAGCTAGCAAAGTTATAAGAGACCAAGAAATAATCAAAGAAAATATAAAGAATGAACAAATAGAAGAGAATGTGAAACATCTCATAAGAAAAACAACTGATCTGGAGAATAATTCAAGAAGAGGAAACATAAGAATAATTGTACTATCTGAAAGCTACAATCGAGAAAGGAGTCTTGATGCAATAATATAAGAAATAACTAAAGGAAATTGTCCTGAAGTGTTAGAACAAGAGGGGAAGGTAGAAGGGGGGGGGGGGAAATCTGCTGATCACTACCTGAAAGAGAGCCTATGAGGAAAACCTATGGGAATATTAAAGTTAAATTCTGAAACCCCAAGCTCAGGGAGAAAATATTACAAGAAACAAGAAGAAAACCAAATATGGCAGAGCCACAGTTAGAATCACACAAGACCTAGCAACAAATCCAGATTTGTCCTGTGAAGTTTGGATTCATTGAAAGGGCCACACTTGAGGACCTAGAGGGCCACATGCGATCTCGAGGCCGCAGGTTTCCCACCCCTGTGCTACACCAAAAGACTGCAGGTCTTGGAACACCATATATCAGAGAGCAAAAGAACTGGGATTGTGGCCAGAATATCATACCTAGCCAAGTTAAATAAATGCTGAATGAAAAAAATAAAGGACACTCAATGAATTATCAGACTTTCGGGATTTTATTGCAAAAAGACCTAAACTCAATAAAAAAATTGACATACAAAACATCAAAGACAAGAGATTCAGTAAGGACAGACTGTTTGGTTTTTATACGAGGAACTATGAGCTGTGTGTGTGTTTGTTTAAGATTGTAATTAGTAATTGGGTAGTTAGAAAGAAAGATTGAGGTAGAGCTGAGTAGGATGTGATTCTAAAAAGTAATACTTGTCTAGGAAAAGATAAAAAGAGTAATTATACAAATGAGGTATGAGAGGAAGAAATGACATAGAGGAATTAGATGAGGAAGGAGGACTGGTAGTTTTGGAACCCTACTCTCATTGGGAATAGGTTAAAGAAGGAACAGCACATACATATATATTATGTGTGTGTGTGTGTGTGTATGTATATATATATGTATGTGTATATATATATATATATATATATACACACACACACACACACACACACACACACACACACATATCTCTAGAAGTGTTAAAAGTCTTCTAAATTTGGAAAGAAATAAAAGGCTAAGGGGGATATGGATGGGGGAGAAGATAAGGAGGGAGTAAGGCTTCCTCTAAAAATCCCTCCTCTTTTCACATAACTTTCATTTTTGTATATATGCACCCCCTCCTCTCTCTTTCTCTCCGCACCTCCCCTGCTTCATTATAACAGAAATTTCAAAAGAAAGAGGGGAAAAGCAGTTCAGCAAAACTAACATTGCATTGCAGTATGTCAGCTATGGTCAATCGTTTTTGCAGTATTTTACATTCATAGTCTCCTACCTCTGCATTGACAGGAGGTACATTTTCTCTGTCTAGGGTACAGCTTCAAGCCCTTTATTTTGTTTAGTGTTGTATGCATTTTTGAAAGCAGTTTGAATGGACAGGTAGAATTGAGTGGTTATCTAAATTGGGAGTTCTTAACTTTTTTTGTATCATGGACCTCTTTGGCAGTCTGGTTCTCAGAATCATGTTTTTGAATGAATAAAATAAAATATGCAGGATTACAAAGGAAATCATTTACATTGTATTTTTTTTTAAAGTTTGTGGAAACCAGGTTGAGAATATCTGATCTAAATGGAGAGAAGGAAAGCCAGGGCAAGTGTTTCTCTCTTATTTGGAGCACACAATCTTGATTTAAATTATTTATTGAGTGTAAATGATATTAAGATGGTTGGTAAATTTCTTGAAGTTAAAATTCTGATTGTGTGCTTGTTATCTTAATGTTTTTAGGTATGATCTGGATGCATGTGACATTCAAGAGAAATACCCTGACTTATTTCAAGTGAATCTTGAAGTAGAAGTGGAACCTAGAGACAGGCCAAGTCTTGAGACTCCACCATGGGATAACTTAAATATGAAGGGACTGAATCCAAAAATTCTGTTCTCCAGCCGAGAGGAGCAGCAAGACATTTTGTCTAAATTTGGTAAAGTCAGTTATTTGAAATGATGAAACGCATACTTTATTTTCTTATATACTCAGAGGAATTGTATTTTTGAGTGCTTATCTCCTTGACAAAGATAACGATACTTATTAACTTTCTCCATTAAGTCAATTGGGTTTTTAATTTTATTTTTTTTAATGAGGAAACCTCCAGAATATGATTTGGACTTTATCAATTTACTGTGCTCTTCCATTAATTGGCATACCTCATGCAAATATTAGGGAATGTTGACCATTTCAGGATCTCAAATCTCTACCTGCTAACGGACAAAGGACAAAGGACCTTGGGAATGTCATGCCATTTTGGGATTAGTCAGGCTTAGGCCCATTCTAGGAGTCAGTTTGTTTCTAAATAGTCCAGCAACTTTCTGAACAGGTCCTCGAGGAGACTTTTACTAGGCCTTGGATCTAGAAGACACAGCAAATAGTGAGAAATTCTCTTTCATGTGTGACTATTTTATTCTCTCCCTCCCTGTAGTAGCCACAGTGGGGCATAGAGCTGCCATTGTCCTAACTGCCTAGTTTTTCTATAACTAGGGCTGGTGGGGATGAATAACTTTTTGTATTAAATTTGTTCTATCGTCCTTCTTTTATTTTCAGAATAAGTGTATAGTGTATTCAAAACTGATCTGAGAAAAATTCAGTTTTCATGTAAAAAAGTAGGAAAATATCACCCAGCTTGTTAATTTTGGAATACCCTACTACACAAAAATTAAATAATGTTTTTATGTGTGTTCTGATATAGCTCTAGAGCAGCATCATTTTTTTAAAAAAGTAGAAAACAATCATACAAGTCAGTATTCCTATTTTATTTTCAAATCAGTCATCCTGGGGCAGCTAGGTGGTGCAGTGGATAGAGCACTGGCCCTGGATTCAGGAGGACCTGAGTTCAAATGTGGCCTCAGACATGTAATACTTACTAGCTGTGTGACCTGGGCAAGTCACTTAACCCCATTGCTTAGCCAAAAAGTAAAAAAATAAAATCTCTCAAATCAGTCATCCTGTTGGGAGTTGAGCTGGGAGGCAGGGGAAGAGTAGAAAGAGGAGGTGAACAATTTTCCATCTTCTCTTGGGTCAAGTGATCTCCATTGTTTTATTTGAGAGCTTCTGAATTCCCACAAAACCATTCCAATGCCAAGTGATTTGGGGGTTATTTCCATGTTGTATTAGTCCTTGCAGAACATGTAGCCTAATGTATTTCTTTGCCTTTGTTTGGCATTTCACAAATTATAGGCAAACCTGAGCTTCCTAGACAGCCTGGATCAACAGCCCTGTATGAGGCAGAAGCCTCCCAGCAGTCCCCTGAAAGTGTGCCCACAGAATCAGACTCTCCACAGAGTAACAGCACTGAGACAAACAACTTTTTTCATACATTGGACTGGCAAGGTATGGGGTATGATGAAGGGCCTCTGTGTTTTGGAAGTGCTGGGTTGATCTGACTTCATAAAATTTTGAGAATTGACATGCCAGGTCAAGTCACCAACTTTCCCAGCTCAGAATGTCTCTGACACTGGCACGAAGGGCTCTGGTATAGAGCACAGTATCCCTTTTTGTTTTTGTCTGTTTATGACATCACCTCAGAAGGGTAAGTATAACCCCAATGTTACTTTTTTTTAAATAAAATTTTTTTTTCCAATCTAGACTTTATTATTTTTCTTACTCCTTCCTCTTGGAGGGAAGGGGAAACAAATTGCTTGTAATAAATGAGCATCATCAAACAAAAACAGATTTTCATACTGGCCTTGTCCAAAAATGTGTGTCTCATTTTGCTGCATATTTTTCTTTTTCTTTTTTAATCTTTGGTTTATTTATTTTTAGTTTTCAGCATTCACTTTCATAAGCTTTTGAGTTTTCAATTTTCTTACCTTCCCTCCCCTTCCCCCTTACCAAGATGCCATGCAATCTGATATAGGTTCTACATAAACATTCATATTAAACATATTTTCACATTAGTCATATTGTAAAGAAGTATTAGAACCAGTGAGGGGAACTGTGAAAAAGAAAAAACAAAACAACAAAAGAAAAAAAAATCAAATATTATGCTTCCGTCAGCGTTCATTCTCCAAAGTTCTTTCTCTGAATGTGGACAGCATTTTCCATCATGAGTCTTTTGGAGTTGTCTTAGATACTTGCATTGCTGAGAAGAACCAAGTCTATGAAAGTTAGTCATTGCACAGTGATGCTGTTACTGTGTGCAGTGTTCTCCTGGTTCTGCTGACTTCACTCAGCATCAGTTCATATAGGTTTTTCTGAAGTCTGCACATTCATATACCACAACTTGTTCAGCCATTCCCCCAGTTGATGGGCATCCCTTTAATTTCCAATTCTTGGCCACCACAGAAGGATCTGGTATAAATATTTTTGTACATGTGGGTCTTTTTCCCATTTTTATGGTCTCTTTGGGATACAGACCTAGAAGTGGTATTGCTGGGTCAAATGGTGTACACATTTTTATAGCCCTTTGGGCATAGTTCCAAATGGCTCTCCAGAATGGTTGGAGCATTTCACATCTCCACCAACAATGCTTTAGTGTTCCAATTTTCCCACATCATCTCCAACATTTATCATTTTCCTGTTTTGTCATGTTGGCCAATCTGATAGGTGTGATGTCATACCTCAGAGGTGTTTTGATTTGCATTTCTGTAATCAATAGTGATTTAGAGCATTTTTTCATATGACTATAGATGGATGGCTTTAATTTCTTCATCTAAAAACTACCTGTTCATATCCTTTGACCATTGATCTATTGGGGAATAACTTGTATTCTTATAAATTTGACTCAGTTCCACATATATTTTGGAAATGAGACTTATCAAGGAAACTTGCTGTAAAGATTTTTTTTTCCTAGTTAACTTTTTCCCTTCTAATCTTAGCTCTATTTGGATTTATTTGTGTAAAAACTTTTAACTTTGTGTAATCTAGTGTTGTCCATTTTATCTTCTCTGATCTACTGTATCCTGTATTTATTCATAAACTTTTCTTCTTTTCATAGATATGAAAGGTAATTTCTTCTTTGTTTCTCTAATTTGTTTGATGACTTTTCATGTCATGTATCCTTGCTCCTTGTACACAAATTAGGTTCTTGTATTCATCATCCTGCAACTATATCATAGTCGTTCTTACTTTTCACACCCTGGCTTATTCTGTCCTCACCTGGAATGTGTCCTTCCCTTTTTCTAGCTTTCCAGATACTTCATCTTCTGACATCTATTTCTTCAAGGCTCAATTTAAATTCCCTTTTCTTCTTGAAGCCTTCCTGTTATTTCCAGGTTTCCGTAGCCCTTATTAATCTTTCTCTTCTGACTTTCTTTAGATATTAGCACAACACATTGTACATGCCATCATTATTCATTATATTTCAGTTAATTGTCTTGCATAATTTATTTGCTGTATTATGCATGGTAAATCCTGTTCTTCCATCTAGAATGTTAGCTTCCTAAGGGCAAAGATCATTACTTCTGTAACATCTGCCAAGTGTATAGTATTTGGCCAATGAATATACTTTTATTAATTGACTCTTTTTTGTGTGTATGCAAAAGAAAATGTTATAATCATGAAAATCTTACAAGAATATTGCCCTAAGCTTTTAAAACTTAATTGCTCTGTGAATCTGTGTTTTCTCTCACCTCTGTTGTTCCTCACCCCTACTGCTCCCTCCCAATTTTGCAGAAGGAAAAGTATCAGAATCTGGAGTAGAAAATAACTTTCTTAAAGAAAACCATGTTGTCCTGAATGAAGACAGGGACGGAAGTGAGTTATCTGATGAAGAACCTTCTGCTTTCCCTGGTGAGAACAAAATAATTACTGTTGAAGAAGAAAAGTCAAGTACCCCTGAAAAAGCAGAAGATGAAAATTTACTTTTCGATACAGATTATGAACCCTCAGCTCAGCTTCAAGAGCCACAGCAGGAAGACAGTGTTGATTTGCTAGGCTTGGACTCTGAAGCTGGACCAGAGCAAAGCCATGCCACCAAAGAAATTCAGAGCTCTTCTAGCAATGCTGATTTGTTAAGCAATCTGTTTGTTGCCAGTGCAGCCATTTCAGAAGAGCCTACGGGAGACTTGCTTGGGGCAGGGACAGATTTCTTTTTCAGTGGCCCTCCTCCTCCTGCAGATAATGCACAGAGCACTTCACAAAATATAGTTCACTCTTCAGTTGGTATGTACTTTTTCAATAATGTTCTAAGTGTGAATTTCTCATTAGAATGAATAATAAATATCAAGATAAGTGAATTTTTAGTTTTTCTTAACTCTGCTTCTTGCTTTGGTCCATGGATCTAAGACTTGAAAAAAGAAAGGAGACAATAGAGTTTATGTATAGCTGAATTTTATGCCTGAAAGTCCATCTGCTCACTGTAGGTATGATGGAGAAGCCTTCAGGAAGTTCTGTGCTGAGTAGAACTGGAAATCATTGATTTTGGTGATGTGCATGTGGCAGGCTTGAAAAGGAATATAGAATGTGTTGGGGAGATTAGTAGAGGAGAGGAGGAAACAGATCTTGGAGGTAGAAGCAGCTGTGAAATTTGTGGATTTGAATGACATGGTGAAACCTTCTGAACTGCGAGGAATCTCATGGATCATTTAGTCATAGAATCATAGCACTTTAGAGCTGAAGGGTCCTAATGATCATCTGGTCTAGTATGCTCATTATTTTGAATGAAATGTGAAGTAACTTACCTCGGGTCACATAGTGACAACCAGCATCTAGGTATCCACTGTAGTTAGGTAAATCATTTTCCACTCCACCTTCTGCCCTTCCCTAGAAGTACTGAAGAAGATAAGTCCTTTTTGTAAAGGTAAAGAAGAGATGAATAGAGGTTGGATTGCCATGCAAGTTTCAAGATAGTGGCCTTCTAATTAGCCAATGAATGGGGGGGAGACCCATCCTCCCATACCTTCAGGTTGTCCAGTATAGTATACTTTAGAAATGATACATATTGGCCTCATCTGAGATGTTATATCAGCCACATTACTGGTACTGTTTGACATCTCCTTTCTGGAAATATACTTCCTGATCACATCCCATTGCTGTTCCAGACTGAGAGCTAGCCTTGGCTTCACTACTGCGAGTTTGCTGGGAAGTAAATTTCTATAAAATGACTTTTTTCCCCATAGTAGATCTGTTTTTAAGGAATGAATCCTCCAGTAGACTTGAATTCAAAACTTCATTTGGAGAGGTTAAATTTTGGCCAAGATCTCAGATGTGCTGGCTAAAATGGTTTGTGGTTTCTCAATACCATAATCTCTCCTCTGCCAATATCATTCTTCTTCTGTTTTTGCCTCACTTTGCTTCCCAAATACTAGGGAATCCATAGGCATAGGGAAAAGTCTAAATTCAAAATTTGTAGCTTCCAGAGCAAAATTTAGTTCACCTGTCTTCTCATTTTGTCCAGAGGTTTAAAAAGGCTAATAATAATAGAGTTAAGGCTATGTTATCACCAGTAAGCATTGCCATCTAACATACATGATACTTCACCAATAAATTCTTATATTTGAGCCATCATTTTAAAAGTCCATTGATTTAATGTCCTACTTGACTAATTTTGTATGTTCATTTGAAATAATTTTAAATTAATTTTATTAAAGCAAAGGACAGTTATTGTGAGTGACATTAGAATTTCCCCCGAAATACCAGAATTTTACCTTTTAAAATCCTTATTTTTACCCTTTTGTAGAAATAAAGGGATAAGATTCCTTTTATGGAAATGTATAAATTCAAATTGGAAAATGAAAGATGTCAAGAAACTTTTGTAGTTTCAGTTTTAGGGATGCCAGGATTCACTCTTATTTTACACAGTACTAGAATTTAGTGAAAAGGAATTCCTGATAATTTAGACATTTAAATTTATAGAAGACAGCCTTTTGAGATTTTTCAGGTCTCTGATGTTCTATCTTCAATATACCCACTGTTATTACTTGGACCTGACTGAATAAATTGAAAGAGTTCTGAATAACCTGTGAAACAAGTAGCTATAGACTTAATTCTTAGGTGTAGTGGCTTACCTTACAATTAAATGCTGTGTATAGCTTCCTAGAAGCCACTTCTTTCCACTACTACACCAGTGTTCTTAATTTAATTAATTTTAGCGTAAGATTTTTCCACAGCAATATGCTAAATCTGTGTGGTATTTCTGAACTTCTCTTGCATCTGGCTCAGTCTATAGGAGGCCTCTAGGATAGAGGGATGAGGTGGCCAAAATTAATGTGAAGGGAGTAGCTTCCATGGGAAAAGTACCATGTGCTTGAATTGATTAGGTGCCAATAAAGATTTTTTGTTTGTTTGTTTAATTGTGTAGTTGCCTTTTTTTGGTTTTTATTATCATTTGAAATAATTTTTTTTCTTGCCTTACTTACCCCCCAGAGGGTAAGGGCAGTAGTGCTGTCACAATGATAAAACATTTACTTAAAAATATTACTTGTAAGACTTCATCTTACCTTTAATTAAGTAGATTAAAAAGTAAAAAAAAAATTCTTCCGTTAGTAAATTCTAACAGCTCATGTTATTTTGGCTACCATTTTCTTTAGCTGATCCATTCGATCCATTCACGATGTCATCCAGTTCAGAAACTCAGAGTCATTCCAATCCTGATCTGTTTGAAGAGTTTCTTAATCCCAGTTCTGCACCAGCCTCATCCAGTATGTTTCCTTCTACACACAGTGCACCTCCTCCTTCTTCCAGCTCTGACTTCTTACATTTAGGTGAGTGAGCCTTGGTTATTGTTTTGTAAATTTTGATGTTGCTATAGTGAGAAGGCTGTGGGCTGATCAAAAGATTTATATCTGATGTTTAAATTAAATTTCTTATCGTGTGCCATTTATTGTAATGAAGTGTCTATTGTAGGTATAAAAAGAGCACAGATCTCTTGTGAAAATATCTGCTGAAAACTAACATAATTCATAAAACTTTAGTATGTACCAACCTCTACTAATTTTGTAATGTCAGTTTTCCGAGGATGATAAAATGGTGTGCTTGTGTGGCGTTTTTTTCCCCCAAACTAATTATCTGAAAATAATGTATTGGATATATTGGTATGTTCCAAGTCATTTTTTGGTTTGTGGTTTCCATTTTAAGGGAAATCATGACATATTATGATAATCTAGTAGATAGATTCCTAGCTGTTTGTGTCTCTCCTCAGCATTTGTCTTTGTTCCAACTAGAACACACTGGGCTGTGGGTAGAAGCCTGTGCACGTTTGGGTTTGGGGCCCTAGGATGCTTTCCTGGTTGGGTAAGACATAAATGAAAAGAAGAACATTAGCGGTTTTCCCTATGTTTATATTCCCACAAACCAAGTATGAGAGGCATAATTCTCTCTAGAGGCAAAGTTTCTTTTGGGGTTTCTGTGGTACAGCAGCAGCCTTCTCAAACTTAATTGCCTCCCTGTTACCTAATCTAATTTAGTGGTTGTGTGTTTTCTGCTGTTACCCAAACACTGTAAGTCAGAGATTCCCAAACTTATTTGGCCTACTGCCCCCTTTAAAAAAAAAAATTTACTCAGTGGCGCACCCCCCGAAATCTACTTTCTTTAACCCTTTAATGTTTTTTGCATTATTTCAAATATGTGTGTGTGCGTGTGCGTGTGTGTGTGTGTATGTTAAAATATATATATATTCTCAAATATATATATGTGTGTGTATATATATATATATATATATATATATATACATACATACATACACACACACACATATATAAAATGACACATCTTAAATTTAATAATTTATTGTAAATTTGTGGGTTTTTTCCTGCATTGAAATTTTGATGATGCAGTATTACATCATGTAACCATATAGTATTATATTGTAAATGAGTCATTACATGCGCATATTCCTGCCGATGCATGCTGGATTTCAGGACAGCTCTTGACATGCTCACCTGCCAACAGTTACTTGTTAAGACCTGTTGATGAACATGACTGCTGATTGGTTATAACTTGCATTTTTGTGTGTTTATTTGGAAAATAATGTAATTACTATGACTTTTAACTCTGTTACACAAGAGATGAAACATATCCAAGTGGTTTTTCAAAATGTCCTTCTCTTCTTTTATTCAATGCCACATAATTGCACCCGAGGCTACTAACCCTGCCCCCCCCCCCCCGTCATTCCAGATCCTCCCCCCCCCGGGTGGTATTGCCCACTTTGGGAACCTATTCTAAGTTTTCTGGTGTTCTAATCACATCATTTTGAAGTGTTCTTTGTAGATAACCCTTTCTAGCCTAGTAGTATGGGTCTAAAAGATTGACCTAAGTTGCATCTGAGCTGGATTTGAAATATTTCACAGTCTAGCATCTAATAAAAAAGCATAGGGAGGTCTAAACAGATTTCCTGATTGTTAACAACAGTTTATAGTAACTTCTGCAGGAAGATTATTGGAGAATTTAGGGCGGGAAGGGAGCAGAGGGCCCCAAAGTATCCAATCAGTAGCTCATTTGTGTCAGGTTCCTTCTAACTCTTACAGTCATACCACATTTTACCCTGGTGCAGGAGAGTGGTATTTCTTCCTCTAATCATTCCTTCCTTTTTTCTCTCCAAGGCAGCATAGTATGCTGTCATTGGAAGAAACTTTAGAAGTCATCTTGTCTTTTTTAGCTGAAGCATGAATCTCTTCTACACTATCCCTGACAGGTGATCAGTCTAGTGTCTGAACTTCTCTATTGATGAGAAACTCACAATTTTATAATATGGCCCCATTCCATTTTTGATTGATCTGTTATGATTATTATTCAAAACAACTGGCATTTATATGATGTTTTAAGATTTGAATGGCACTTTACATACATTTTTATTTGATACTTATAACAAGCCTATGCAATAGGCCCTGCACATAGTAGCATCCCCACATTATAGATAAAGAAACAGTTTTATACTTATTCTTGCTCATTGTCATATGGCTAATAAATGTCAGAGATAGGAGCTAAACCTAGGTCTCTTGACTCCAATTCTATTATTCTTTCTATTATTATCACTTGTCTCTTTTTAGAAAGTTCTTCCTCATTTTGAGCTAAAGCTTATCTCTGTAAATTCTTCCCATAGATGCTTTTTAAGGGATCTCAGCAGCAAAAAAAAGAAACAGGCATTCTCATTCATTCCCCCCCCAAAAAAAAACAAAACAAAACCAAACCAATGCAAAACAAAACCAAAACTCTTTTGGCTTTTGTCCTTGCCCTGAAACATTCTAGTTTCTGATTTCTTCACTCAACTGAAATTTCTATGTTCAAATTGCACAGTGATCTAATTGCCAGATCATAAGGCCTTTTTATTTATCTTCATCATTCTTCTCTTCTCTGTACCATTTGAAACTGTGACCCTCCTGGATTCTTTCTCCTTTTTTGGTTTTCATAACTTCTCTCTCTTGGTTCTCCTAACTCTTTGCTGCAGATTCTGTTCTGCTGGATCATCATATGTATCTTGTACCCTGTGGTGATATCTCCAGGGCACTGTACAGGGCCCTCTTATTTCTCTTCATTTGATGACCTGGTCATTTCTACACAGCTGACTCCCAAATCTGTATATTCACCTATAATCCCTTTCATGAGCTCCGGTCTCAGCATCACCACTTAACTGTTAGACATTTCAAACTTTATATCCCATGGGCATCTCAAACTCAACATGACCAAAACAGAACCCATCAGTCCCCCCAAAAATCCATCCTTTTTAATTTTCTTATTTCTGTTGTGGGCCATCTAGTCATGTAGGTTTGTAACCTTCATATAATCCTCAATTTCTCACTCTCACGCCAGATAGCCAGGTCATGTGCTCAAGATCTCAGGCATCCTGACCTTCTCCTCCCAGGACCACCTCCACAGGACCACCACCCTATGGTCACCTCCTGCTTGAACTATTGGAGTTGATTCTTGACTAGTCTCTGTGCAGGAGGTCTCTCCCTTTTCTAGTCCATCGTCCATATAGCTTCCAAAGTGACATTCCTCAAGCTTAGGTTTGGCTATCACTCCTTTGCTCCAACTCCAGTAACTTCCTGTTACCTCTAGGATCAAATACAAACCCCTTTGTTTGGCATTTAAAGCCCTTCACAATCTGGGTTCTAATAAATGATAATCAGGACCATACTGCAAATATTTGGCTTCTTGATCATCACTTTATTTTTGGTTTGTCAGATGCCCTTGAAAGCTCAGTGGCTACATTGCCTCTGCTTGTCCTCACAATCCAGTTACAAACATTTATTAATTGTCTACTCTATGCAATATACTGTGCTTGGTCCTAGGGATACAAAGATGGCTTCTGCCTTTGTGGAACATACGGTCTACTAGAGGAGAGGAAATATGCAAAAACAATTATAATGGAAAATAGGATATGATCATCAGTGCATAAGAGACAAATGACTTAAGTTCTGCATCTTTTAGTTAGAGATATGGAAAATTGTTAAATATTTTCTTCTTCAGAGCTCTGCTACTTTGTCACTACCAGAACAACATCTCTTAGCAGCCACCTCTGTCCTTGAACCCTCAGCTGTTGGGCCCACCCTGCAGTGCTATAGATTGGCTTCTGTGTTTGAGGGGAGGATGACTGTTAGGTTAGGTGGCCTTTGGTTGAAAGGTAAGAGTGAAGGGTGACCTATAGTTAGCGTGCTCAGGTGTATTGTGATACAATGGGAAGAAGACTGGGCTTGTATGCAGGAGGCCTAGGTATGGCCCAGTTTTCACGTGCTTACTAGATGCTTGAACTTGGACGGATCATTTCACTTCTGCCTTAGTATCCTTATCTCTAGAAAGGGGACAATAATAATACCTTCCTCTCATGGCTGCTATATGAAAAGTGCTTTGTAAATCTTATTAAAGCCTAAAGAAAAAGGAGGAGGTTTTTTTTTTAATGATGTTGTTCTGTTCACATTATTTAACTTCCATTTAATGAGAGAATGGGTTAAAACAGAATTTTGCTATCAGTAGATGAAGGTTCCAAAAAGTGCTGCCAGGCAGTTGCTCTCACCAAGACCAGAGATAGATTCTTCTAGATAATGAATCCTGACAAAGTAATCAGCTTGTTTATTTAAACACAGGGTGCTTGGTTGACAGAAGCTGTTGTGAGAGCATAACATAGACTAGAACTGAAGAGCTGTCTGTCACATTTGATTAGTAGTAGGATCCTTAAGAAGACTTCTCAGTCCAGAGACATTGAAAGGAAAGGATTGAGAAGTGACAGTTACTCTCTGTTGAAATAATCAGAACATTGAGATAAACTTATTCAAAGCTCATTGCTGCCTGAAAAGAGTGGAAGCTGATTTGAATTAATGTCCTCAGAGAATAGTTTCTTCTACCTTCTCAAAGTATTCCTGTAGAGGTAATGTTTAGGAAAAATACTAAGGAAAGAAACGCAAGTCAGGTATAATAATTTTCCACCTACAGGTGACCATGCCCAGAGAGATGTGTGCCCCACATATTACGTTTGTTTTAAGTAGTAATCCTCTGTGTCATTGGAACTTTCTTCCCAGGGAATTTGCCAACAGAACAGCCTACCAAGATGACTACTTCTGCCAGCCACCCTGATCTCTTGGGAGGATGGGACTCCTGGGCCGATTCCTCCGGTATTGGCAATATTCCATTACCACAGCCTGCCAAATCTGCATGTGAAGGTATAGGGTATTAAGAGATATTCTATTACTGAAGAAAGTGAAGGCATTTCTTTTATTGCAATATTTATTTGAGGATAACTGCATGATTACATCCAGAAACCGAGGTTGACAGTTTAATTCACTTGAGTAGTCACATACGGTGGTTTGCATGTTGTCTCCTCCATTAGACTGTGAGCTCCTTTGAGAGCAGACATTGTGTGTGTGTGTGTGTGTGTGTGTGTGCGCGCGCGCACTGGCATTTCTTTGTTTCTCTAGAGCTTAGTGTAGTCCTTGGTGCATAGTAGGCGCTTAATAAATGCTTGTTTTCTTTCTTCCTAGTAGACAACACTTAATAAATGTTTGTTGATTTTTTTTTAATCGAATGTTAAACATTTCCTCCATCCCATAGGCACAACCTTTTCTTCAGGAAGCCAGTCAAGTGTTACCTCTGGCTCATCTGTCAGCCAAGCTAAATCTCAGAACTTTGATCCCTTTGCTGACCTTGCTAACCTCAGTTCAGGTATTCAAGGTAATGAGTGAAATTTGTGATGAGTGAAATTTATACCAATAAAGCAGGAATTTGTATTTAAAATGTTAGTGCTTGTAGGAATGATTTGTTTTTCAAAATATTAGACTGTAAAAGCTCACAAAATGCAGCTTAAGTATGTGTGAATCTAAGTGTTTTCATTACTCTTGTGTCATAAGCCTTTCTGATCTAATCTTTCTAATCTAGCCATTGTTGGGCTAATGAATCCAGGCATTCTGAAAATCAAGACTCCTATAAAGCATCTAGTTATTATTAGTGCTTCTTAGAGCCTCCTCCAGTAGCAGTATGTATGAGGATTGATATACTGGTTCTTTGGGTGAGGTAAAAGGGAACTTGCAAAACTTTGCTAGTGAGTTGGGGCATTACCTGGACATCTTTACAATTATTCACTGACTATTCAAAAAGGAGCTCTTCTTGCACTAGATAGAGGGAGTTAGAGAGCTGAGACAGTTCAGTTTGAAATAGAAAGTTTACAAAATTTGTAAAAAGGCTGAATCACTGTATGGTTTCTGGGGTTCAGATTTTAAGTGGAAGCTGTGCCTGGTATGGTTGAATTCTAGGTTAAATCTTGTTTTAAACACTGATATTGATGACATATTTGAGTAGTAATCTTTAATCTGGTTCAGAACTGAATTTTTCTTAGCGTGCTTCTTAAGATGCTGTTTTTTTCTGCTAAGATTTAAAATTAATTTCTTATTCCTATGGTATTTTATGGTTCTTTTCATGAGAATTCCTTATTTAAAATTTTGATGTTTTGATCATTTGACAGATAATAATTGTGCATTTTTCAAAAACAATGATGTGCTTTCTCTGCTTCCTATTCGAATCATCCTGTACCAATTTAGAAAGGAAGAAAAAAGTGTTACAAATGTATGTTCAAGCAAAACAAATTCCCACTGGTCATGTCTAAAGAAAAATCTCATTTTCATTCCGAATCCATTACCTTTCTGTCAGAAACTTGAGCAGTGTGGTTCATCATGATTCCTCTGAAATACTAATTGGTCATTGCATTGATCAGTTTATTAGTCTTTCAGAGTTAATTTGGCTTTACAGTGTTGTTGTCACTCTATAAACTGTTCTTCTAGTTATGCTCACTTCATTTTGCATCAGTTCATTTAAGTTTTTCCAGGTTTCTCTGAAACCATTCCCTTCATCGTTTCTTATCTACCCAACTTCTTATTTTACTCCTTTCCTTTCTTTTCCATCTTATTTCTCTGTTGATTGAAATGTATTTCTGTACCCAACTATGTGTATGTGTATTTACCCCCTCCTTTGATCAGTTCAATGACAGTGAGGGTCAAGTTTCAGCTGTCCTCCTTTGTGTAGGCTTCTACTTGTGCACTCTGATTATGTGAGATTGTTTTCTCCATCCATCTTCTATCCCTTCCTGTCTTTGTATTCCTCTTTCCTTCCTTTTCCATTCTTCTTTTAATATCAAAACATAAAAGAACAATTCCCAGGCCCTCTGCCTAATTACATTCCCTCTATGACCCCTGAGGATGATGGTTCTCTGGGAACACATGAATCATCTCCATATATTAGAGTGTGAACAGCTTATTCTTGTTTTAGTCCCTTGTAATTGTTTACTCATGTTTACCCTTTTATGTTTCTTGTGACATATGTGTTTGCACTTTAAAGTTTTTATGTGGCTCTGGTCATTTCATCAGGAATGTTTGGAAGTACTCTTTTTCAATAAAAGTCCTTTTTCCCTTGTAGGATAGGATTATACTCAGTTTTGCTGGATGTTATTCCTAGTTGTAAGCCTATATCCTTTGCCTCCTGGAATACCATATCCCACGCTCTCTGTTTCTGTGAAGTATTGGGATTGTTTCTCCTTGGTACTTGAATTTTTTTTTTTCTGGCTACTTACAGTATTTTTTTCTTTGACTTAGAAGCTCCAGATTTTTGCTGTGGTGGTCCTGGGAGATATCATTTTGGGGTTTCTTTCAAAAAATAACTGGTAGATTCTGTTTCTACTTTGCCTTCTGGTTCTAAGAGACCTAGGTAAATTTGTTTTACGTTTTCTTGAAATAGCTATTTTTCTAGTTACAGCTTTTAAGTAGTACAGTGATTTTAATTTTTTTTCTCTGCCCCGTTTTTTATGTCATTTGTTTTTGCTTTGAGACATCTTTGATTTTGTTCTATTTTTTCAGTCTTTTGACTTTCTTTTGATATTCTTATTATCTCGTAGAATCATCATCTTTTATCCCTCCTGGCTTCCCTGGCTTCTTACAGGCCTCACCTAAAATTCCATCTTTTTCAGGAAGCCTTCCCCAACCCCTAAGTATTCTAGTCCTTTTTCTCTGTTATTTTCTATTTATTCTGTATGTAGCTTGTTTGTACATATTTGTTTGCTTATTGTCTCCCCCACTAATTTGTAAACTCTTTGATAGCGGGGACCGTCTTTCGCCTGTTTTTGTATCTCTTGTAGCACGTAGTACACTGCTTGGCACAGGTTAGCCGTTTAATAAATGTTTATTGACTATTTCAGTCTACATCTCAGGGTGTTTGTTGCTTGGGTTTTTAACCTCTTATAACAAGCTGTTAATTTCCTTTCCAATATTTTCTTTCACAGCTCTCATTCCTTTTCTAATTTCTTTCCTCTAGTGCTCTCATTTTATTCACAAAAAACATTTTAAACTTTTTTAAAAATTCCTTCATCTTTTCCAGGAATTCCAGAGTTGAATTTATGCCTGAGCTGTGTTTTTCTTTGCTGTTTTACTTGTAGATATTTTGGAGTCATTCTCTTCTTGTGAGTTTGTGTCTTGAGCATCCCTATCACCATAATGAGTCTTTATGGTGGGATGTTTTTTTGCTTATTTTTGCAGCTTGCTTCCTGACTTTGAACTTGATGTTAAGGTTAGGCGCTCCACACTTTTGGAGGAATGTCTAGGGGCTGCTTTTTTTTTTCCAAATATTGAGTGTTGTGTTATTCCAGGTTCTCAGGAACGGCTCAAGTTGGAGACCTACAATCTTTCAGTGCTCCACAGTAGTCTGGTCTGGGGCAGTCTGATTACTGCTCCTCTGATCTGAGCTCTACAAATTGCTTGTCCAGGTTGGAGTCTGAGCAATAGTAGATGCTGCTGGACTGAACCCCTTTCAGCCAGCTGGGAGGCTCTGTTGATTCAGAGGAACAGAATTGTAGGCTGTCCTTGGGTCTGTTGTTCCTGATCTGGTTATTCCTCTGGGAGCTTCAGACAATACTGGAAGCTAGAAGCTAGAAGTGAGATCTGGTTGCGCTGCCCCTTGGATCAGAGCGAGGCAAACACCGCTTGCTTCTGAACTTGCTCCTTGCTCAGTAATCAGCCAAAGGCCTTGGACTATTCTTCACTCTGGAATGTTACCCAGGCTCAGGTCCCTTTCTCAGTCTGCCCTAGATCTTTGACAGAGAACTGGATAGTGAGCAGCAATTCTGCAGTCTTCACAAGTTTAAGTTCCTCTGTGCTGGATTTGGGACCCTTGCCTTCTTGCAAAGTTGTTCCCAGCTCTGGAGTACTCCATGTGACTGTTCTTGGCTAGACCCCAACCTCAGTTCGCATACTTCTCTATATGCCTCCCTATGCCTACCTAGGCTGGAAAAATGATTCAATGTGATTTTTTTTTTCCTCTTGGATTTCCTAGTTGGAACTCATTTGATGTAGGAAGATCAAGTAGAATGAACCTTGAGAACAGATTGTTGGATTTGGTAACTAGAATTTTATTGAAGACTTTTGCAAAGTCCCTACAGTTTGATGTGCTGTCTCCTTCCTCTTAACTTCCTTACTATTCTGTACTTCTTCTTGTCATTTTAGCTTTTGTTGTAGTTACTTAGGGAAAAACAAAACAGACTAATAAAGTCTTGTGTTCTAGGAGAAACCCAGAGTGAGAGAAATGAAAACTTGGTGACTGTACTATGAAAGAGGGATTAAATTTGTCCTATTTGGCCCCAGGAGGCAGAATTAGGACCAGTGGGTAGAAGTCAACATAGTTAGAGTGTTGGTTATCTCCATAGGGACAATTTAGGTTTATTAAGAACAAATTGTACCCGACTAACTTTAATTTGTTTTTTGACACGGTTGCTAGGCACTAGATCAGATTTTTTGAGTGGATGCTGAGTATATCAGTTTTACTTTGTCTTTTGACAAATCTCTCATGAGATCTATGTGGACAGGATGGACACAGGCAAAGTGTGGTAGCAGTTAAGTGGGTCCAGGACTGATTGATTGGCTGGACCCAGAGTTTGAGGATTACTATGTCAGTGTTAGTTTGAAGACATGTCTCTTGTGGAAAAAATACTTAAGGTTCTGTGTGGCCCCGTTCTATTCCACATTTATTCAGTGACTTGGACGAAGGCATAGATGGCATGCTTCTTAAATTTCTGCCGGGAGAGATAGCAAATGTTTTGGATGGCATTTGGCATCTAAAAAGATCTCAAGGGGCTGAAATACTGGGCTGAGACTTTGTCGCTATATTTGAATGTAGCCATCTTGGAGTGGTGGAGTGAGAATTGTGGGAAGGACTGATTGCTTTTTTTTTTTACTTTTATTCCTGCATTTACAGGAATAGAACAGGAGAAGATAGGGGGTAAGAGAGGAATAAGTATCATTGAATGTGAAAGGAGAGCAGAAAGAAGGGTGTGTGAGGCAGCACATGGGGGGAATAAGGAAGATAGAAGTAAGCTCTCATACCTGTTATCTTCCTACCTTATCTTTGAAGTCTTTACAAAGATGTTTTTCTCTGACCTCCCTTTGTATGTTATTCCTATTTGACAGCCCTGTGCTCTCTGCTGTGATGGTGAAGAGCCTTAGTGGAAGTAAAGTTGTGGGAAACATTGGCCTTACAGGTAGCAGTTTCTCTCCTTAGTTTCCCAGTCCCTTCTGCTCTCTCTTCTGTAGTTGTGAGCAGTGTGCTTCTTATATAATACTCCCAGGAGCTCCCTGCTGGGGGTTGCAGCTTCTTGCTATGCAGGTTGGTTACATGCAGGGATAAGGTGGTCTTATACTTTAACTGTCAAAACACAAAACATGGGCTACAAAGCTCACTGAATTAGCTCGGCTGTAATCCAGGACATCCAGTCAATGTTGGTGGTGCTTTGGATGGAAAGGGCTGAGGTTCTAATGGGTATATTTACCTGGATAAACTTTCTCATTCTTGGGATGTGGTTCATCTTAACACTGGTGCAATCAACAACCCCTTATGCCTTTTTCTCCTGTGAAATTCTTGTCAATTTATTCAGCATAGTTTTATGGATGTAGAACTGGAAAGGATCCCAGAGGTCATCTAGTCCATTTTACAGATGAGCAAACTGAGGCAAACAGACACTTAAATAAAAATGAAGTACACAGATATTTGTAATCTTCTGTTCGTTTAGCACATCTACTACCTTAAAACTTTTTAGTACCTGGCAGTGGGCATTGCCTCTGCAAGAAAACACTGCTGGCCATTGTGCTATAATAACTTAACCTTTCTTTAGTGCTTGAAGAATTACTATACACTTTTTTTTCACATTGACCCTGAGAGGTGGTAGTATCATCTCCATTTCATAAAGGCGAAAAATAGAGGCCACCGCTGGTTCTGTTGGCCCAGTTGGTCCAGAAGGGGGAAATCTAATGTAGTCATAGAACAAGCTTTTCAAGGGAGGCCTTTGCTTCTTTCTCATTCTGACATTAATGCATTTGTCTAATCATGGCCTTAAATATCCATTTCCTAAAGAGGAATTTACTTGTCATCCAAACTTAAAACCCAGCTAGTCATTTCTGTGCCTAAGGCCAATGAAATTCACAGAGAGCAAAGAATTGGAGGGAGTGTAAGGGAAGGGAGCTTGATTTATTCTGCTTTCGTTATCATAGGGGGATGTGAGCCCCTTGAATTTAGTGGGCAAGTAGAGTTTTGATTTATCTATAAGCATGAGCTGATGTTTTACATTGTCATTGGTCCTTGGTTTAACCTTTGTTCCAGGTTAGGAGGCTGGACCTTATAGACTGTCAAAGCATTTTGTGAACATTTTAGCATCAGTTGTATCAGGTGGGTTGTATTTAGTGTTATAACCTTGAAAATTCAAAGTGTTCTTGTTGAGTACTAACATAGTACTATTTTCCAACTGTTAGGAGTTCTTGAAAAGACTAATTGGAGGAGGAATGGAGACTGCTGATGTCTCTGAGTTCTGTTAGCTTTGTTCTCTGTATCCAGAGCGTCTTGAATAATTGAAAGCTGCGGTATAGATTTTCACTTTGAAAATGTATTTCTGTAAGCCTCACATTGCTGTGCCATTGTTTTCAATGGTTTTTAAGACAATAATGTCAGAAGTAGTGTTTTCTGTAGTTTTTGAAGGTGAGTTTTTTCCATGAAAACTTCCTTGTTTCTTTCAGGTTCTTCTTGTGGATTTTCTTCTGGTGGATTTGCCTCAAAAGCAGCTCAGTCTTCAAAAGGTGGGAGCCCATGGCAGACAAGGCCCCCAAATTATGGTTCATCATGGCCTTCCCAGGCAAAATCACAACAAACCAAATCCAGCCCACAGATGAAACCTAATTATTCTGCGAACTTCAGTGTTATTGGAGGACGAGAAGAGAGGGGCATTAGAGCTCCCGGTTTTGGTAAGTTATAGGTGTCTTTAGTATATGATTTTTGCTATACCTGGGTTTCAGAAGAAAAGTAAATATGAAACAGGTATTATTTTCCAATGATTGGGCCTCCATTTTAATGAACTGATGTGGAGAAACAAATTCAAATTAGCTATAGAGATTTACTTTCATTCAAAAAATTTTTGTGGTAGTGCTTTTTCAGTTAGAGTAAGGGAGACACTATTGAGAATTTTGTTTTAGGAACCCAGAATTCAGCCTTGAGTCACTGAACTAATGTTGATTTGGGAGCTACCAGTTCCCTAATTGTCTTTTATTTGCAGTATGTCAGCAATATCTAATCTGAACTATAGATCTGGAAGACTCAAGGTAAATGGCCTGCAGTACTTCCCTACTCAGGTGCCACTTTTTTTCACTTGGCTAGTTCTTATATAGCAAATGGTAGATGTGTAGTGTTGGTGCACTGTGGACAAAAGGGAAATCCTTTGAGCTCTTTACTAAAGCTGGAGGGTTGAGAGATAAGAAAAAAGGCGAGGTACTATAATTAGTCTTGTATTATTATATTCTCTCTCATCTTGAGAGACGGAGAAGTAGACTCATTACCTGGAGCAACAGGAGTTTTGAATAAGCCATATTGAAGTGTCCGATTTTTTTATTCTGTTAGTCCTAAAGGATCATTGAGCTGGAAAACATTCTTGAATCCATGAGGGACAGGGAAGGGAACAGCGAAGGGAACAGCCTGAACAGAATTAAAATGTTAAATTGATTAAATGGTATATAATGAGCTCTCTGTATGGATCCTGTTGAATAATGCTATTTCCCAAAGGGAATTATTTAGCCATATCGGAAAAAACCAAACAAATAAAATTGGTGCTTGTTGTACTAGACTAATAGTTACTAGTTACTAGTGTTTACATACACTTTTGATTAAGTCTAAACCAAGCCAACTAGAGAAAACTAGATTTATCTGTTTATCTCCTTGTTAGAATTATGTGTCTCTTAGTGTCTTGTTCAGGGGCATCTAGGTGGTACAGTGGATACAGGAAATTTAGGAAAATTAAAATCCGGCCTCAGACACTAGCTGTGTGACCCTGGGCAACTCACTTAACCGTAACCCCTATTTGCCTCATTTCCTCATCTGTAAAATGGGTACACACTGGAAAAGGAAATGGCAGTGGTTTAATCCAGTATCTTTGCCAAGAAAATTGCATGGACAAAGTCCACAGAGTCATGTAGAATCAGACACAACTGCACTCCTGAACAACAAACAGCTGTATTGTTCAGGGCCACACTTCGTCAGTACAAAAGTATGTCTGTGTGTCATCTCACCAGATTGAGCCAGTTTTCCATTCTACAGAAGGACCCTGTTTTCTCCTTCCCCCCCCTTCTTCTGTCTCCCTTCCTCCACCCCTCTCCTCCCTCCTTCCTCCTTCTCTCTCTCTCTCTCTCTCTCTCTCTCTCTCTCTCTCTCTCTCTCTCTCTCTCTCTCTCTCTCTCTCTCTCTCATATATGCTGCTTTTTGTAATGTGATTCTTTGAAAAAAAGTGGTCTTTCATATGGGAGAAAATATAGTTTTAAGAAGGGTTACATATCATCAACTTCAAAACAATTTTATTTTTTATTATCTTGTGAATTAGCTCAAAAGCCAAAAGTTTCAGAAAATGATTTTGAAGATCTATTACCCAATCAAGGATTTTCATCCAAATCTGATAAAAAAGGACCAAAGACAATTGCTGAGATGAGGAAGCAAGAGATGTCTAAAGACATGGATCCTCTCAAGCTAAAGGTTTGACCATTTAAATCTATTCATGGAATCAAAAGAAGGGGAGGGGCATGGCAGTCAAAAGAACTTGATGTTTTCATTACAGTGGTGCCAAAATGCTATAAGATATGTGTGACAAGGTTGCTTTTAAAGGATTCTTGTTTATGGGTCGAAAGCCAGGATGGCTTATCTAATGTAGACATATGTCATAAGAGGTCAAGATGATTCTTTTCTTAGTTGTGACCCTGCAGAGACCAAGACAATACAGTGCTCCGTGGGATAGTATGTAGCTGTTGATGGCCACCCAGAGTTCCAGGGGCTAGGAGTATCTTCTAGAAACGACTGGGTCAAAGGATCTTTTGCTTGGTAATACAGAACACTGTGTAGTTATTTTAATTGTGGCATGGAAAGGGCCTAGATTAATGGGTATCAGGTCTATGGTTAATTTGATGCTGAGATGGCTGGAAAACAGGCTCAAGCTTTTAAAAGATTTTGACAGGCAGAAATGATGAATCTTAACAGGAAAAAATGTGAAGCCTCACATTTAAATTGCTTGATGGTGTTTTTTTTTCTTTTTTGGTGGGGTTTGTATGGGGTGATAGTTTAGAATGGAGAGTTATAAGTAGTCATTTGCACCGGGACTAGATGGAAGAGACCCTGTGAGACCTATTAGTTGGAGCTTAATACACGCCAACAGCATGGTAGGGGTCCTGAAACATCCCGTAACTCTGATTTAGGTGTCAGGAATAGAAGCATAGTGTCTACAATGAAGGCAGTAATAGCTCTGCTGTCTTCTGCCCTGGTCAGGCAACGTGTGGAGATTTGTGGAAGGAGACTGACAACTGGAATGATGAAGGGACATGAAATCATCATTTTAGGTACGATTGAGGGGAGTGTTTAGTCAGGAAAAGACAAGAATGAGGGGAAAATTGAATTCAACAAACAGTTATTAGCTGCCTCATATTATTCAAGGCCTTATGCTTGGTGATGCTCATACAAAGATGGAAAAATGACCATCCCTACCCTTATACTCTGGTAAGCTGTAGCTGCTATCTTCAGCTGTTTGAAGGGTTGTCATTGAGGAGAGGGGGCAGACTTGTTCTTTGTAGCCCTAGAGGAAAGAATGACAACTAACGAATTGAAGTTATATGGGGAAGCAAATTTTACCTCAGTCTATGAAAGACATCTCTAATGCTCTGAGCAGTCCCACAATGGAAGGGGCTGCCTTGGCAGGAAGTGTCTGTCAAGTAGAAACGAGATAGCATTTTTCCTTGATTTTCTTTTTTTTTTTTTTTTGACAAAGAAGAATGCTACATGAAATGAGACATGGGGCTGGGGTCCCACTAAAGTTTCTTATAACTCACAATTTTCAGTGACTATTTAGAGAAATATAATATTTTCATACTCTGAATTTAGTACAAATAATAGCTAACACTTAATGTGGCATTTACGTGCAAGAACTCACCGTTGGTCTTTAAGGCCAGATTCAGACTCAGGTCTTCCAAGTCTAGTGTTCTTCTATGATATCTCTCGCTGCCACAATTCAGCAAACATTAAGCACCTTCAGTATGAAGTAGACTGTGTTAGACTGTGATGACAGAGATAAAAAATGGTAACACCTGCTTTCAAGAAACTTATATTTTAATGAGAGAAGGCCATACCGTGAACACAGAGCAGTAGAATATGCCAAGTGCAAAGGAGAAAACCAAGTGGTACTATGAACAGTGTGAAGCGAGAACTGTCAATTTCAGCAGGGTTGGCTCAAGGACTGCTTCATCAGGGCACTGGTACTTGAGAGGAAGAAGATTTCAGATGACGATCTTTGTCTTGAAAGATGGCCTGAACAGAGGCAGGAGGGAACAGCTAATAATATAGTTTGATGGAAACTTGAGGTTATATGAAAGGAAATGGGAATAAAATAAGTCTCTTAATGTAAGTGGAGTCCGACTGTGGAGGTCATTGACTGATAGGTTAAAGACTTTGTGTTTTATCCTTTTTTTGACTAGGGAAATAAAATGGTTAAATTGTGCACTAAGTTATCATAAATAATAATAGAAATTATTAGCTAATACCCATGTATATATACACAAATACGTATATAATACCATAGTTGACAAAGTGCTTTATGCATCTCATTTGGATTTTATCAGGAAGGTTATTTTGGCAATTTGGTAATATTCAGTAATTGTGTGAAAGTTGTTTGAAGAGATGAGAGCCTAGAGACAGGAGGATATTATAGTAGTAGTCCAGGCAAGAGATGATGGGCCTGGCCTTGGGTGTTGAAAGTGTGAAAAGAAAGGAAGTGATAGATGTGGAAACTTGTACCAAGAGAGAATTTACAGGACTCGGCTGATAGTCGGAAGCAGAGGGCAAGGAAAGTTGACAGGTCAGCTCTTAGGGGGAAGATGATGAGGTTATTGATATGACTGACTTATATTAAGTGCAAGGTACATTTAGGTAATATTAAGGTGACAAATAGGCTGTTACCATTGTGAGACTAGAGAATAGGAGAAAGAGTGGGTCTAGATTTGGCAGTCATCTGATAGAAGTGATCAGAGTTGGGGCAGCTAGGTGGCACTGGTCCTGGATTCAGGAGGACCTGAGTTCAAATCCGGCCTCAGACACATAACACTTACTAGTCATGTGATCCTGGGCAAGTCATTGCCTAGCCAGAAGGCGGGGGGGGGGGGGGGGGGAAAGAAGTGATCAGAGTTTTAAAAGATTTAGAGCTGGAAAGTACATTATAGGCCATCTAGCTCAACTCTTTCATTTTACAGGTGAGGAAATTGAGGCACAGAGAGGGTAAGTGACCTACTTATGGTCACATAGGTACTCAAGCTCTTTAACCTCAAATCCAGTCCTCTTCCACTAAACTAATTCTGTTGAAACCACTGGAAAACTCACTGACTTGGGAGTGGAGAAAGAATAGGGAGAGAAGAGAAGAAGGTTGAAGACAGGTTCTCAAGACAAGGACCCCCAGCAAATAAGACTAACAGTAATGGATTATTACTCTGTTATTAGTGATAGAAAATAATTTTAGCTTTCCAAATTACTTGGGATTTAACTTGTGTTACTTAGGTGTTTGGTAGAATAAATTTTTAAAGATTTCTTTTGGAGAGTAAGCACTCAATACGCAATTCTATTAAAATTAAATTTGTTACAAATATTAAGACATCTGTAAAAATCTGCATTGCTGTGGCATATGTCTTATTTGGTAGACAATGGAGTGTTTCTGGAAATGTTGGAAAAAAGAGGGGTGAAATGATCAGAGCAGTTCAATAAGAGAAAATTCACATAGTGTTAAGGAGTTGGACTAGAGAGAGGGAGGGAATGGCCTCCTGTGGGCTAGGCACTATTAAGTGCTTCACTAATATTTCTTTATTTGATCCTCACAACAATCTTGAGAGGTAAGTGCTATTACTGTTCTCAGATTACAGATGAGGAAACTGAGGCAGACGAGTGCCCAGCTCTGTGCCACGCAGCTAGTAAGGGCCTGAAGGTGGATTTGAGCTCCGGTCTTCCTGACTCCAGATCTAATACTGTATTCAGTGCACCAGTGGCAGTTCCTCTAGAGAAGGAATAACTTTGGAGACAGTGGGGTATAGTGATTATAGGTCATTAAACTTGGAGTCAGGAAGACCTGGGTTCAAATTCCACCTCAGACACTGTGTGACCCTGGGCAAGTCACCTAACCTTTCTGTGCTCTTGAGCAGGGATATGACAGTCAGATTTTTACTTAATGATGGTTGTTTTGTCAGAATCAGGGAAGAGAATGACAGGATACTGGTAAGTTCAGTTAGGAACCTATTGCAGTAGCCCAGGGGAAAGCTGAAGAAGGCCTAAACTAGGGTGGTGGCCATGTGAGTGAAGGGAAGGGAACACAGTATGAGACATGCCATGGCAGAAGTGACGAGAGTTAGGACCAAATAAGATATGAAGATCCAAGGATGTCCCATGGGTGGCTAACCTTGGTAACTGGAAGGGTGATGGTTCCTGCAGAACACAAAAAATGATGTTTTGAGTAAGAGTTGCTTTAGGAAAGAAGACGGCAGGTTTGGATTATGTTGAGTTTGAGATAATTTTAGGAGGCAGACGAGGTCTGGATATATAAAATTATCTACATAGAGACAACAGTTGAACCCATAAAGCTAATGCAGTCACCAAGAAAAGAATATAAAGAGAGAAGACCCAGGATGGAACAGTGGAGATAACCTGTGGTTAGAGAGTGGGACATGGATAAGAATCCAGCAAAGGAGACCAAAAGCAGTCAGGAGGGAGCAGTGTCATGAAAACCCAGGAAGGAGTAGGTATCCGAACATTGCTTGCTCCGTGGTATCAGTATCAGAGAGGTCAAGAAGGGTGAAGTGAGGGGCAGCTAGGTGGCACAATGGATAGAGCACAGGCCCTGAAGTCAGGAGGACCTGAGTTCAAATCCGGCCTCAGACCAAACACTTACACACTTAACTAGCTGTGTGACCCTGGGCAAGTCACTTAACCCTAATTGCCTTAAAAAAAAAAAAGGGTGAAGTGTGAGAAAAAACTGTTTGACATGACGATCAAGAGATCATTGGTAACTTTGAAGAGACCAGTTTTAGTTGAGCAGTGAGCTCAGAATCCAGGTTGCAAGGAATTGCACAGTAAGCGGGAGGAGGAGAAGTGGCAGATAGATTTTTTTCCCCTAGGAGTTTGGATGTGATGTCAGAAAGTGCCTGGGCAAGCCGTGATCACGTCTTGGCTCTAATTTTAACCCCGGACTTTCTACCTCCACCTCATCTCTCTGGAGATGCCTGTATCCCTGACAGACCTCTCTTCTGATTGGTGACTTCCTTCCCGGAACCTCAAATTTGAGGAGGTGCCCAGGCCATCCATCCCTTGTTAGAATGTAAGCTTCTTGAGGGCAGGGACTATCTTTACTTTTACGTATATCTGTTAGTAAGTGCTTAATAAATGCTTTATCTATTTTGATCTAAAGAGGGACAGAATATAAATGATACTTTTTGAGGAGGAGACAAAGGAAAGATTTTTAAGAATTGGGGAAGGAAGGCATGAGTGAATATGGAGAAATTGAAATTAGTGGGCCTAAGGTAGAGGGGGATAGAGGGAAGATGATTGCCCTTTTAGGGCAAAGTCATGGAAGAGACAGGAGGGCAAGCAATAGGAATATGAAAAGAGTGATGAAGAGGCGTAGATTAAAAAATAAGAGGGAGCTCGTGTTGGATGGTCAGTCTTCTCAGTAAAGCATGAGACTAGGAGAGTTAACTAACATTTAGTTGGATGAAGGAATCAGACTTCAGTAAGATGGGTCAAAATTTAATGGGTGCAGATAAAATCCTTTGATTATTTGTTACAAAGATCCTCCCTCCCTCCCTCCCTTTCAGGGACTCAGAATAGAGTTGCCAAAAGGAAAAAAGGTCATTGAAGCATTTTTTTTTTAAATACACAGAAGAGAACAGAAGGCCAAAAGGAATCACAGACGCTCAAAGCAGCTTTGAAAGTTATATTTTGAATTTATTATATACTTTAAAAGAAAAGCAAGTTTCTGTATCATGCATTATCATATATAATCTTTTCTACTCTGTTTATGGAAATGCTTTATTTGGTGTGTAATTCACAATTTTAAAAAATCTAAAAAGTCAGCTGCATAAGTGCAGAAATGGAAGAAGTATGGCTAGGTAATAGTTCATGTGAAAAAAAACCTGAATGTTTTAGTAGATTGCAAGCTTAGTATGAATTAACAGTATGACCACAACTGCTGCATTAATATGACATTAGGCTGCATTAGTAGTACTGTGGTGTCCAGAGTAAGGAATATGTTAGTCCTGTTGGCCTCTGGGTTTCTCAGACTCCATCTGGAGTATTATCTCCAATTTGGATGCCATATTTTAAGAGGATAAAAAACTGAAGTGTACGGAGAGGATGACCCAGATAGTGAAAATGTTTGAAACCATGCCATACAAAGATTATGTTGAATAAATTGAGAATGTTTATTTTTCCTGGAGGAAAAAAGATTTAAGGGGGGAAACATGATAGCTGTTTTTCACTGTTTAATGAGTTTCCATGTAGAGGAGGATTTAAGTTTGTTGTATTTAGTCCTGGATTGGAGAACTAGGACTATAATGGGTGGAAATTGTAGAGAGAGGAAGGTTTGTAGAGGTCAGCATGAAGAACAACTTCCTCAGTAGTTAGAGCTGCCCAGAAGTGGAATGAGTTGCTTTGGCAAGATGGTGGGTATTAATACATTCCCTATCACTGGCTGTACTCAAATAGCACTGAATGGACACTTCGTGGTGATAAAAACAAAGCCGAATTATGCGTTACTAAAGTAGTCATTAGACTGTATGTACTCCTGGTTCGCTCCTAACTCAATCATCTCATTTTGTGATTCAGGGTAAGGGCAAAGGTCAGCAAAACAGGGTTAGAGTTTAGAGGAAAGAAGCAGAGGTTGCTTCTGGTAACCAACAGACCATTTTATTTAGGCAGAGTTTTTGAGCCCTGGTAAAAGATTATTATTATAATCTATAACTATTTTCAGGACCAGTTCCCAACTAAGGTCAGTATTTGGTGCAGCAACCTTTTCTGTTAGTAGAAATTGAGACCTGAATTCTAGTCGTGGTGATGCCTGTTTATATGACCTTGGCTAATAAAAAGGGGTGTGTGTGTGCGCGCGCGCGCGCGTGTGCACGTGCAAGCACTGGATGGGCTTTTTTTGGGGGGGGTGATGCAGTCGGGGTTAAGTGACTTGCCCAGGGTCACACAGCTAGTGAGTGTAAAACGTCTGAGGCTGAATTTGAACTCAGGTCCTCCTGATTCCAAGGCCAGAGCTCTATCCACTGAGCCACCTAACTGCCCTCACTAGATGGTTTTACAAGTCTTTGTTACCTCCATTTTGTAATCAGCTGAACTCATGGTAATTAGAAGCTGTTATTTTGAATGTTGCTAGTTCTTGTCCTAAAGGAATATCAAAATCTCACTAACCTAGGCCTAATTAATTCCTGGAGCACAATTGGAATAAGTGAACACTTTCAATTCTAGTATATTTTAATATAAACAAACTGGGTTAACAGTTGTTGTCTAATAACACTAGCTTTAATGTAGAGTTAAGTAATTGCAGCATCAGTTGTATGTAAATATATGGTTTTCGACTATTTGAGAAACATCTCAAATTATTTTTATTTTTACAAAACCTTAATATTATTACTTGAATTAAAACAGTTCTGCAACTATTGTTTACATTTTTAATGTGGTAAATCCTGTTTATTTTAGTAATTCCAAGATAAAGTTGTTCAGTCTAGACATGTGAATGGTCATAATGTTTTATTTTCTCTTTGAAAAGAAAAGCAGCACATGGCATTGTGGATAGAGGTCTTACGTAAGACTGTAAGCTACCAAAGAGGAGTGTGTCCTCTTTAGTGGAAAGAGTTTTCACACCAGGCATTCCTGAAAGTCATATAAAGAGTTTTATGAATGAACTGAAAAATTTAAGAGTATGAAGATATACAGATTAAATTTCTTTTCCCATACCTTCTTAGCTTCTCGATTGGATTGAAGGAAAAGAGAGAAATATAAGAGCACTAATTTCCACACTGCACATGGTGCTTTGGGAGGGAGAAAGTAGGTGGAAGCCAGTTGGCATGGCAGACCTGGTGACTCCTGAGCAGGTGAAGAAGTACTATCGAAAGGCTGTGCTGGTAGTTCATCCAGACAAGGTAAGCTGTTCAAGGTACCTGTGGGATTTTCTTCTCCCCTTTCCTCAGCCTCCCTCTCTCCCTCTCTCCCTCTCTCCTTTTCCCTCCCTGCTCCATCCCCCACCTTTTGTTTTTGAACTGCAAGCATTATGAAGTCAGGCTGTGAGGACTTGGAAAAGCTTTTCAGCCAAGTGGATGCTTTTTACTGCAGGCACTAAACTGAGTAATTTTTATTTTTATCAACATTAAAGCATAAACATTTTTTGAATATTTTAAAACATCTAATTATGGACCCTTGAGCTCTGTTGAATAACTCACATTTTCTTCTAAGGCTATTTTGTACTCAAATGTTGTAATATAGCAAATGAAGAGTTACTATGTAACATTTACATTTAACTGAAAGATTTAAGTCTTAGTCTGTTGTGTGCTCTGATCTCTAAGCAAATTCTTGTGTGCTAGTGGAGGAGGTGAATTTAAAAGGTTGCTGTACTTCTTGGATATGCTGTTATTGTTACTGAAGAACTATGGATGGTAGGAAGAGGTCGTTTTATTTGGTGATGGGTTAGGTAGAGTCGTGTACTTTCTTGCTGTTGTGATTGGTGTTGGGTACACATTTGTTATCTGGATGTCTCTGGGGTGGCTGATGGAGGGGAGAGGAAGGGGAAATAATGAAGGTTCTCTGTGTTGCCCCTATATAGGTTTGTTAGTACCTTGCTTTGAGATAACTGTCCAGGACTAATTGTTCAGTCCTTATCCTTATTGTCTTTGTTGTTTATCTCATCCTTGTGTGTTCAAGATTGCAATTAGGAGAAGGCCCCTGTGCTGAATGACCAGGGAGCCGAGTGCCTTGCTTGTGATCTGAGATACTGCAGAGCAGATTGGAAGCCTGTTACCCAGCTTAGCTCCTCTAGGGTTATGAAGTTCTGTGAAGCCAAGGCTAGATCATTAGCCCAAAGGTTTATTAAGGACAGAGTGCCAAGTCTCTCACCCATCAAATAGGCAGAATGCTGTCTCAGGAACTGTCCTTCCAGGGTTGTTGTAAGGATCAGATGAGAGAATTGCCTCTGATTACAACTGAGGGTGTGAAGCTCACAACAATGGGTTGCCATTATTTAAACCACACCTGCTTATATCGGTAGGTGTTACATTACCTTTGCCTTTGTGAACTACACTGCTGAGCTTGCTACCTACCCTTTGAACCAGTGGAGAATTGAGAAGGAATTTATGTGCCTGAAGAAACTTTTTGACCCTGATGTGAAACTTTACAATCCTAGGCCAGGGTTAGGCTTTTGCCAGTGTTAAAGCCTATTCACCTCAAGAGCAAATTACATGGGATGTTTTTACCATCTGAGATTTGGGAGAGTGGTAAAAGAACAGACTATTCAGAGCTGCTTTGTCAGTGATGGTGAAGAATCTCTAATCTACACAGCCACCCAATTGTAGTTTCTCTTGCCCTGAGGAGCTTTGTTTACAGTTCATGCTTGACTTTGTGGGCGTGCTTGGCCAACATTAGACTACTCTCGTTTTTGCCATGTGGCTCTGGCTAGTGCTATAGAAATTGGGGGTGGGGGGGACAGAGGGAAGGCCAGGTAAGACTTGCTTGAGTCTCTGGAGAGGAGGCCACCAGTTTCTGATGTCTGTCTGTTCTTTCTTCCCAGGCCGCCGGGCAGCCATATGAGCAGTATGCCAAAATGATCTTCATGGAATTAAATGATGCCTGGTCAGAGTTTGAAAATCAGGGATCCAAATCCCTTTTTTAAAACCTCAGTTTTTGGGATTTTCAAAATGCATTGGCAGCAGAATGGCATCTGAAGGTGTTGTTTGTTGGACTTAATGTTCCTAGAATTCGAGAGAGAATTTCATGAGCTCATCCTCAAGTTTGAAATTCTACTCTTATAGATGGGGTGTATTGTAAAATGTAAATCAGCAAAGGCCTCTCGCTGTGTCACAATCATAGCCCAGAATGAACCTTTTTCCCACTCAGTTTGATTATGAAACACATAAATCTAATGACGTCCTCCTTTGGAGTGTAAGAAGAGCGAGCCATTCATTCTGAAGCAACTGGTATTGGTTGGTTTTTTGCCCAAAAGGAAGACAACTCTGACTTGTGTGTCTGTTATGTTTCCCTGGTTTGTGATTGGAGTTTGATGTTCAGTGCCTCTCACCTCAGTCCAAGCTTTTTTGTGCAATGAGAAACAGTGAATTTGCTAAGCACAGCATTGTTACCTGAATCTATAGAAGGTGTACATTTACATCTGTATTTTGTGTAATCATCCTGATAATCACTTTTGTATATAATTAAAATGTTTTCTGATGATAATCTGTATTCCTCATAATGAATTGGCAGCCGCTAAGCCAACATTCTTGGTTATGGGAAGCAAGGAACCAAGTTGTTTGCAAATCACAATTCATGACTATGGACAGTGGTTGTATGTCACATGGAGAAAACACTGGCATTTTTAATATAAGTGATTGCATGTTAAAAATCTTTTGTGTTATTTATGAAGAACTTTTTGGACTTTAAACTGTATTGCCAGGGTTTATTTTCCCAGCTCATGGCACCCGTAACTTCTTATTCTCTACTCCTCCCCATACCCCCTCCAGTGGAATAGTGTGCATTCCATTGGTTTTATAATTATGCTGATGGAAAAGAAGATTGTCTTACTTATTTCTGAATCTGATCTTGAAATGTGAGCACAATTTTGTTTACCATGCTTATTTCTGTTCTGAAGTCAGCAAATGTGATCTCTTTTGCAATTGTTGTTGAAAAAATTTATTGTTCTTTTATTGTATGTCTGGTCAGCTCTTGACTGTATTGACTGATCCATACATTTTATTGTCAGAATGTCTTAATAAGCAATGATATATACCCAGGCAGATGGCTGTTGGCCTTGAGTTCACACACACACCTTAGACCAAGAAGTAACTCTCACTATCTTAAGTACAAGGACCAGATTCACGTCTGATTTGTAACAGAAGGTACTTTAACAATGATAAAGAACTCCATACAGTCTGAGTTGCTACGGAATTTGGTTGACAACTTTTACATACATGTTCCATTCTTTTTGAAAAAGGAAGAGGAGAGGAAAACAAGGCAGAAAGGGGAGAAAAGGAGGAAAACTATCTTTTACAATGGATAGTGACTCTTTTCAATATAGCATGACCTGAAGTGATTTTCTCTAGGATGCCTTGCAATTCTCTAGCTCCTCTAGCCTAAGCTGTTAGTGCCAATTCTAGCTATACCAGCAATTAACAGCAGTATCTGGGATGAGAGATTCTAGAATTAAACACTGGAAAAAGAAAAAAATATTAACTTCCTTCTGTTAAATGGCATATATGAGGTAGCTTCTACCTAGAGTGTCTTAATGACCAGTAGCAGGAACATGAAAAGAAAATCAAGGTTAAGAAAACATTCTTGATTTTTCAATCCGTGGTTCATGTGAATTCTTTGTTAAACAGTCAGTTGGTATGGGGGGGGCGGTCAGGTGGGGCAATCTTGACAAGTATATTACAGTTGCTTCATCCTCCCAGAATGCTAATCTGGTTTGACTTCCTGATGAGCTCTGTTTTTGACACTAGAGAGTAGAACCTATCCCACCTGGCAAGTCAGATTTCTTTCTGCCGGTTATATGTGGCCTTTCTTAGTTCCACAAGAGTCCCCAGTGTAGTATTCAGGGACAGTTAGACCAAATGTTAGGAAGTCTTGGGAGACTTCAGTGTGTCATTCTCTGGTTGAGAAAGAGCAGTCTCATGAATAAATTAGAAAGAAGCCAGCACCAAGCACTAAGAACTTGGGAAGGGAGCAGTGTGTGGAAATACTCGAGTAGGCCATTTGGAGTCTGCCTTAGAGGTGCTAAATGAAAAGAATGTAAAGGGAGCAAAGCAAAAGGAGGCTGCACTGTGGCCTTGTAGGAGGGGAGCAGGAGGAAGGCTGAACTGTTCAAGATGTTACCAGTGACCTTTGAACTGCTAGCACTTACTTCCACAAAGAATGGGAACTTTGGGAAATAGCTGAGAAGTGCTAATAAGCAGATAGAAGCCTTCTCTTTTTAAAAAACAGAAAGAACATTAAGGTGTCTTAGTAGAATTAATGATAAAAATAGTGAATGAATGAATTAATCTAAGTAGGCTGAAATTTCTAATATTGTAATCACGTAGGTGTCATTATTCAGTGGTCATTCATTGGTGCTGTTGCTGAGTTCTTCTTGCACAGTAGATCCCTGGGCGTTGGGATAACGTTGCAGTGGAAGGCAGGGAAATTTGCCTTCCTGCCCTAGTGCCTAAAAGTCATCTCCAGGTGGGCAGGTAGGTGGTTTCTGCTCACTTTACCAGCATTTAATCTAAGTCTGTAAAGAGTACTTTTTTGACTGGGCCACAGCAAAAAAATATCTAGTCCCTTCTCCAGTCACCTCAGGAAAGTCTCTCATCTGGGGCTTTCTCTACTTTAGGGAGGTCACTGCTGCCAGGAAGTGCCTCACGGAGCCTGCAGGAGGCAAAGTGTCTGAAGCTCTGTGGTGCCAGGCAAAGTCACCTGGATCCAGTCCTCTCCCCACGCCAGGACACAGCCCTCTTTGACTGCCAGGAAAGGGCAACATAGGAAAGGAATTTGGAAGGTTGGGGTGAGGTTGTTAGAAAATAGGTGTGTGTGTGTGGGGTGAACAGAGACTTTTTATAAAAAGTTGCCATAGAAAGTGCTATTACCATCAGTTATTCATTAGGAAATTGGGTCTTTTTTTTTTTTATCCCAGTGATATAGGGACACTGGCATGTTCAAGGTAGACAAGATATGCAAGATTCAGTTACAGGAATGCACTGGATGGTGGACTTCAGCAGATTTTTCAGGGGATGGGGTGGGGTTTCTTTGAATTCTGTTGAGTGGACTTAAAAACTTAACAATGAATTGAATTTTTAAAAAGTAAATGAAGAATGAGGGGAATGTTGTTTTATTAAGTTGTCAGAGATGCCCAGCTAGATCACTGCAGATGATTTGATTTCATTTCCTTAAATAAGCACTGTATCAGAGCTCAGTTGATTGTAATAATTTACCCCAAATATAGGGGAATAAAGTTATCTGTTGGGGTGATCACAGAAATAGGGGTGGGATGGAGGTTAGAGAGAGAATGAATCATTGTTGAATGGGGGAATGATACAAAGAGGAAATATTCTGAAGCCAGTCTTGTTTCCTATTCTCACAGCAGAGTAGTAAACACACTGAAGGTTGGCCAGAAAATAGGAAACAAAATGTTTCCTATTTTAGGGGCTGAAAGGCTTTAAAACCTAATTTTTATCTCTTAAGGAAGTGGATACACATTTAAGATCACTAACTAGGAAGTGGGGGGACTCTGTTGATAATGACAGTCTGTAGACAGATGAAGAAGTATTAGGGGATTAATGAGTTAAAACTCAAAGGAAAGTTTAAGAAACAGAAAGTTTTCTTAGCAATAAAGAAGTGTATTCAAATCCAGGCTCAGACACATGATGCTTACTAGCTGTGTGACCCTGGGTAAGTCACTTAACCCCAATTGCCTAAGCAAAAAAAAAAAAAAAACCAAAACCAAAAACAAACCCAAACAAACAAAAAACGAGTAAAGATGTGTAATATGGTGAAAAAGGACCTGAAGTCTGAGAAACTCCCCTATGAGCTGCTGGAGATCTAGAGGAGATTGTCTCTTCTCCCACTTTTATCTTTAATTCACAGAACTCATTCACTGGTCTACAGGAGTTGGCTACCTTGGGCATTAGGTAGATTGACCTAACAGATGCTTTGAATCATGGAGGAATATGTAGTCTTCATAGCTCACAGCTGTAGCTCCAGACCCCAATATGGTAAAAGTTCCAGAGCTGCTGAGATTGGGTCACCAGTGCATTTCTCAAAGTCCTGTCAGATACTGGGAAGGGAAGAGTATACAGAGTGACCGTGATTTTTTCAGCTAGTAGCAAAGTAGTCCATTTAAAGAAAGGCAAGTATTTGGCGTTAACATGATGAAGCTATTCACAAAAACTCCCATCGCCTATACTGTGTCCTCATCAATGTCTGTATTTCAGAGAGCAGGGGGTCTCTTCTGCACAACAGCCGCATATGTCATTGGGCACACAAGCAGATTGATGGAATGAGCTGATCAACAAACCTTAACTGGTTGGATTGGGATTTTAGAACAGTGGTTTTTCTCAGTTTTCAAAATGATTCAGCATACCGTATTGGAACATGTTGGACCTCTGAGAAAAGCTAAAGCAGTTAACTGAGTAGTAAAAATGATTATTATTGCTTATTAATAACTACTTGAAGGATATCAAATGTTTCCATTAAGTGCTTCACAGAACACCCATGTGATTAAGGATGGGGCTAGGGAAGCTGAGGCCTGAAGAGGAAGTGACTTGTCCAAGGCCACACTGAATGAGTGGGTTGGTGACAGAATTGAAAGCTGGAGCCCACTCTGGTCTCTCAGTAAGAGAAGAGCCCCATTTTTTGTTTTTTTGGACCACTCTGTTTATAGAGCTTGGAAATAGGAATTTGGTTACTGGAATGTTGGTCTGGATTTCAGGTGGTTGATGACTGCATCTTCCTCTTTACATCTGGTTTCCTTTCCTTCCCCTTTTAAAGGTATATTTCCTGACTTCAGGGTTTGTTCTCTGAGCTTTGGTTTTTATATCCTAAGCATGGGGAAAGCTGATTCAGATTTCCACAGAAGTCTGCAGAAAACATTAGGATGTCATGTCCATTAATAACAACAAGAAGTTGTATTTTGAACAGTGCCTTTGTCATTATTTCTAGATATGTTTTTGAAAATAGGTAAAAATGGGTGTATTCTGCATGAGACAAATCATAGAAGTTGATCCTTTTCCAAGGGAACTCCATGCTCAGCACAAATACCTCAGTCTCCACACATTCATGTTTGTTTAGGATTCAAAGGGTAAATGTTTCCGAATCTCAGAAATGTTCCTAGGGAAGCCTCCTTGCAGCTTACAGTAGCTCAGAATCATGCCTGTCACTAGGGACCAAAAGAAGGTGAATTTTTTGGGGGGGAGGGGGCAGGATGTGTGTGTGTGTGTGTGTGTGTATGATGCTCTTAGTATTAAGTTAGTCATAATTAGAAATTACAACCTTCCTCTTGGTCAAGCTTGAAGCCTGTTGTACCCTATGATGGTGAGGGTAAATTGCCACCCTGGTCCTTTATCTTAGTGATCTAAAGTCACCTCTAGATTTGTGTTGGCAAGGGATCACTGTTCTGGGGACCATACATTTCCACTGGTTGGTATATCCCATTCCCTAGCCATGTTCTAGGTACAGGAATTGGGTTGGGTCTGCGATTGCTCTGTAGGTACCCTAGCTTCGCTGGCCCTGTAAGTCTGTGGGAGCCTAGGAGGATGGGTTCACTTGCAGGGGAAAGGGTAATTGTTCATCAGGACTAGGAACTGTGGGGAACTTGGCACCAAATCCCTTATAGGGTGGGGAATAGCCTATGAGACTTAGACCAGCTCATAACCCAAAACAAAAATTGGGGATGGGACTGAAAGTTGGCACCTGAGCTCTGCACGCTGTACCTGTCTTCCTTCTGGAACTGCTCTGTCAATGACTTGAGTATGCATTGAGTGGGATTAGGAGCAGCACTGTCTTGTGGGTTGAGGACAAAGGACAGTGTTTGTTTTACAGAAGGAGCAGAGGTAGGAAGTCCTGAGGAAGCTGGGACTCCGCTTAGACATACTTGAATTTTAAGAATTATAGGTGGTGATGCGTGTTCAAAGCACAAGGGCATTTTCTTTACTCCCTCCCACTGAAAGGAAAGGGAGGGATGGCTGGTCTTTGTGCTTAATCCATAGTTTTCCAGCCAAGTTCACCAGCCTCAGCTCAGGGTTTGCTGCATCAGCATTTACCTGCATTTCCAGGAACCACTTATGACCATTCCTAGGGAGTTGGTTCTAATCAGTCAAGGAGCCTTGCACCCTTTAATTTAAATACTGACTGCTGCTTCTGTCTGTCTGTAATTTCTTCAGAATGAGTCAGGCCAGTGTGTTTCTGCTAAGTTTCCATTATTAGTTACTTGAATTAGTGACTCCAGATTGATTACTTTAATGGGCATATGTTGTCTTAAAGATCCAAAGTTATTCCAGTATTTCCTGATACCTTTGCAAACCACCTTCCAATAGGGCTGATAGGTACCTCCAAACCACTGTTTTGGGCAGAGTTCCTGCCCATTGTACGCCTTTACAGGCCTCTGTTGTTAGAAGCCAGCACTGCTGGTTGGTCAGTGTTTGGGTAATGAAAGATTGCTTTTTTGTATAAGCTTTTTAAACTGTTAAAGAATTTGCCTACATTCTTTATCCAAAATGTGATTTATTCATATTAAATGTGATCTCAAATGGGAGCCAGAGGCATTATGGACGTTTTGGATAAACTTACATTCAACTGAATGTATATTTACACCTCAGTCTATAGAAGTGAGTGTGGGCTGATGCTGTTGAAAAATATTAATGTGATAATGGTTTCATGTGGTGGCCAGTTTCTCTAGCTGTGACTTTTTTGGTGGGTGAATATAAAGATGGGGGCTTGTCTCATAGTCTGATCATCTTTAATCAGGAATTGCTCTGTACTAAATTTGCTTTTGTCAAAAAAAGTATAAATATGTATCTGTATATAAAAGTGAAAAACATGAACAAAAGATGAAAAGATTCTTGGCACAAAATGTCCTTAAATAAAAGACTTTGCTTTGAAGTGTCTGAAGATTGATCAATTGAAACACTTGGCTCCAAAACTTTCCTTAAAACAGAAACTTCCAGCTACAAATAACTGGACCAGTGGAGAACCCTAACTTCTGATCTTTCTTCACTACCTTTAATTTACTTCTCAGCAGCACTTGAAACACGTCCACCCACCGAAAGTGCTTTTTAGGTAAGTGTAACCTCCCACTAGGAAACACTCTCATGTGTCATCTGATGATGATAATGGTGGTGTTTGACCTTGAAGCTAAAACCTTTCTCAGGGAGAAGAGGAGAGCCTGTCAGGAGTTGGGATGGTGGGATGGGAGGACACTAGGAAGAGGTCAGCAGTGAGACAGAAGTAGCTTTGGGATGGAAGAGAAAGGCTGAGCTGGTGATGGGAGGGTCGGAAAAAAGTCTCCAACTACTAAGGAGAAGAAAGGTCATCACAATGTACCTACTGTTGATCGAGTAGTGATTTTTTTTTTTGACATGATTTATGGTCACCTCCAAAAGAATTTATAGTAAGTTTTACTAGTCTAGCATCATCACAAACTACTTTCTAGAGTTCCAGAAAAGTGCTAACAGTGAATAAATTACAATATATCAGAAGTAAGAATTAAACCCAGATTTTGCTGGCTCTTAACCCATTTTGCTACACTGCCTGTCATAGTTCTTTGTAGGGTAGATAATTCCAAGCATGCCAGTATACCAGCTTTGAAAAAAAAAACACGCAGCACACTAAAAAAAAAAGATGTACTCGTTTTTATGTGATCCTCACAGCACTCCTGTGTGGTAGATTGTGAAAGGAGTATTAGAATCATTTTACAGATGAAAAAAACTGAGGCTCAGGAAGGTTAAATGACTTGCCGCTTCAGCCTTGGATTTCTCCCACCATTACCTTTCTTCTCATGTGCTGCTGCACAGAGCTGGAGAAAACCATTGAAACTGTGGGCCTGTTACAGATGTTACATAATCTCAACTGAGCCCTCACTGTGGCACGGCAATCTCTTTATGTCTGCCTAATTGACTCACTATCCCACTCACCACAGCCATTTTTTCAAACTTTTTCATCTCCTCCAAACTCCCTTGGGCACCCACCCAGCCTTCCCTCATCCTCTGCTGAGGAGCCTTCACCAAAAACTCCATCTTCTCCCCTTTTTATCTCACATTGCTCAGAGGCCTGCTGCCGCTGTCTCCACCCTTGTCTCAGATAATGAGCTGGCCTTTCACTTTGCCAAGATGAAGTGCCCTTCTACATGCATAAGTGATCCTGTTCCAGCCTGTCTTCTCTAGAGGATGTTCCCTACTCTTTCATTTCATTCTCTGCTGGCTGCTACACATGGACCCATGTTTCTCCTAGCCTTTTAAAAAAAAGACAAAGCAAACCCTCACTTCATCCATTCCCATTAGCTATCGTCCCATATCTCTCCTCCTTGTGGCTAAACTCCTTAAGAAGACCATCTACCATTGATTTGTTCCTTCTGCCTGTTTTTACCTCTTCGGTCTGGCTTCTGGCCTCATCATTCAGTCACATCTGTCCTCTCCAAAGTTACAGTGATCTCATAATGACTAAATCTAATGGCCGTTTCTTGGTCTTCACCTTCACCTTTCTCTCCTCAGACACTAGTGAGGGTCCTGCGATTTTGGTTGGATTTTTGTCAATGGGAATAAATAAGACAAAAGTTCCTATCGTCATGGAGCTCTAATAAGAAGATAAGACACAAACACAACTGTGATGCATCATATTGCTTGATAAGCACATTAGTTGTGAAGTTCAGTGTAAGGCCTGGGAGAAGGCCATTACTGACCAGGAGGATCAAGGAAGACTTCATGAAGGAGTTGGTTTGTATCTGGATTTTAAAGGCTGGGTAGTAACCACATCAGGCAGAGGTAGGGTAGGGGGCATGGGGTGTGGCAGTCCAAGCAAAAGGAGCTCTGAGGGGCATGTTCAATGGTAGAGTCCAGTTTGACTACAGCATAAACTGTTTGGAGGAGACTATAATATAGAACCAAAATGTTGCAACAGCCTCATGTAGCAGATGGTGTTAGCTCCATTTTATACAGGAAGAAGCTGAGATTAAGCGGGAAAGTGACTTGTCCAGGATCACGCTGTTGGGAGACTGGGTTTCTTCTGTCTTCATATCCAGTTTTGTTTGCATTACATCAGACCAAGCTCCTAAGGCCCTGAGAGATTAAATAACTTAAAATCTTTGCGTTTTAAGGCTGCAAGGGACTTTAGAGATCATCTGACCCAACTCCCTCATTTTAAAAATGAAGAAACTATTTCTAGAAAGAAGAGATGATTTGTCTGTAGCCAGTAGCAGAGTGGAAACTCAGATACACATTTTCTAAGCCCTAACCCACCACGATGGAAGACCATGACACAAAGCATGAGAATGTAGTATGTGAAAGTCCACTTCTCCCCCTTTCCTCTCTGCTTGCCTTGGTCCAGGACTTTATCTCTGACAGGGATCCCAAAGTGCTGTTTGGGAGGAACCATGGTCTTCCTCCCTGGTATGAACTTCTCAAGCCAATAATATCTCCAGGCTAACCAGTTTCCCACATTAACGTAAAGATAGTTGGACTTTTATGTGTCCCCCAGCCTTAGCTTCCCAAGGTTGGCTGGTGACGGTGAAAGCTGTGGGATGGCTGTGTAAAGAACAGTGTGTATCAGTAGGTCGTGGGCCTAAGCCATTGACCAGTGCTTCCTGAGGCCTGTGCTCAGATGTTACTCAGTCATGGCTTTTAGATGAGGGCTGTGACCTGTCCATGGGAAAGAGGAGAGTTAGAAGATTTCAGTGAAGGGTTAGTGTGAGGGTAGACAAAAGAGCTTTGGAGACTTGTGCTCATTCATGTGCTCTGGCCCTAACTTCTTTCCGAGACTCAGTTTCTTCTTATGTTATATAAAATAATAGGATCTTTCTGAGGCATGGTGGGTAGAGCTGGCCCTAGGGTAAGACCTGGGTTCAAATCATCTCTCTGATATTTACTATGTGACTCTGGGCAAGTGACTTATCCTCTTCATGCCCTTGAAAGTTCTTTCTGTTTCCA